GTAGAAAGACAACTACTGCTCAAAATTTACCATAATCAGATACATAACTTGGACAAAGAATGCAATAGTCGTCCAAGAAAAGTTTAGATTTGTGCCCTCCACCTGGCACTGTGCCTGGCAATGCCCCCCAGCTCAGTCATACATGTACCACTCAGAAACTAGAACAACACTACCTGAATGTCTGGATTTTTGTTTGGACTTTCATAGAAGAAAATTTGTCTGTCATCTTTAGTTTAAAAAACTAATTACCAGAATAATGAACATTTGTTTTTAAAACTAAATGTTCATTATTGTGATAACTTCATTGTTACTAAATGTTCATTATTGTGATAACTTCATTGTTACTAAATGTTCATTATTGTGATAACTTCATTGTTACTAAATGTTCATTATTGTGATAACTTCATTGTTACTAAATGTTCATTATTGTGATAACTTCATTGTTACTAAATGGTCATTATTGTGATAACTTCATTGTTACTAAATGTTCATTGTTGTGATAACTTCATTGTTACTAAATGTTCATTATTGTGATAACTTCGTTATTACTAAATGTTCATTATTGTGATAACTTCGTTATTACTAAATGTTCATTATTGTGATAACTTCATTGTTACTAAATGTTCATTATTGTGATAATTTCGTTATTACTAAATGTTCATTATTGTGATAACTTCGTTATTACTAAATGTTCATTATTGTGATAACTTCATTGTTACTAAATGTTCATTATTGTGATAACTTCATTGTTACTGAATGTTCATTATTGTGATAACTTTGTTATTACTAAATGTTCATTATTGTGATAACTTCGTTATTACTAAATGTTCATTATTGTGATAACTTCATTGTTACTAAATGTTCATTATTGTGATAACTCCGTTATTACTAAATGTTCATTATTGTGATAACTTCGTTATTACTAAATGTTCATTATTGTGATAACTTCATTGTTACTAAATGTTCATTATTGTGATAACTTTGTTATTACTAAATGTTCATTATTGTGATAACTTCGTTATTACTAAATGTTCATTATTGTGATAACTTCATTGTTACTAAATGTTCATTATTGTGATAACTTCATTGTTACTAAATGTTCATTATTGTGATAACTTCATTGTTACTAAATGTTCATTATTGTGATAACTTCGTTATTACTAAATGTTCATTATTGTGATAACTTCATTGTGACTAAATGTTCATTATTGTGATAACTTCATTGTTACTAAATGTTCATTATTGTGATAACTCCGTTATTACTAAATGTTCATTATTGTGATAACTTCATTGTTACTAAATGTTCATTATTGTGATAACTTCATTGTTACTAAATGTTCATTATTGTGATAACTTCATTGTTACTAAATGTTCATTATTGTGATAACTTCGTTATTACTAAATGTTCATTATTGTGATAACTTCATTATTACTAAATGTTCATTATTGTGATAACTTCATTGTTACTAAATGTTCATTATTGTGATAACTTCATTGTTACTAAATGTTCATTATTGTGATAACTCCGTTATTACTAAATGTTCATTATTGTGATAACTTCATTGTTACTAAATGTTCATTATTGTGATAACTTCATTGTTACTAAATGTTCATTATTGTGATAACTTCGTTATTACTAAATGTTCATTATTGTGATAACTTCGTTATTACTAAATGTTCATTATTCTGATAACTTGATTGTTACTATTATTTGTGACAAGTTCACATTGGCGCCTCCAACTGCACCTCGCAGTAAAATGAAGGTCCTTTCCCGCGTGGGTTTTTGAACGCGGACCTGGCTTGCTGGCTATGGAGTCTGGCAAAAAAAAAAATTGTCTTGTATGTATATACACTGTATTATATAATATTTTTCTGCAATAGTCTATTTTTGTGCAGTATTCAATTTTTCTGCAAATGTCTATTTTTGAGCAGTATTCTTTTTATCTGCAATAATCTATTTTTGTGCAGTATTCTACTTTTCTGCAATAGTATATTTTTGTGCAGTATTCTATTTTTCTGCAATTGTTTATTTTTGAGCAGTAGTCTATCTTTGAGCAGGATTCTATTTTTCTGCAATAGTCTCATTTTGAGCAGTATTCAATTTTTCTGCAAATGTCTATTTTTGAGCAGTATTCTTTTTATCTGCAATAATCTATTTTTGTGCAGTATTCTACTTTTCTGCAATAGTATATTTTTGTGCAGTATTCTATTTTTCTGCAATTGTTTATTTTTGAGCAGTAGTCTATTTTTTGTGCAGTATTCTATTTTTTCTGCAATAATCTTTTTCTGTGCTATTTTGATTTCTGTGTAATTTTGTGTTATATCATTTGATGAAATACAAATGATAACAAAAGAGAGTATGAAAAAAACCCACAACACTATAGAAAATTTGGTTACCAATTTGTACTTGCGTTGTGATAGCAAGATATATAAGGAAATGTTTGTTTTAACCTGTCCAGATATACAGTGTATGCATATAATGTGAGGCAGAAGACAAGTAAAGCAATTTTCTATTTTGTGTAATCTCTATTTTTGTGCAATATTTATTTTCTCTTATCTCTTATTTTGGTTTGACATTTCTTGGTTTCTCATATGTCTGTATGTATGTTAATACTGATTACAGTTAATTTGCAGTATATTGTGAGATGTCTGTTTCAACCTGTTCAGATATATACACTGTATTACAAGTACCGGTATAGCAATTTGCATTTTTGTGTGCAATATTCTATTAATGTGCAATATTCCCTTTTTTTGCAATCTTGTGTTGTGTTATTTTATCTATAATCTCTTACTTTCTTTTGACTAATATTCTTGGTTCCTCACATGTCATACTGCTTGCATGCATAGTATTGCTAAATTTTAAAGGGGTCAATTTTTTTCTTCATTATTTCAATGTACCTACATGTATGGGGTAAAACAAATACCGGTACCGGTAGCTTGTTCTGAAATGCACTTATATTTGAAATAATTAAATACTTAGTGATGAGCTTCTTTTTTGGTTTTTATTATAACTTCTTTTTTTAAATTAAACAAATTATAGACCAAAAATCAGGTACTATGGCTGAGTCTAAGCCTGCAGATTAAAAATTGTATTAAACTGGAAGAGAGATTAGATTTCTTTGAAAGTTATTCTCATTAAAGTATACTTCAACCATTGTTTTATCCAATATTCATTTGAATTTTTTCTTTTTAAGAATATTTATACAAACATTATGTTTCTGTTAAATTTCAGGTTCAAATACATGTATATTCCTGGTCTGGAAGTTTTGAACAAAAAATTGTGGCACACTTTTCTAATGATGTTGAACAGGTTTCATTACACTGCACATCTCCACTAAGAACTATAGCAGGTCACATCATTTGTTATCAAAATGGTATAAGACTTCCTTAATTGACTCAAACAGTAGAAAACAGAGAAATATTAAATCAGGTAATATTGGTTAGATCAGCATACCCTGTATATTGCTGTTCAAATATCTCAACATATTATACCGACACAATGCTGGAATCCCATTCAAAATAATCTTGAGGTATATGATGGGAGTGTATGAATGAATTGAATTTGAATTTTTTAACAACATAACACAATGTTACAAATGTATTCAAGTGGGTAACAAAATAACATGTCTATACATATCCATGTACATGAGTTACAAAGAAAAAGAAAATATCCATAGTTGAACCATATGTACAAATTAAATTAATCATATATCATGTCATATCAAACCTGTGAATTAGCTATAATTTAATAATACGTAGAGATTTGTGGCTGGAATTGAAATTCACAGAGTTCCAATAGCGTATAAGTGATTCAAATAAAGGATATTTTAAACTTCAAAACTTAAAATGTTGATAAAGGGAGAACCAAAAGTTGGCACGATTGCTAATCGGGATTGGTTCTCCGATTTTCAAAAACTGTATGCAGTCATATTAATATTTATTTTGACGTAATATCATATTATTTGGTACTTATGATTCATCTCTGCTTAGGAGTTTAATTCTGAGATTTTGACGAAATGATGATCTTGTTTTTTCTTCTCTTATAATTATGGGCAAATTATTTCACAGCTTTGCTCCAATAAAAGAAATTGAAAAAATCCCATGTGTCGTACTACATTTAGGTAATCGTAGCATTAAATGTTCTCTCCCTCTTGTTTTATACATGTGATTCATTAAAACAAAGTAATCCATTAACAAATGTGGTAGATGTCCTTTCTGCAGGTCATATACAAATGTCGATACTGAATGCTCGAACAGATTATGCACATCTAAAACCTGACTTCTATTGCAGCTTTCTTAAGGTGATACTAAACAAAATTATCTCAACAAGGTTTAAGAAATGCTTTGTAAGTAAATACTGAAATATATTGTTTCTTCATTAGTTTAATTGTTTTAAACTTCTATTATAATATATGTGTTGGTTGTTTCATTAAACATATTTTTCCCGCAATTGCCACACTGTCTTTTTTTTTTACTGTGATCTCCGAGTCTAATTACCATTATGTTCTCTACGAAACACACAATATGCAATGTTCCACATGAGGGTAGGACTGATCTCATTTGATTATCAATGGCAAGCCAGTAGTAAGTTATCACTCATTACATTTGATCAAGCAACATTGGTTGCGGGCCGTATTTTGGCAATAAAACATGTGTAGGGTCAAGGTTAGGTTAGGGGGTACAGATATTGTTACGTTTGAGTTAGGGATGGGGTGGGTTAGGTACTGTGTTGGGTTGGAGGTTGAATTTAGAGATTCAACAAGTTGAATGTCGAGAAAGTTGAATGTTGAGAAACTATTGCAAGAGCATGTGTCATATGATCCAGTATTCATCTCTCTCTCTCTCCCTCCCTCCCTCCCTCCCTCACATCTTGTCCGTTAAAACACTCATGAGCTGTCCTAGGTTGGGTTCATTGGAGCTGTAAGTGTTACCCTACATCTCTCTCTCCCATCTCCCCCATCTCCCCCACCTTCCCCCCTCTCTCTCTCCATGAGACCTACCTCTACATATCTTGTTCTTGACGTCCCTCATTAGAGGCCCTAGGTCTGGTTCGTTGGAGCTGTAAGGGTTACCCTGCATCCGACCCTGGAGGAAGTCTTCTTGCTGCGGGTCCTTCTCTAACGTCACAAAGAATTCACCGATTTCATTCTCCTCCTGGGGATTAATAAGCAAAGAACAACCTTCAGTATTATCATCATCATACTCATTATCACATCACCATCATTATTATCGATACTACCATCCTGACAACCTTGATCAGCAAATAATCATCATTATCCTTACTATTATCATCATCATCAATATCAACATCGTTATTAGCATCATATTCATCATCTTAATCACCATCACAACAGACATCACAGCAGTCATCATTATCATCATCAAACCCCACGACTACAAATCTTCTCTAATTTGCATGGCTTAATAAAGGGACAATTCAGTTCCCAAATGCAAACAGGTTGACATTATCATCATCATCGCCACCCCATTATCTTCATCATCACCACCATTACCGCCGCCATCGTCGTCATCGTCGTCGTCGTCATCATCATCATCACCACCACCACCCCATCATCTTCATCATTATCCTCATTCCCTCCATTGCTATCAATAATCACCATCACTACGCTCATTAAAACCACCCTTCTCCTCCTCCTCTTCACCATCACTACCACCAACCCCTACAAACAATGAAAATGAATCCAGATCTTTATGACTTACCGGATAGATGATGCTGCACAGCCGTTCAAATATAAAGACTGGTGTGCGTAGATCCTCTAGTCCATATCTCTTCACTGTATCCACGCACACCTCCATGAATGCCCTTGTCTCTATCTCAGTTCCTTGAGTTTAGAGAAGAGAAGAAAATACTCAATGAAAAATACTCAATAAAATTCATTACAAGCAGATTATCATAACATTCATTACCATCAGATTATGACAAAGTATGACAGTTTATTTACCAGTTTATACCCCCATCACTTTTGTTTTACCTAATTTATTTTTTCTCTGCCAAATTATTAATGTTATAACTAGATAATTCTTGGGACCATCAACCTGTCAAGTCTATAGGCCTGTAGGCTATACCTTTTCATTTTACATGAATCCATTTAATGTGCCTTGTATTTTACCTCAAAGCGATTTGTATATACTTTAATGTTTTGCATTTTTTTTAAACTGAAGAACGAATGAAGAATGAACCTAAACCTTTCTAAATAAATCCACATTTGACACTCTCATGCAGCCAGGGTGTAGTAAATGACTACCTGGGAGGAAGAAGTTCCTTGAATGTTTGAGTGCCTTATCATGGAAGCTCACACAAAGCTAGGGTAAGAACAGTATTCATCACTTCGTATGTATAGGAAATCTTACTTATTTTATCAATATCCTCCTCCTCATCATCATGTGATCGAGGTCAACATATATTCTATTTTTATAACCATCCATCATCACTATTCATCATCCCATTGTCATGGTTACCTGAGGTCATCTCTTCCAGGAGTTCAAGGAGTGTCTGCTGTGTCTCATCCACCAGCTTGGTACGCTGGACAACCAGCTTCCTAAGGGCCAGGTACCCGTGAAGGACCGGTCCTAGCAGCTTGGACTTGTAATGACGACGGATGGTGGATACGTCCAGGAAAGAAGCTAGCAAATCTGCGAGGAAAAACATGAGGGGAAGTGTTTAATTCTTGTAACCTCTCGAAAAACTGTTGTGATGAAATGGAGATAGATTCTGTATATAATGTTCCATAATGGTCAATCTCTATAAGATAAAAAGAGATATCATTTTCTATTTAAATACTGTTAAAACAAAAGCAGTTCAAGAAGTCAAAAGCAGAGAGACAACCAGCAAATCAATCAACTGATAAATTACTTCTCAAAACAAAAAACAGTTTTTTAAAGTAAGAGTCAAATGAACTGTGAAACCACAAGATTAGAAGCTAATTTCACTTCACTTGAAGAGAACATTTTCTCTTTCCTAGAAATTTGTTTAAATGGGCAATATTTGAATGATAATGTACATTAATTAGTTCTTACCAGTGAGCATCTTTAGAGCATATCCTTGAGAGAGATCAGAAGTCAATGTCGTCTCCTCGAGAGTTGATAGAACATGAATTTCCTGGAGACACACAAATACAGAGATAAGATGAGGATTCCTGATAAGTTTGATCATCAATACTAACTAGCAGAGATACATGGAGAAGCACACTGCAAAGTTTTCATAATGAACACTAAATTCAGCGAAAGGGACATACATGAACTATTGCACATACTCAACATAGATTCAACAGATAAGTTAAACATAGTACTTCAAGTAAGGTTTAATACAGTTTCTAAAAAAATAAACATTTTCATTATAAGAATTTTTTTTTTAAATACCCTTGCAATTACCTCAACCAACAACAAATTAAATACAGTCTGTCCAAATCAAATCTGATTAACTCCAAGTTAACTTTAACATAGAGAAAGAAGCATACAAGAACAAAATACAATCAAACCTGTCTATAGCGACCGCCCAAGGGAAACACAAAAATGGTCTTTGTAGACAGATTCCTTTAATACATGTTTCAATGAGAAACCATTTTCAAGGGAAACAAAAACGTGATCTTTGTAGACAGGTGGTCACAAAAGTAGGTTTGACTGTACAGTTATTTTGGGGGAGATGGCTCTGCCAGTAGAGGCCATAACTTGACCTCGTCTTACCTTAGCAATGAGTCCAGCCAGGTGGGGGAGCAGACCCTTGGCTGCCAGGTACAGCTTCCAGTGGTCCGCCTTGATGAGACGTTGGTAAAGGGCCAGGAACTCTTGGGCACTCTCTCCGCTCGGTCCAACCTGGTCCAGGTAGCTGGTCAGCAGGTCCAGCATCTGCTGGCGACGGCTTGACACCTGGGTGAAGGCAGAAGACGATGTTAATCATGATTTTGAATATACATGTGCATATGTTTATGTGTACACTGTAAATATTTTTAAGTCTGAGATCATAATTTGAGATTGAGATTGAGAGAGAGGGGGGAGGGAGGAAGAAGTGAGAGCAAGAGAGGGAATGAAAGAGAGAGGAGAGGAGATAGAGAGAGAGAGAGAGCAGGGGGGGGGGGAGAAGGAGATTGAAAAATAAAGAGAAAGAGAGGGGGGGGGGGTAAAGAAGCAAGAAAGAGATAGAGAGGAGACAGGGAAATAAATAAAGAGAGGGTAATATATGAAAATTGAAATTGTAATGGAAGAAAGGGAAAGGGAAATAAAAGCGAACAAGAAAAGGGGGTGAAGAGAAAGAAGACAGTGAATGAGAACAGGAAAGAGAAAAAGAATAAGAATGTGGGTAATGAAAACACAGACTGAAAGAAGATAAAAAGAAACATGAGGGAAAACAAAAGAAATAAACGTACAAAAGGAAATAGAATATACAATTTCAACAGAAGTCAATGTCAGATTCAGAGAGGAAACAGAAAATTGGTGAAAACAACATAAATGAAACAGCACTGAAAGAATATGAAGAGAAAACTCATTAAAAATCCAAATGGAAATACTTAGTAAATTAAGAATAACAGCAAGCAGATGAGAAAGAATATTTAACAAAGGAAAATTAAATAAGTAAAGAGGAATCACAAATAAAATAGCAAAGAACAACCCTAAACGTTTCCAAAGTTCTAGAACTAACCTGACAGACGCTCTCTACGATGTTAGAAGCCACCTGCCTGGCAGCCCTGGAGGAGGATGAGAAGAGGACCCTACAGAGCCAGGTGTTACCACGGAGGTTGAGACTGTCAGGTGACTTCTTGGTGCTCGCCATCCAACGTCTACCGTACTTCTCGATCAGGTACCGACCCCTCGCCTGCTGGGAAGGGACCTTCTTCTCGCTGGTGTCTGGTGATGCACCTGCAATGGGATGAGTTCCAAGAACAGATTAAAAAGAGTCACAAATGCCTATTTGATCCAACATTTCTGTGACCTTGACATTAAAATATCTTGTGCTACTCCAGTAATGCAATCAAGACATATATGTATAGGTATATAAAAAATGATCTTATTGGAAAAGAGCTAATTTTTATGGTGACAAAGAAAGAGAAATATACACATATATATTTGACTTTTGTTTTCTTTGACATGATTATCACATATTAAAAGTGCACACAAAAAGCATGCAATATAGAAAATAACATTGGCAATAAATGATTAAGTAGGCCTATAAAAAAACTTGTTCTAAGTATTAAACACATTAGACCATTGAGTCATATTTTACTTTGCCCTTCAAACATTTTAATCTTGCTCCCCCTCCCCCCCCCCCCAATCCTGGCAAAAAAGGACAATCATCTTGTGTCTATGCAGTGTTGCTAGACCTTTAATAGAAGGGGCCTTAGCATTCCCCATATGCCTACAACCCCTCTCCCTCCCAACACATTCATCCTGTACCTTACCACTATGGTTAAAGGGGACCCTTATCTTTTATTACATGTATCCTACAGTACCCATATGATCCCTTACACATTAATCCTGAATCAAATCTAGACTTACATGTATAAGTAAGGATTTTAGTATGTTTTCCAAAGTGCCCTTACGAACTTCCAATGCGTGTATCCCACCGAGCCCTCTCCCATCCACTTAGTCGTGTTGATGTAGATATCACTTTATATTTATCTTCTCTTAAGAGGGACCATAGCGAGTATTCCAAAGTGCCCTTACAACCCCTCCCCCCCAAAAAAAGAGAACAACACACATTAATCCTGTATCTTACCAGTCTTGTTGGTGGGCACCCTAGTCTTCCAATGTGTGTATCCTACTGGGCCTTCTCCCATCCACTTAGTCGTGTTGATGTAGATATCACTCCCAGCTGGCTTCACTGTGCTTAGATTCTCAACGGTCTTCTCCTACACAAGGATACAGACAAACGTTTTAAGTCTCGTTCATATAAAACGTAAACTGCCCTTAAATACAGCACACCAAAATGAAATTACTAATAAGCGTAGAGCCTTTCACAATTCCATATCTTATATCACACTGATCAATAAGTACGCTATATAATAGAAGCCTTCAATGTGAGCCCTAGTTTTATTTTCAGCTCTGACAGTCATTTAGATTTAAAAGTTTACCGGTATATTTTGCTTTTTTTTTCTTCTTCTTCCAGTGGCAATTTACGTCATGTCTGAACAAGCACTAATTGCCTGAGGGATTTCCCCTACCAGGTATTTCATCTGTTTGGAGCCAGAAGGGTGTTAGCTAATGTACTTGAACACAGCGTTAAAGCTCTTCTGTCTTTCAACAGAAGGTTACGTACGTTGGCTTTGTGCTTCAAATTGTCAGCCACCTGAAAAAGGCACACATTCAAGAGGATGATACAGAGAAATTCCTCTATGAAGACTTCCCTCAGGGCATTCAGGAATCGATGACAACAAGGTTTGCTAGTTACAGCATCCTGCTGACGGGCATCTCCCAGGCACACACCCTCAGTTATGAAAGATTCACTCCTGGGTGTTACAATTACATCAATGACCTCCAGGAATTGCTTAATATAAATAGCTTAAGCATAATCCCTTTGCATATTTTCAAGTGAAAGCTGTGAATGATTTTCTTGTCATTGTGAAAAAGATCTGAAAAACATGCATTTAATGGTAATTTACAGTAAATTTCAGATAAATTGTATCGAGACTTCATACAGATGGCAGTGAGTGGGTTATACTATGAATATGAGGTTATCACAATAGAAAGGAAAGAAAGGGGGAAAAAGAGGAACAAAAGAGAAATGGTAGGAAGCAGATGTAAAGAAATGATTGAAATCATGAAAGAGGGAGAGAGAGAGAGAGAGAGAGAGAGAAAGAAAGAGAGAAAGAAAAGGAGAAAGGGGAGGAGAGAGAGGAGAGGGGGAGAGAAGGGAGGGAGGGATGGAGGGAGAGAGAAATAGAGAAAGAGAGAGAGAGAGCGAGAGAGGTGGGGGGGGGGGGGGGGGGAGGAGAGAGGAGAGAGAAAGTTGGAAGATGCGAGGGGAGAGAGAAGGATGGAGAGGGAGAGAGAGACAAGAGAGACAAGAGAGACAGAAAGAAAGACAGAAAGAATAAGAACATGAGGGAAAAGACAAAGAGTGTAGACACAATGATCACACATAGAATAAGGAAGGGCACTTCTCTTACAAGTACCTTGTTCTTCTTGCTGGTGGGTTGAGGGGGCTTGACCAGATGATGAAGGATGCGTAGGCATGGCAACGTGATGTTCTCCATGACAACCGGATTGCTGGTCTTCACAGCCATCAAGAACAATTTCATAACTGCAAAAGAAAGAGAAAGATGTGTGATACTAGATTTTCTGTGTAGATCTCCTGTACATCTTCAGTGATGTAAAGAAGTGTTTGTATTGATATTGTTATGATATTCTCTGATTGAAAGGTCTTAAAATACACAAATTCAACTATTTTGTTCACTAATAATGCCATCACTAGAGCAATTCCAAGCTATTTTGTCCCATATGTTACCGACCAAAACTAAGATTTTAGTAAATCTTAGTTAGTATTTTAATACCATTAGCTTTTAGAGCAAATAGCCCTACTAGAGCTCAGATCAGAATAAATATTAAGTGTCACTTTACATCCAGAACTCCACAGTACTTGGTAATGTATGGAACATCTAGCAGTCAGCATACATGCCAACATTTGAAAATCAGAAATCTGTACACTATGTGCGCGAAGCGCACATCACGAGCGCGAAGTCCTTTTAGCCGGGGTCCAGGGCCCGCTTTAGGGCCCTGGAAGCTCTGGGTTTCCAGATGCTCTCTGGTGCAATCTGAGCCTATTTTAGGGACCATTTCCCCTAAAATTTAACCCAAGTTTATGGGTAATTTTTGTGTCATACCAAACAAAAAAGTGATTGAAGTGAATTCCACATTTTAATTTATCCTTGGCAGAGGCAGAGCAGATAATAGACATAGATTTAATTAGCCACTCATGCAGAGTGATGCATTTAAGTCTAGTTTACTTTTTAAATAATTATACATGACATAGATCTATGCATAAAATGAGACTGGCAATAATGGTATTCAACTTTCCAGACAACAGTCAACAATCCAAAATTATTGTAACTCATTGAGCTACATGTAAATGAGGTTGTCAAAATCAATGTCAGCAGAACAAGACTCCACCACTGATCTTTAGATCTTGCCGACAATAAATGCAGTATACATTATTAGAGATGCCAACCCTATATGATGGCTGTCAGTAACATTTACCATATTTGTCCGTAACAAATGGGGGTCTTTCCGGAAGGAAGGCACCGCAGCATAATTTTCGCGCAAAACGTACACAAACACCCAATCACTCTTACTCACTGCATTTCGAACCTACCATTTTTAAGTCCAAAATAAAGATGTGCATAAAAACGTTTTTAAAAATCTGTTTCCAGTCAAAGGATCTCCTCCTTGGGTACTCGCTCTTTTGAGTGAATCCATGATAATATTCAGGAAGAAAACACCTCGTTCAAGCGTCGAATGGCAAATTCGAATCCACAGTCAAACGGCAGAACTCGTATCCTACACACGCACACGTACACGCGCGATCACCAGTACCACAGACACTCCAACCCAGGCCGCTAGGCCCGGCGTTCATGAACAACAACACACCGTATATCGCACTTGCAATGTGCCCACTGAATCACCGAAGTCTTCGCTACTATACTTTGAATGGGTATTGCGGGCGCCGCGCGCACGATCATCTACCACCATGCTCCCCCCAAAATGCACGACCGCACACTAGTATCATAACAGTAATAACGGCGGCCGTGTTGTTTCGGAATTAAACAAGATGGCGGCGGACGGACCATGTGCGTGAAAGTGCCTATCCAGTGTAGTCAATGCTATGTATGGAAAGCCAAATTCCCCAAAATCGGAACGTTCCGTTTTTTAAGGCTATAAAAACTTCAAAAACGGAACAGTTCCGTTAAAATCGGAACGGTTGGCATGTCTGAGTCAGGTATAACAAACAAACATCAAGTAAACACAGGACGGACTGTATCAAGGTGGACTGCAAGAATAGACACCTTGACTCCCTGACTATAAAGCCACTAGGCTAACAGAAGATACGAAGGCGTGGCAAGCCGTTGTGAAACCGAAGCCATCATACATCCCAGATGTTGTGGACGCTTAAGTCAAGTCAAGAAGCTAATCAAGATTCATGATTAGATATTTCCAAACTTTTAATGCATCTTTTTATCGATAAGAAGCTTACCGCATTTGAGTCTCTTCTCCCAGCACGAGTCGTCCTTCTCAATGGTGTGGATCAAAAGAGCCATCTCGTTGCGTACAGCTCCAGCCTGGAGAGTGAGAGAGAGAAAAGTGGGAGAAAATTATAACAATGATAACATTAAAAAAACATTTCATGTAGGATGAAGAACTAGCCCTTTTGTTTCAAAGCTTTGGAGTGATACAGAGTATTTAATGTCATCTGTTAATCAGATATACATGTATAGAATCTTACATGAAACCCCATGAAAATGATGATGAATTTTTTGATGTGATGCTCTTACATTGGCCTACTTGGGATACTGACTAAAAACTGTTTGTATACCATCATCTCAAGGCTCTGACTCACAGGCCCAGGTTTACAGTCTTTATAAACCAGCTCACATTCTTATTCATATTGTCCAGAAACCTCACGAGTCTTCTCATTCTATAATATATCCCAAGTTGGCCACCCAATATCTAAATGTGCATCTTCTTTTTTTATCTTCATATTTCAAATTTAAATCCAACTACCACATACATCAGTGAATCTTGATGTACACCCCCTCTTCTTTTTTGTTCTCTCTCTCTCTTTTTCCCCCTTTTACCAATATTTTTTCCTCCATATTTGTATTATTATGTATCCATCGAGGGTAGTCATGCTATCAAGCTTTGCTTACTTTGTCAACCCTCCTGTTCAATATTTTTGATAAGTTACAGCCAGCCTTACTTTGTGCTACATATATTTTTTTGTCATGTGTAAAATTTGCAATGTTTTGTTTGTTATATATTTGTAAAACTGCAAAGAAAAAGAAAATTTACCATCAAGAACTGGTGATCTATCTAATTAGAAATCAAGAAATTCTTGTATCATTATGACAATTGCAAACTAGAAGTATAGCAACAATAAAGATCCTCAAACAAGAGAAGATAAAAATCAAAAGGACACAAAAATTGATAAAATGTGAGGGAAGAGTTTTAAAAAGAAGAAGAAGTTGGAAGCAAGCACGAGAGAACAACATACCAAGTCCGGATTTGACCTATGACCTTGAAGAGCTGTACCAATCCTAGCCATAAGGATGTCGTTGAGTAGCTCAGTAGCTGGGGCGTTGTCTCGGGTAAGGAGGAACAGTAGCTGGCGTACTTCGGTGCGGATGACGGCCGATCCACGGCGCATGTTGTATCCTACCAACTCCTGGATTAGACCCTGTGGTATAATGACATGGAAGCATTAAAGCAGATGATGATGATTGATGACCTTTCATCCAAGATAACAATATCTTATTTCTCCATCATACTTTACGTATGATGGAGAAATAAGTACACATTCAACTTTAAAAGCAATCCATAATATTTTTGTTAATTTCATTGTTTTTCATACACAGTAATGAAAAATATTCTGTTACTTAAGTTTCAATAAATATATGATAAATACTAGTACAGTAATGACAAATATTCTGTTGGCAGTTTTTTCAACAACTATATGATAAATACTAAAGTTTCAATAAATATATGATAGATACTTATGTCTTTTGGCAAGATATTAATCTACATTTGCCACACTCCACCCAGGTGAGGTAAATGGATACCCGGTAGGAAGAAATTCCTTGAATGCATGAACGCCTTTTCATTGGAGCTCGGCTAAAACCGGGGTTATAATATGATCGCAGGGCCCTCAGGGAGCACAGTATTAGTACTGATGAGGCTACCCTGGGTGAGCAAGAAATATTATTATTATTGTTATTATATTACTTCATCTCATTTCAGTTATTTGTGATAGTTGTCATGGTAATGATGCTTTACTGACCTGATTGACGAGTATCTGTCTGGTTTCTGGGTGAGAGGCCAGTGCTCTGAGAAGGGTCACACAATGTTCCGTAGCAGCTGCTGCACATCCGTAGCACCGCCCGAGGCTGGAAGATGATTACAGAACAAGAAGATTGAATCGAATTATAGAAAAGGTGTCAGAGGCAGCACTATTATTATATCATTGAGCTTATTAATGATTCATCATCATATTGCCTTTGAAGGGGAAAGGTGTTGGAGCAGTGGTCTTGTATCCGGGAGACCTGGGTTCAAAACCAAGTTGATGTGCTTGTGCCTTTCGGTGAGGCATTAATCCTCATTACCAAGTCCCTTGGAGAGGACTTAAAGCCATTGGTTCTCTGGTAAGCCAACTAACACGCATACACATGCTTTCTTAGCAGTGGGTAAAACCAACCAACAAATCAAAATGGACTTTAACCAGTATTGCCCTCATGTCTCTCCATCTGGTACACATGATTGGGACAGTCAAGTGTGCCATCAAACCATAATTTTATCTACGTTTCCGCACACAGTTTACACATTGGTCTTATCACTTGAATGGGAATTATATGAATTTCATCAAGATTCAGAGTTTGTCTTTTTTTAAAAACTTTGTACCTGACATGTGAAGAAAAAAAAAGAAAGAAAATGTGAAAACGTACTACAACTGTTGGCTTGAGTGGGCAAACATTTAATTGATATCTGACATTTCAAGGCTGAAGAATAGAAAGATATCCTACCTTCTTTCTTGCTGGCAGCTGGCTACCTCCATGGCCATGGAGCTAGCAGGTGGGGTGGGGTGAGGGCTGGGTAGGGGCGACATGAGGGGGGTCATACCGGAGTGTGGTCCTCCAGCTTTCAAGGAGGATTCCCTCTGTCTGCAGTCATATTCAACGAGCTCCTTGCGGCAGGCCAGGACTTTCTGCAATATCACAGATGGATTCACGATCGTAGTGAAACCTCATATACTTTGCCCTTCACATTGATTATTACAGACCAATCCTATTTCAACAAAAATACTGATTATATAATATGGTTTTATGAACTTCATACAGAGTAATTGTAGATTGCATGCAGTTTATTATGAAGATGTTTGTATGTTACTGCCAGAAGGAGGCTTACTGAATAAATATTAATCAACACTAAGGAAAATTAATCTAGGATTAAACCATTAAATCTATTCATTTAAAATTAATTAATTCATCATTCATTATTCAAATTAAGTTGGTATCTGATTTTAATTGTATTTACTACCCAACTCTATCTCTCCCTCATTCTCCGAAGCACATGGGGTCTGAAAAGTGATATGTGCTAAACAAGTATCATTTTTATTATCTATTCATGGCTAACATACCTGTATGATCTTGCTGAGTTCTTCAAAGGTACCCTTGCAGTCTCCACAGTACCGCTGGGCCAGGAGCTGGATGACGCGATTCACGGTGGCCACGCCGGAGCTTCCGGAAGGACCACTGGAGGCTACAGATGAGAGATCCTGTAGGAGAGAGCAAAGATATTCAATGAAGGAAAGTAATTAATAATAAAAATAATGATAGTGGCTACTTGTAGAGTGCACAGGTCCACCTTTCGGTGCTCATGGCGCTTAGAGAAAAATACATAAAACAAACATAAGAAAGAAAAAACCATCATGAAATGACTTTCAATTGAAAACTGCACGGGGAATAAAGTAATGCCAATTAATTTCTCTAAATCATGGGAAATGAACTTCAAATAGGACTCTTTTCCTGATTTGGATTTCTTCTTGAACAGGAATGGATCTCAAAATAAAATAAATCTTCAGATCACTCACCGAAGACTTTTCTCCTCCTGCTTCATGAACTTTGACCAGCAGTGCTTCTAGTTGAGGGCGGTGTGACACGAGCTGACGGTAGACACGGTCTGCTCGCTCAAGCAGGGAGTTGATGCTGGTGGTGGCCTAAAAGAGATAAAGGGAAAAGGAAAATATCTTGAGCCTTGTCCGGTACAAAGTATCCATTTCGTCGATATTCCGTCACATGCAAATGCATGGACATATCTTGTTTTCTATAATGAAATACTGCCTTTCATAACATAAAGTAAATAACTCATAAGCTATTCATTGTCTACCATACACAAGAGGAGGAAAAGAACTGATTTTCTTGCCTAGTAAGTTACCACAATCATCAGGTGCTAAATAGGAAATCATGTAAATCTTATCATTATAGCTTTCTAATCAACACATTTCTTCACGACTATATTTTTGGGTGATATCTTTTGCAAAGTCAATTTGTGATGGTCCTAAAGTTCACTGTCATTGCAAAGCAAAGAATTTGAATTAAATGCACTGAAATAAATAATTGGAAAGGGTTCCTTTCCTTCTAAGTAGTTAATTAGGCGTCCTAAAGCAGGGGTGATAGTGAGATTTTCAACCACCCCCCCCTCCCCTTGAGTAAAAAAAAAAAAAGATTCAGAAAAAAAATGGCATCTAACTTTGAGTAAGAAAATTTAGAAAAATAGGGGAAAAAAGGGAAAATCAGGGGTAAAATCGGGAAAAAAATAAATAAATTCAGGAAACCAATTTAAATTGGGTAATTATCAGGCCTGCTAAAGGTGACGATGGTACCGACGGAATTCATCCAATACCTTCTTCCTGTCCTCTTCGTTCTCGATGGGATCGACAGCACAGCAGGCCCTCGCAGTCAGTGTGTAGTCAAACTTGGCGTACTTGCAGAATCCACAGGAGTTACACAGGAACGGGTCCTTCTCGTCGTAGTTGATGGCTCTTTGTGCATAGAAACGTGAAAGAAATATAACAAAATAAGTTACAAGTAAATGATTTATATTCAGACTATTACATATCTGTAGAACTGTACATGTATGTTCTCTGGCTATATGTTATGCCATGCTTTGGCAAATCCATTGTCCTGGGCAATGTATGCTATGTTTTTAAATATTTCTGTATAACTATGATCAATTTGTACCACTGTCTATTATGTCAAAAGGTTGTTCAGATCTCATTATGTATGGTGAAGGATACCATTACCAGTAAGATTATAGTTTATCTCTACGGGTATTTGAAAATTAGAGTGATGTTTAGCCATGGAGAAAAATAAAACAACATCATTTTTTTGCTAATGAGGTTTCTCTTTCAAAGAGCTTTTGAGAATAGGGGTCGGTATTGAGTTGTATTGGAGAAACATAGAAATCAAAATTCCTGGTCACAAATTCACAGTATCAAATCTTCAGATGATCACAAATACATCCCATGAAGAAAAACAAAGTTACAGGTTAAGACTTGAGGCAAATGTGTGGTGCTAACATCATCGATCTGACAATTATAATTGTACGTATTTGATGTATTGCCTCTACTCTCTAGTATCGCATGATATACACAAATTACTAACAGGCTACCAAATTAATCTTAGCATGTGCACCATCTTCACCCGACCACGGAGTACTCAAACTCACCTGCACTTGTGGCATTGGAAAACATTCTCTCCGCAGTTGCCGCAAACGCCGGGGTTGGCCGGCACAGAAGCGCTGCAGCGGGGGCACTGCAGAGTCTCGGCGGACGCGGTCAGGTTGTCGTAGAAGTCTGCGTACTCGATCATGATGTTGGCTGCGACGATGGGGAGGGGGAACTCCAGCTTGAGTTCTGTCTGTCCAGCTGCCAGCACACATTTCTTGGCTTTGTGCCAAATCGTGGGTCTGAAATAAATGTTACATGACAATGATTAGGTGATAATCACACAGTTAACGTGATGCACATACATGAACATGTAAATGTGGTTTTACTACAACTGCAGAACATGAAATTAGCTACAACACACGAAGCAGACTACTTCTACTGCTCTTAATCATATTCCAGATACCCTGTACCATAATTACAGCTGCTTTAATACTACTCCAACTCATTCCTAATATAGATTAAAACTTCTATCACTGCAATATCTACAAAGACTACCACGATCACTGCCATTGCAGCTACATTTGATAACTAATGAAGTTCATGTGAAACAAGTGACACCTGAAACTATAAAAAATTGCAAGTATCAAATGTTTTCATTCAATCGTTTCATAGCATGAAAGTGTTTTCAGGTTTGGTCCACTCACATACTTTTTAGAAGTTTCATGTACAAGAAGGTTTCTTGTTTTAAAGAACCTATTTGCTTGCTTTAGAAAAAAAAATTGAAGAAAAAAAACCTAGTTCACTTACGTAAGGTGTGATGGCTCATAAGTAGAGCAGTGGTCTCATAACCAAAAGGTCCCAAGTTTGAAACCACGTTGATTGGCTAGTCCCCTTTGGAAAGACATTAATAACCAAGTCCCTCGGAAAGAAGGGAATTTGGTCCTCTGGCTGCTTACTTTAATACAAGCACACACATGCCTTTTATTAGTGGTTAGGCAAAAAAAAAAATCCAACCAAACTTACTTGTTCTTGAGTTCGACCACTGACTGGACAGTGCGGTTGTTGTAGTAGATGTTGATTGTCCTCACCATCTTGGTACGCTTGAGATCACTGATGCGGAGCGTAACCTTGGCGATGGTGTGGGTGCCAACCAGCTTCACAATTTGGGAGTTGGCCGTGTTCCTCGAGTCTACTTTCAGGGCCGTCAGTTTCATGTTCTATAGTATTGAAACAGGGGAAAAAATATGTTAAAAATTTCAGGGGCTATTTTTCAAGCCTGCTTGCATTGAATTTACACTCTTTGCATTGAACTTTATGCAAATTTTGTTGGGCTCTTCCATGACTCTCGGGGGCTAATTCACCAAGAGCCAGAGATGCCAACCCTATAGGATGGCTGTCAGTAACATTTACCATTTTTGTCCGTAAGAATTGGGGGTCTTTCCGTACGCAAGACACCGCAGCATAATTTTCGCGCAAAACGTACACAAACACCCAATCACTCTTACTGCATTTCGAACCTACCATTTTTACATTTAAGTCCAAAATTAAGATGTGCATGAAAATGTTTTTTTTCATCTATTTCCAGTCAAAGGATCTCCTCCTCGGGTACTCGCTCTTTTGAGTGAATCCATGATAATATTCAGGAAGAAAACACCTCGTTCAAGCGTCGAATTGCAAATTCGAATCCACAGTCAAATGGCAGAACTCGTATCCTACCACGCACACGTACACTCACCAGTACCACAGACAGCCCAGGCCGCTAGGCCCGGCGTTCATGAACAACAACATACCGTATACCGCACTTGCAATGCGCCCGCTGAATCACCGAAGTCTTCGCTACTATACTATGAATGGGTATTGCGGGCGCCGCGCGCACGATCATCTACCCCCATGCTCTCCACAAAAAGCACGACCGCACGTAGCATACGTAGCGGCCGTGTTGTTTCTGAATTAAACAAGATGGCGGCGGACGGACCATGTGCGCAAAAGTGCCGATCCAGTGTAGTCAAATTCAGTGAACTTATGAGTTCGTAAATGCGTGCGACATGCAGCACTGTGTACGGAGGCTATGTGATAAGGCGGCATTCGCTATAATGTACTTTTGTTTATCGTTTCCCCGTAACCTTTTGATTGTTTACCGTAACGCCGTAACAAGAGCATTAAAACCATAACAAATACGGCAAAACCGTAACGGTTGGCATCTCCGCAAAGCCCCTGTGTATTTATTCCCTGTATTGAAATGAGGATCAGAGAATGTTACTGACTTCTTCAAAAGCATCATCCATTTCATGGAATAAGGAGCCAGTGGATACAGAGGATATAAGAACTTTAAAATCCATGGAAAGCTATTAATTGGTAATCTTCCTTTTTATGTAACACGTAAAGCACATGAGCATGTATGTGTCGATTTTTTAGTTTTAGTTTTTTCTTCAGAATAGATTTTTAATTATAAACGCTTATATCAACATAACGAAGCCCTAGTTTATGACACGAGACAATTAATCTCTCTCTCTCTCTCTCTCTGTCTATCTGTCTCTCTATCTCTCTCTTTCTCTCTATTCCTTTATCTGTCTGTCTGTCTGTCTCTTTCTCTCTTTGTGTTTCATGTATACACAACAAGACTTTGGAACTCCTGGTAAATCCTGGTAATTTCATAGTCTATACTCAAAACTACCTACAAAAATGTATCAAGTGACCTTACATATATTGACCTTTTATCTTAGACACACATCTTTTGAGTACAAACAGATAGAGTGACAGATAACTTCAAACACTCTTCATATACCAAATACTGGAACTAATTACAAAAATCAGATTTTCTGAAGTTCATTAGGGCAATTAAATACAGCGTTGTCATTTATAATAAATGGATTCCTTTTAGTAAACTCACAGTGAAAGGTACTTCTGGATTGTTGCAAACCAGGCAAGGATCACTCTCTAGATAGAACCCATCGAATTCTACCAAACCCGCTAACATGCTGTGGAAAGACAAAACATACATACATTATTTACAGGCCCACTGCACTAGTTTGGCCAGGAGGGATTAGACCTCCCTGCATGGTCACTGACAGGTGGTAATCTCACCAAATCAGCTCTCAATTAACATAAGAAAAAGAGGATCATGGGAGACCAATGGTTACTGATCAGGCATTGTTTGCTATTTAGAGGGCGCAAGTAGCTATAAGAAGTGCAGTGGGGCTTTAAATATTGAGTCTCAATACAACATGAAATGTGAGCTTATATTTCAAATGCATCATAGGTATTTTTCATATGTGAAAAAATTATTTCATGTTAATAAATATATCTCAATATTTAAATGACTTTTTGCATGTTTTTTAATTTCTTATTCTAATATCAAGTCACAATTTGAGATGAAATATGAGCATATATTTCAAATGCATCGTACTACATGAATGTGTATTAACAAACTACAAGCCTTAGATATCCATCAGTAAAGTCACTTTACAAACTTATCATTGGTGTATGAAAGAAGTGAGATACATTTTAATGATGAGATATATTCATTTAGTTGAATTCGTTGAATTATTGTTAAATAATGAATTGTAAACATAATTTTCTATATTTTAAAAATAAAATCTCTGTAAATCATGCATGCAATTCAGCCATTGGCTGCGATATGTTGATGAATAAATACCATACCTACCTCTTTTAATTTTTTCACATATGAAAAAGATATAATATGGCATTTGCTTCTGAAGTAACACACATACCAAAGAAATTATGTTACTTATTACTTGCTTTCTGAATGACCAGCATCAAGCATTTAAAGTTGCGCATGCGTGGGTACATAGAGGTCAGCACACTGAGCCAACGGGTATTACGCTCCCATGCGTATTAGTGTCCCTTTATGCGTACGTTCGTACAGGTGCGTAATACTCGTTGGCTCAGTGTTTGCCAAGTTGCCTACTTCATGAACGACTATATACCCATGCATGAACATCTTTAACATGAATTGATACTTACTTGTAGATGTTAGAATTGGGATGGTTGGCAAGGCATTGATTCTGGGCCTTCAGAAGAGCAGCAGCCTTCTGGACATACTGCAGGGACTGTACGAAACACAAGACATGGAAAGACTTAAGATGTTAGGTATAGTATAGGAAGTCATCGGTAAAGTTGTCTTTACCACTGGTTTAATATCTAATATGTATATTTTGTAAATTGTATAAAATGGCCCCATGGAAGACCAGCAGCAACAATATAGTTGCAACTGAAAATGGGCTACCAGCCGTATTTTGTCCTTTTTCTCTGTATCATTACTTTGTATGTATTTTATTTGATTTTATTAGACGGAAATAAATAGAAACAACAAACCACTTCAGTAATAAAGCTAAATCAAATGAATGATCATTATTATCATAATTCAAAGTTTAATCTATTCCTATACCAAATTAGCATTATCATAACCATCACCAACATCGATACCGCCACTAGCTTCCTCTTCCTCCCCCTCATTATCTTGATTAATATTGCCACCACAGAGATCAGTGTTTTATCATTACTTTGATTATCATCACTAAAATTATTACCATTACCATCATCATCATCTTCATCTTCATCATCATCATCATCATCACCACCACCACCTCCACCACCATCACCACTATCATCATCACCACCATCATCCTCATCATTATCATCTTCTTTTTCTTCATCAATAATACTATATTCTCAAATGTCACATTTTCTAATCTACTTCCAAAGGCTTGAAGAGTGGATTATTATCAGCACTCGATCGGATCAATGCTATGTATGGAAAGCCAAATTCCCCAAAATCGGAACGTTCCGTTTTTTAGGGCTATAAAAACTTCAAAAACGGAACAGTTCCGTTAAAATCGGAACGGTTGGCATGTCTGGATAAGTGTTAAAAAGAGCAATGCTTAAGATCCATCCTGAGCCTACCTTGCCTACACTGTATGGTGCCTTGAGGGAGAAGTAGCCGAGAAGGTCAACGAACTGTGAGGCCTTGCGTCCATAGTTGGATAGCTCCGGCCAGAGCTCCCACATCAGCTCCAGCAGCTCCTCCTGCTTGGCTGCCGGAGAGCTCCTTCAAGAATGTACATGAGAGAGAATTTGTTTATGATGGATTATACTGGAATGCTCCCCAGGGGATGGAGAATATGCATATATTGTGCGCGGGTAAGCCTAAATCTGATGACCAGGGTAATAATATATATGTCTGTAAAGCGCTTTGGTCATCGATTAGGCATTGTTTGCTATATAGAGGGCGCAAGTAGCTATATGTAGTGCAGTGGGGCTTTAACATTACCCTTTTTTTCACTTTTTGGATAGTACATGAAATTAACGATTCAATCTTACCTGAAGATGTAGAGCAAGAATCCATGAGCTTGCCAGCGCAGAGCTGTGTTGTTAGACTCCAGGAGATGGGTCCTGATGAAACGACGGAGGATGTCACGGCTGATCGACTTGTTGAGCTGGTTCACCAATGCCTGACATAGCACCTCGTCATGCACTGGAGAGCTCTCTGAAGGAGATGAATGAACAACAATGGTTAAAGTTAGCTTTAATAGCAAAGATTATTCATTAAAATATGTATTGTCTTACTCATATTAATTTTTTAAAGGATTGATACTACTACATGTGTAGGCACCAGGAAAAACATATTTTCACCTAATCCATAACCTTAACCAATACTGTGTATGAACTTTAAATGAATAGTTCAGCCGTTTGAATTTTCTTTGAGAATTTGGTATAGAACCTTCAACAGTCTAACCTTTCTAAATAATTTAATAATACTCCACACAATAATAAAAGACATTTCTTTATTCCAAAAGTACATGTATTGTTACCCTTCATTCGATTTTTCAAAAAACAAAGATGGGTTTTCACCGACATTTCCTTGATAAATATGCTCTTTAATGTAAGCGTAACTGGGAAAATAATTAATAGAAAACATTAATAATTTACCTTTCTCTTCCGATTTATCTTTGTCCTTGTCCTTGTCCTTTTCTTTCTCCTTTCGTTCACGTTCTCTCTTCGCTCTGGAGCTCGACGAGGATGACGATGACGAGCTTGAGGATGTGGGTTGACCTTTGACCCCACAAAGGGCACAGGTCAGGAGCTGAAGGACGAGAGGCGAGACTCCTTCGTCAAGGTGGAAGCTCGCTTGGAGAAGGCTGGGAATAACAGCTGTAGACACCAAAGGTGAACAAAGATTATGACATTTTTTATGAGTGAAACCTCATAACAGATCCTCCATATCTCAAGGAAACATAAAATGCAATAACTTTATTGATCTTACATTATAAGGATGTTAAAGATAAAGTTGAGTTCTGATCATGAGATTGCATTGTGAAAGAAATGGTGTGGAATCGATCAGAAAAAGTTGATCATCTAGCATATAAGTATTGGTGTGTACTGCAAGGTTCTGGAATCATCAAAATGATAAGAAATTTGGTCCAGTCTTGATAAAGTTACAAGCACTGTACACAGAAAGATGAATATGGGACTACACAAACATGTGGCATAAAAATCTGTCTCAATTATGATGTTACATGCCATATTTAGAAGAGCCATGCTTTTCAGGGAACTTTTTTTATCTGATGTTCTTCCACACTTGCATAATACAATGATAACGCTCACAAATTATTTTCAACTCATCCCAGAACTCAACCTTCTCTTTAACTGTTATCACAAAATTATGAATATTTAGGAGTAAATTAGCGGATTACAACAAATTATGGTCATAAGAACACTGGGGAAAAACAGACTTGCATATCATAATGAGAGAACAGGGAAAGAAGGAATAATGCATACAGTATTCATTTTTTCATTCCATTTCTGAAATTTGAATATCATATACAGGTGTAACTGTTGTATTGTACATGTACATGTATGTACAGTGTATATATTTGGCAAAACAATTTTGCAATTAATCTGAACTGGAAAGCTCATCATCTAGTGCTAACGGAGTAGAATCTGATCATGTTTTTGTTCCTGCAGCAATTCATGCAGCAAATGTCATCATATAGTCGGGAAGACTTAAAAGAAGTACCATTTTGAGATTACAAACTTACTATCGTCTTTGATGGCAAACTTCTGCCAGTTTGTCGTTCTTGAGGTGGCCACTTCTTGGCATGCCTTCAGATGCTCAATCTAAACAACAAAAATCAAAGTTGATTCAGAAAATATAATATGTTATTTCAAGTTTTAGATATGTAACTGATTAATTCTTTTCACATTACATTTGATTTGATTTGATTTTTTATTTCTGCATTTTTCCAAATATAATATAACTGAATAACAAAGAACATATAAATGTAAGGTATAATACAACATATACAAACAATAATTTCTTCATGTCAAATGTTGTTAACATAATATATGTACATATAATAACAAACTTAAAATTTCCATAACATATAATCATAAATTTAAAGTATTATCCGAACTATCAGTTATTATTTGTTGCAGGCATTTGAAATAAATGTAAATGCAACACAAATGTCTTGACAGATTGTATCAGGGAAATATTCTAAGTATGAATGATACAATGTACAGGCATCAGATGCTATCATCATTTTGAATAAACAAATTTTGTGAGCCTTTAATCATGATCTATTTTGTGATATTTTTCTTGTGTTTTCATACAATAGCAACAACATATTCATTAAAACATGAATGAATTTTTCCATTTGATGTAATTCTTATTTGTAAGAAGGGCCAAATTAATAACCAAAGTGTATTTGATATAGGTGCATGTATAAAGTATACTAGAGAAAGTAGAGATGAACTTACCAGAGTAATGAGGGTGTCATATGGTAGGGATATAGGAGTGGTAGAAACAGTCTCCAAATGCAGTCCATTCTCGGAGCAGATTTGCCTAAAGAATAAGAAACAGTCAAGTAAAATACAACTCATGCACATATTAACATGTACAGTTCTGTTTGATATAGACATCTTTTTTTAGAGAGGAAAACTCACATGTAGTTGCAATATGAACTACGTTCAGTGCAAAACTTTCCTACAAAATGGAGCAGTTTTAAATTTCTTTAAATAATATTTCTAATATTTCCTATTGTCTGTATGCCTGTCTGTTAGTCTGAATCTCTATCTTCCTGTCTGGCTGTATTTATCTCTCTGTCTATCTCTCTTTAACTCCTCTCTCTCTCTCCTTCTCTCTCTCTCCCTTTCTGGTTGACTGATTTGCTTTGGTGTGATTACAGGAGCATTTGGAAATTCTCTTTCTTTTCTTCACCCCTCTCCTTTTTCACTCATCCCCCTCTTCCCTTCTACTTACTTGATATCTTGCATATGCGACTCCAGTGCATGAAGATCCCTCAGCTCTCTGTACAGCTCTACCCCCTCCCCTCCTCCTCCCATCCCCTATACCCTCCACCCACTCCCCTTCCTCCTCCCATCTCCCATCCTACCTCCCCTTCCACATCCACTCACTTGATATCTCTCATATGCGACTCCAGTGCATGAAGATCTCTCAGCTGTCTGTACTTCTCCTTGGATCCACAGATGAAGAGTAGGAGCTTGCGGACCTGGCGTCTCACAAATGGTGTTTGCTGGGTCATCATGTACTAAAGCATAATAATAATAACAATGATAGGTCCATTTATATAGCGTAGCTACTATATGAATATAGTCTATGGTCATTAATACGAGGTATCATATTATTACCCTGGCTGTAGCTTTTTCTTACTACCAAGTACCCATATTACTGGGTGGAGAGTGGCAATTGTAGAATATGTCTTGCCAAAGGACATCAACGTGGCAGCGGGACTTGAACCGCGAACCATGTGATCCACAGTCCGGTGACGTATCCACTAGACGATAACACCTCTACATACAAATATTATCAAATTTAGATGGTGTGTCCTATAAATAAAATTTCCTGTTTTTATAACTTCAATTGCATATTACATGTATTTAATATAATACTTAAATTTCATTTTCACATTATGAAAGTTAAACTGTAACGTTCATTACTATGGATTAGAAGACTTTCATCATTATCATTTCAGTCTGAGACAAATATTTTATATTTTGTCTTTATGTACACAGAAATGACTTGCTAATTTCTCTTTCAGCTAATTGATTATATAACAATAAAATAAGCAATATATAATTCAATCCACCAATTCAGAATTTACCCAACAACATATAAATAAACTGCTTCATATAACAAGCAAGCTCTAAATTACATAATAGTAACAATGGTGAGTTACAAAGCTATCCTTAACCTGTTGACTACTGAAATCTCTCAATCCCATAGGCTTAAAACAGGGACAACATGGAGTCAGTAGGCAGTGGGTTAATATCATGACAATAAACTCATGGATAATATGCATGAATCTATCTTACCTCACATAGATAGTAGAACCAGGCTTGATCAAAGATGGGTATACCAACAGAAGGAGCAGAGTCACATATCTTCTTCATCTGTCAAACACGTGATAAATAACAACACATTGAGAAGAATATAACAAGAACAACAGGTTTGTTGCTAAGAATTAGAGGGAGTACAATACATCATAACGTTATTGTGAGCATTTTTTAGAATATTCTCTTACAAGGTACAATGTACGTGACAACTAACAAAGGGAATGAGTGTACAGAGAATATACATCCAAATTCATACAAAAGATTTCAAATCATGAATCCATCTCCATTACTGATCTCATTACTTTATTATGATCCAAATTTAACCTTCTTGAGTTCATGAATAACTTTTGAGTTTTTAAGAAGAAAGAAAAGCACTAGATGAGTTACATGTATTGTGGCATATCTGACCTCCCTCCCTCCCTCTGTGTCTCAAAAACTCTGGCATGCAATTAATCTCTGTTTACTGTTTAGACCATGAGACACCACTTTAATGCAAATTCTTCAGAAAATTTGGTTGGTTGGTTTTACCTGACTGCTAAGAAAGTATGTGTATGCTTGGAAGTAAGCAACCACCGGACTGACGGCTTTAAGTCATCTCTGAGAGAATTGGTAATGAGGAGTAATGCCTTACCAAAGGGCACAAGCACACTGATTTGGTTTTCGAACCAGTATCTCCCGGTTACGAGACCAATGCTCTACCACCGAGCCATCCCCAAATAGAAAAACAAACCAAAAAACAAAGAAAGAAAGAAAACCAAAAACCTACCTGGTATGGCAGTCTGAGGACCATTTCAGTCAGTAGCTGTGGATAGGCTTCAAATACATCTCCTGCATGGCCCTGTAGCATCAAGATACAAATTTGTTGATTTGTATATAATGTCAGGAAAGTGGGGCACAATGTTATTGATCAAAATAAAGAAAATTCATTTTTTGTGGAAGTGATAAGATAATAGTGGCAGAGAGACAGCAAATTATGGTGGTATCTGTTCCATTTATATGCAAATATTCTTCCTACATGTACATATATGTACATGCACATTCTTGAATGTATCAAAATTCAATTAGGTTTACTCTAACAATATATGAATCATGTCCTGTCTTTCATACTGACTGCCGTAGCAATGATGTCACATCCCATAATCAAATCATCCTAGCAAAAGAATACTGGATGTGTTCTCATTGTAATATATAAACATGGAAATTGGATGAAGACCATAACATTTTTTTCTTGCGCACCCTGTACACCTTTGACATACCTTGACATACTGACGTAAGAAGAATGGTGACATGTCAGGAGGAGCTGAGGGAGGGTGCGGCTTGAGAAGGTTACCTCCTGGTGGAGAAGGCTCCTATAAAAACAAACATCAAAGTTAGATTTATGCATTTAAAATGATCAAATTACGCTAAATAAAGTGACAATGAATAGCTAGGCTGCGCATATGCGCATCTATGGCGAGTACAAAATTAAGACACTACGAATTACACATACATGTAGTGGCAAGTGACAAAGACATTGATACGCACACTGAGACACTCATTACAATGTAAGGCTGCGCTTAGACTGTCATTCAAAGCAAATGGCGGCCCACTGAGGGGCGATTGGTAGAGTTTGTTGCTAATTTCACGACTTTACATTCACTTTTTCGACCCGTTTTTTTAATCAAATAAATTCATGTTTTTACAATGAGCGGGATAATGAGCTCGTCAAGTCTTGTTTATTATCCCATCGTGACTTAACTTCCATGCAGAGCATATTCACTAATACACTCCCAAACATGAAGTATATCTTTAACTGGGCTATTTCAGACCAGGTTTTTACTGGGGGGGGGGGGGGGTCAATTTGACCCCCCCCCCCTAAGATCTCGGCCGCTTCACCGCCGATCGCCGCGAAAATTTGCATGCATGTCAAGTGAAGTGTATAGATTACTATGGTTATTTCAAATTTTTGAAAAATTCACTCATTTGCATATTTATGGTAATTTATGCAAATAAGGTCATCAAATTCACATTTCTGCCCATAAATCATAGATTATTCATGTTTACGTATTCTTTTTCACTACATATATTTATTAGACCATTTGGAATAATAATACAACACAAAAAATTGGAAGAGCCAGGTTATTCCTTATGTTATCTCTTGTTTTTATAATTTCTTATGTATTTCATTGTTTTTTTAACTTATGTATTTTATTGTTTTTGTTGTTTTATTTCATTTATAACTACAATTCAACTATTTTGACTCCAAAAGAAACATCTATACTTTAAACAAGACTGAATAACCAATGTTTGATCCATTTTTAGGAAAAATGACTTTTACATGTTTTGTACACAAATCACAAAAATGAGCGATTTTCGGGCTGACATGCAAAGACAAAAGGTCATGTAACCTTGTAACCGTAGGTCCGATTTTCGAAAAAATCAATTTAAAAGATGCGTAAGACTCGAAAGTAAAAAGTCATGAAAGGAAAATTTTATATCTGCCCCGGTTTCGGAGTGGTCGCGAAATTTCTACAGGAGGGGGGTCAAATTGACCCCCCCCCAGTTAACATAGGGTTAATCTGAGCCAGCGTAATTGCTATGCCTACATGTATGTTACATGCAGAATCTATGGAAGTTAATGGCGATAGAATGTGAACTCTTTTTAGTTATGATACAATGCCTCTTCAATATTGAATGCAGAAATTAAATTCAAACAAACTTACATCATCTATGCCTGTTTCTTTCCAGTGGTCCAGCAATGCTTTGAGAATGAGTAGACAATGATCCACTGCTCCACAACTCAACAGAGCAGCTGCTGTAGCATGGGAGATCTGGGTTGATGACTGCAAGAGAGAAATAAAATAATTCAAAAAGTCATTTAAAGCAAGGTAATGTTCAGTTCTATACTAAAATAGGACAAATAATAGTTTGTTTTTTTTTCTTCTTCTCCTTCCTTTTTTCTTCTTTCTGATTATTTAGTTGGGGAGAAACTTCTGCAACTTTTTTAAAATAGCTAGGTAAGGCAAGCAAAAGGTCAGAGATTTCTAGTACAAACCACATTGGTAATCTGAGATTTGTGTGAACAATATTTGCTCTTGAATCTAGGGTTTATTTCATTATAGACATTGGATTGAACTTGGGCTTTAGGTTTTGGTTAGGGCTATAATCGGGAATAAATTTGGCCTTTGGTTCAGTACTGGGTCCAGTGCTGAGGTTAAGAATTTAGTTAGAGATAGAAATTAAATGCAGATCAATTGTCGCTGGAGCATGTGTCAACAAGGCACCCACATCACATAGTTAAGACTGCCCACTGGTACGCTTGATTACCTCACTAGCCAGCTTGGTGCCTGACTTGGTGCGTGACATGAAGACACTGAGCAGCCTCATGACGATAAGCTGCACCTCGTGGTGAGGGGTACGGGCGGAGACATCACCGAACGTCTTTCGGTCCAGCTGGAGCTCGAAGAGGACAATGGTGAGGAGACGGTCAAGGGCTCCCTTGTCCTTGTCATCTTCAGGGTCAAGGTCAGAGCTCAACATCAGAATCACCTGGAAGATCAAGACAATAAGAATGATACAGTGCAACATGTTTGTAAAGACCACTCAATGGAGATAACAACAATAATAATACCATTAACATTGATATACCGCTTGATACTACCGTTTCAAAGCGCTGTACTATTATTACTCCAGCATTAGGCGAGCTACCCCTATAAGGTGCTCTGGCATTCAAGGATTTTCTTCCTTTGGGTACCTACTCCCATCACCTGGGTGGAGGGTGGTAAATGTAGATTGACAAGATTAATGTCTTGCCAAAGGACTTTAATGGCACAGTTGAAAAAGAACTGAGACAAGGAAAGCAAGCTTTACGGGTAGACTGTCTAGATTCACAAGTTCCTTTAAATTAATTTTCAATGAAAAATACTGTGGAAGGGAGAAAAAATCTCTTGAAGTAGGAGCCTTAGGGTATGCATCCTGTGACCTCCGTCAATGTCTGTCAAGTTCTCAATCCGCCTCAAGACCTACTACTTCTAGTATATTATTATGTTTATTTCAACTACAGGTACTGCTAACTATTATGACTTAATTCTCCTACTTCTAGGACCAGTAAGAACATAACTGTACCTGCATGAATGGTATCGCTCTGACACCTCCCACCATCCTCAGGTCTGGAAGATACTCCAGGAGTCTTTCTAGCAGCAGGAGCCTCAGGGTATGCATCCTGTGACCTCCGTCGATGTCCGTCAGGTTCTCGGTCAGATCTCTACTCTCCTCCCGGCAGGTGGACTGACCGACCATACCGCTACCGCTGGACATGCTCTCGCCCTGGGTGGAGGCATGCTCGTGGGTCATGTCACCGTAGGCACTGCTTCGTCCACTCACTGCGATTGGAAATGGACAAATGAAATTGATATACTAATCATAAAGATACGATATACCCAATTCTGAACATTTTGGGAGAGGAGTATAGACCTATAGTACTTAACATAAGACAACAATAATAATAATAATAATTCCACTTTTATATAGCGCTTAATACATCTATGATGTCTCTAAGCGCTTTACAGATATACTATTACCCCGGTCATTGGATTCAATACTTGCCTGCACAAACTGTGTGCACAATCTCTACTCCCTGGGGAGCATTCCAGCTAGGCGTTACTTGACACTCAAAACTGTTTGACCTACAATGACGGTCGCATTCTACCGGGTACCCATTTAACACCTGGGTGGAGAGTAGCAAGTGCAGGTTATTATCTTGCCAAAAGATATTAGTGCTTTGTCGCGATTCGTACCCTCGATCTTCGAATCTCCAGTCAAGCGCCTTTAACCACTCGACCAAGACAACCCCCCCCCCCCCATTCTAGAAGAAACTAGATGGAATTCGACTGCGCGCAGTCGAAAATGATGCCTCCGTCATAGAGCAATTTTACAAACCAAAACAGAACACATTTTTCGAATTCAAGTTCAATTGTAATCCATTGACATGTTCTCAGAATACGTGATTACAAGCAATTTCTCATATACATATATGACCCTTTGATCTTTGACCTCATGACCCTAAAATCTACTCAGTTCATTGGCTCTGCAAGATGTCCTGAGTTAAATAGTAATCCATCTGTCAGTTCTAATGAGAATGTGTTCACAAGCTATTTCTGCATACATAATGAGCCCATGACCTTTGACCTTTGACCTCGTGACCCCAAAATCTACTCAGTTCATCTGCTCTGCAAGTAACATACATGACCTAAGTTTGGCAGCAATCCATCACTCGGTTCTTGAGATAACGCGATCACGAGCTGTTTTTGCATACATAATGAGCCCTGTGACCTTTGACCTTTAACCTCATGACCCCAAAATCTAATCAGTTCTTTGACTCTGCAAGATACATACATGACCAAAGTTTGGCAGGAATCCATCAATCGGTTCTTCAGATAACGCGATCACGAGCTGTTTTTGCATACATAATGAGCCCTGTGACCTTTGACCTTTGACCTCGTAACCCCAAAATCTAATCAGTTCATCGGCTCTGCAAGATACATACATGACCAAAGTTTGGCAGGAATCCATCAATCGGTTCTTCAGATAACGCGATCACGAGAACGGGACGTACGTACGTACGTACAGACGTACGTACGTACAGACGGACGGACGGACGGACAACCCGAAAACATAATGCCTCCGGCTACTTCGTAACGGAGGCATAATAAAGTTTAGGGGATGCTTACCACTATGTTCTCCGGTGATGGAGTCTACTGCACTAGCGCCGCTCTCAGAGCCAGCACTCCCTCCCTGTTCTGCAGGGGATGTCCTCAGGGTCGATCCATCCGTAGCTGCGGTGCTTCCTTCATCATCACTTGCAGCTAATTCAAAGAGAGAGAGAGAGGGATAGAAACAATATAATTATATGTATATATATGTAATCTTCAAACTAGTACAGATACTTTAACTGTCTGAATCAAGTTAATCAACTCCCATTTCCAAGCCCTGTAATGATAATAACTGCAAAAAGCAAAGAATAGGACCTCTTAAAGTTAATTTAGGTAAAAATAAGACTGACAAGAAAAAAATATGAATTCATTGGATTAAATGAATGATTGTTCAGTTGGATGTCACAAGGCTCTATTCCCTCAATAAGTATCCATATACAGTCTTTATCTGGATAGCAGTTTTTAACATTGCTTTAATCAAGCAGTATTGGTGCTTTAAATAATACCAAAGACATAGAAGTAATGAAAGTGCTGTGCAGCGCCTTGCGGTCGCTCTCACAGGCTCTCATTTTTTTCTCCTTTTTTCGCTTGAAATTGTTAATTTTGTTGCATAAGTTTTATACCTATGGATTCGTAATGTTTCATAGACCAACACTGTGCACATGAGAAACATGGAGAATTCGAGATTTGTCTCCATTTCTTGGATGATTTATTTGACAATTTTGTTTCTGAGCTCTGCAGCTTCTTGTGTGGATACTACACATAGCTATTCAGCCTGTTCACTAGCTAAGAAGACCTTTCAAGCTGTGCGGTCAAGCAATGCTCTCTCTGGAACTGAGAAGGGGCATGCTATTGTGTTCGAGCTAAAACCCTTTCTCTCAAATCACAATACTATGACTTTGGGGTTGAAAGTCATTCAGTATTCCGCTGTTTTTCTACACGGCCTGTGCCCATACTACTGTGCAGATGAATGTGAACTCGACACTGAAGTCTGTCTCAGAATTCAGTCTCTCGGTGTGTGTCGCAAACCATGTTCTGTACATGTATATCTGCAGGCCTCACAGCAAAAGCTATGTTCCCGCCATTGGAAGTACGGGAAGAGGAAGCGATGGAGAAAGCGTGGGAAAAGAGGTGGCAGAAGATCCACCGTTTACCATCATATCCCTGCCATCATCTCTCAGACCAGAAAGTCTGTACAACATCGCCCGGCTCGCAGAGGTAAGCTTATAAAGCTTCCAGCCCAAAGTTCTACCAAGTCCTATCAACGTGCATCCCAAAGTTCCAGCAAGGATCACCAGGGTCGATATCCGCATGTTAAGATAGGCCATTGGAATGCACGATCGATGAACAATAAAACGATTGCGATTTGTGACCTAATTCTCGATAGTGGCCTTGATATGTTGATTGTGACCGAGTCATGGCTCAGAGGAGATTTCCGCGACAATCATATCATAGCTGATATATCCACCACATTACCAAACTACCAAGTTCTACATGTACATCGGCAGTCGCGTGGTGGTGGTATATGTGTCATTTACTGCGCAGGTCTGAAGATCACTACGAATGATGCTCATGATTTCGTAACATTTGAACTCATGGACCTCTCAATTCGAACCTCTCCATCAGTAGTATTCAGAATTTGTGCTATCTATCGACCACCCCCGTCTGCAAAAAACAAATATACCTTTGAAGGGTTTGTCCGTGACTTTCGTTCGTTGCTTGAATCAGTGACAGTCGACTGCCATCATCGCTGATGTAAGAAGTTCCCTTAGTGATCTTCCTGGTGTTACCTGCCCATCTGATCTTGCTGAGCAGTACAATCACGTTATGGAAGATCTTTTGGACAACCACGCCCCGGAAAAGACTGTACTCATTTCTGTTCGACCAAACGCCCCATGGTACAACGAAGATGTCCGGGAGGCGAAACGCGAAAAACGTCGAGCTGAGCGTCACTTAACAAGAAACGAGAACTCAATCAACAGGGAAATCTATCGTGAAAAGTGTCGGTTATATAATGATATTCTTTCCGACTCCAAGTCCAGTTACCTGCGGGAGGAGATTGAGAAACTTGACAACAAGGGACTCTTTCAGTGGATGCAAAAGTTAACATCTCCTCCATCATATGAACGAAGTCTGCCGAGCCACGAATCAGATAAACAGTTGGCCAACGACTTCGGATCTTTCTTCCAGAACAAGATCCTAACAATAGCTGATGAGTTAGACGGCCGTCAAACTGTATATGAGGCTATGCAACAAGAGACTATTCATCCTACTTTCTCTGAATTTCACCCGATATCCGAGGCTGATGTTCTCAATGTTATCATGGAAAGCCCATCTAAATCATGTCGACTAGATCCTGCCCCCACTTGGCTCATCAAGAAATGTATCGATGTTCTTATCTCTTTCTTCACTAAACTTGTGAACCTTTCACTTTCTTTTGGGATTGTTCCTTCCTCATTCAAGACTTCACATGTTATCCCAGTCTTGAAAAATCCTAAGTTAGATGTAGAAAATATGGCAAACTATCGGCCAATTGCCAACCTGATGTTCCTCTCAAAAGTCTTTGAACGAATTGTTGCCAATCAACTAAGGGCTTACCTCCAGGAGTTTCAGCTCTTTCCTCCTATGCAGTCGGCATATCGCGAGGGTCATTCCACAGAAACTGCTCTCCTTAGGGTTTACAATGACATCTTACTAGCGTTAAAGGACAGGAGGCCATTCTGGTGCTGCTTGATTATTCAGCAGCCTTTGATACCATCAACCATGACTTGCTGATTCAACGCTTCAGTCACACATACGGCATAGAAGGTTCTGCTCTAAAGTGGCTCAAGTCATACCTCGAGAACCGGAAACAAATTGTAATCGTAAACGGAACCAAATCAGATGAATTCCCTCTAACTTGGGGGGTACCGCAGGGCTCAGTAATGGGACCTTTGGAATTTGTTCTATATACTGGTCCTGTGAGTGACGTCATCACAGCCCACAAAGGTATAAGCCACATGTTATATGCTGATGATACCCAGTTGTACATCGTTATGCAACGCAACGACCTGGCTGATGGCATCTCGTCTTTGGAAGACTGCGTGACAGATGTGAAGTCTTGGGCTAGTAACAATAACATGATGCTCAATGCAAACAAGACTGAGCTCATCCACATTACATCACAATTTAGGAAACGGAACGAGTCGGTTAGCCTTCACATAGACGGAGCTGTTATTACTGCGACCAATTCTGCTAGAGATCTGGGTGTTATCGTTGATAACTCGTTAGACTTAAGAGAGCACATCCGAAAGGTGTGTCGGGCAGCTAGCTTCGGAGTTTATAGGATTGGGAAAATCCGGAAATACCTTGATCGCAGCTCTACTGAACGACTAGTTAATGCATTGGTAACGTCCCATTTAGACTACTGTAATTCATTATTAATCAACTTACCTGCTTCTCATCTGGCCCCACTCCAGCACATCCAGAACACCGCTGCACGTCTAATCACCCGCACCAGAAAGCACGATCACATCACTCCAGTCATCCGCACCCTACATTGGCTCTTAATTCCCCAACGTATCCAATTCAAGATTCTTCTCCTCACGTTCCACATCATCCATCAACACGCACCATCATACCTGATTGAACTGATCTCACCCAAACAGACTACCGGCATGAACCTTAGATCATCATCCAGACCCCAGCTCGCACTCGGTCCTCGCACCCACAACCGCTATGGTGACAGGGCCTTCTCAGTCTGTGCCCCCACTCTTTGGAACATTCTCCCCGCCCATATCCAGGACTCACCCACCATTGACATTTTCAAAAAGAATCTAAAAACTCATCTATTCCAAAAGCAACCCAAATAACTCTATAATGTCTTTTCAAATTATTACTATTACTGATATAATGTGTTAATTTCAAAGGAATTTACATGTTTTGTTAATTTCTTTAGTAATGTTAGTAATGTTTGATCTTCTTGGTAATTTGAGTAATGTCAATTTGTTAAGTTATGATAGAAATATTTGATTTTCTTGTTAATATAAGTAATGACAATTAGTTAAGTTATGTAGGTAATATTTTGTTTTCTTGGTAATTTGAGTAATGTTAATTCCATTAGTAATATCGATTTTGTTTGAAGTAATTTTGATTTGTGTACATGTACAGCGCTTTGAAACTTTTGTCACAAGCGCTATATAAATTTGTCATATTATTATTATTATTATAGAAATAAAATGCCAACACATGCATCATGCTTGTGACAAATAGACAAAGTATATTAAACAAGTCAATTCTTTGTTTTTGGAGTTACTGTCCACTGGCTTGTTGACGTAAGTAAGAGGATTAGTTACCTGATGCTGTGGTATCAGACAGTGGCCCTTCCTCCAGGGACGAGGAGCTCTGTCCTTGTCCTCCTCCTACTCCTAGCCCGAGCCCCTGGAGGTTCAGCCCTCCACCTCCCCCTTGGTTGGACTGCTCCTGCAGGCTCAGAGCGATGGCAAGCTCCATCATGGCTTCATCATCAGCTTCCGGTGGGATCTCCAGCATGGGAGCGAAACCGCCGCGCCCGCCCAGGAGGGCTTCCAGAGGGAGCTGGTTGTTTGCTCCGCCACCGATGCCAGCGACATCACCAGGTTCTAGGACCATGGGCTCAGAGTGTTCCTGATACGGTAAAGACAAGAAAAGAAAAAAATATATATAATTACAGTCAAACCTGTCTATAGCGACCGCCCAAGGGAAACACAAAAAGCTTTTTTTTTGTAGACAGGTTCCTTTGGTACATGTTTCAATGAGAAACCATTTTCAAGGGAAACAAAAATGGTCTTTGTAGACAGGTGGTCATTAAAGCAGGTTTAACTCTACTTGTGATCGACACATACTTCAACAGCCGAGTAGAATGAGAAATTAATGCACAGTTGAGAACAGAGCCACAGTGATAGCTTTGTGATTGATGCATAACAAAAAATACTCAGAGACTTATAAGTAACAAACTCTGGGCCTTTGATCTGTTTACAGGTGACATCACAGACTTCCAAATATATCTATAGAAATGCAAAAGGCTAGAGAAAGTGACATTTCCTGATTAAAAGCGAGAGCGTTCCAAATTTTGTTAAAAGGTTAAATTTTATCGACACCGAATGACCTGAAGGAGAAACTGAAGCGATCGTGTGACGTCCAACGTCTTTGGAACGAAGTAGTTGAATGTTGAATATTGAATGTAGCTCCCTGGTTCGGTTTTGTGCTCATTAATATCTTTTAAAGAAACATCCTTTGATTCTAAAGGGGAGAAGTTAAATGAATTATAAACAAGGGTTGAGCCAGTCTATAAACAGAAGTTTCTATTGTAGATCTTACACATTTGTACATTGCACATACTGTACAAAAGATTATAAAAGGGTAAAGAAAGAGACAAAATGAAGTCTCACCACTACTTCATAGGAAGCTTCATCTTGGAGACCCTCTCCATCCTCTCCCTCATGATGCATGGCCATCTCTCTCTCATCCTCATCATCTTCTTCCTCCTCCTCCTCATCATCCTCCTCTTCATCCTCCTCCTCTACTCCCTGCATCACACCAGTCTCCATGTCTCCCTCATCTTCCTCCTCCTCCTCATCCTCCTCATCGACGTTCAGCTCGGCTCCTTCGTCAGGTACCGGTGGAGAGCTGCACTGGGGCGGGGATGGGATGATGACTCGACGGCGCTTCTGTCTCGGTCGCATCACTCTGATGAGGGCCTGCTTGGCTGCGAAGCTCACCTGTACATCCTACAGAATCATATAATGGTAGAGATAGATGATATTTAACTTTGACTGGTAAAGATGTGAGAAATAGTGAAAAAATTTAAAGGGACTGTATTATCAAGAAGATATACCTACAAATGTATTTTGAGATTTAAGGATAAATCATACATGTTATATGCCCTGATGTATTGGTAACTTAAAACATATCTTTTCATATTTTCAGGGTCATTACTTCAATGCCATTGTTCAGAATTTATCTAACTTAAACTTTTCTTTTAAGACACAATGATGCTTGCACTTACCATGCAAATATCTCATACTTTTACAGAGAGATTGAATAATTATAATACATGAGATTTGTAAGGTGAATAATACACTTGAAATCAAATGTGCAAGGTACACTTGTGAAGCAGCCAAAAATAGAAAAGAGAGCACTTAAAATTATCTGAATTACAAACAAAGGAACAGAAGTTAGATAGAATATACACATATGATAGAACGATTAATTTTATGCGGAATTAAACGATACATTTTAAGATTGAATAGAAAAGTCCTCAAATGTTGTCATAAAGTTCAAGTATGACCGAGTTTATCAAGAAATGACAAGTGTTGCCTACCTCACAGACGAGCATCTTCATCAATAGCTTGGTTGCCAGGGAAACATTGGAGGAGTCATTGTAAGCAAAGGCATGGATGACATCTACCAGGGCTCCAATGGTGATCTCAATGTGGGTCAATCCTGGGGAGTAGCAATGGGATACAATCTCGGATATTATGCATATGAAAACGTGAACATTTTAATATACAGTCAAATCTGCTTTAGTGACCACCTGTCTACAAAGGCCACATTTCTTGTTTCCCTTGAAATTGGTTTCTCATTGAAACATGTACTAAAGGAACCTGTCTACAAAGACCACCTGTCTACACAAAGACCACTTTTTGTGTTTCCCTTGGGTGGTCGCTATAGACAGGTTTGACTGTACAATGTACAAAATACGGCTGTATGACTTCCATTTTTGAAACGGTCTGAATCAAAGGGTAAACATAGAAATTCAGACGCCATTGAATTTCACCTTACTGCAATGCGTTATTCAATCGCTAACAATTGTAAGACGGAAATGGGACATCTTCATATATGGTACAAAGTGCTTATGTTTCAGGTTTAGTGACTCAATGAGTTTACAATTTTCAAATTCAATGATTTTTTTTTCTTCTCCATGCTACCCATGAACTGTAAACCTTGTATAGGTATAGGTAGGTATATGTACAAATCCAAAGCAGTAACAGCCCAATGTGACATACAAAAATTCAAGTACTAAACAAACATATACCTGTACTTGATTGTCTTTTTCCTTTGAAATATTTCACCCATCTTTTTCAAACAGATTATCCTATCAATTTTTAGGGACATCAACATGCACAGTGTTCCATATTTCCTCGAAGAGTTGGAAAAGGAGAGATAGGCTACAGGTAAAAAAGAAAACTATAAAGACTTCCAGGGGGGTGCTTCACAAAGATCCTAAGTCAAACTTAACTCTTAGTTAGACTTAGACATTATGGAGAGCCATTCGTAGCCTTAAAATAAAATATATTAAAAAATGAAAATTGAAGTATTTTAGACTTTTTATAAATTCCACGTCAAGAACATGAACTCTCCTTGATAATAGAAAATATGAATGATTTGAATTAACATTTTATGTCTTTAGAAATAACTTTTACACAATATTTTCATAGATGCCAACGGCTTTCCATAATTGTTGAGTCCAACTTAGAGATACCGTTAGTTCAACTTAGGATCTTTGTGAAATAATCCCCTGGTTGCAGAACTAACCTGGTAGGCATGCAGGTGCCAGCATAGGATTAGCTGGCCTTCCATCGTGAAGCCTCCAGAAGGCATCCATCAACCTGTTCAAGAAATGCTTGGACTCTGCATCGGTCATCGCAAGCTTCTTGGAGACAAACGGCAGTGGCTGGTCGTTGTTCAGGTCCGAGGAGGCTGTGCTGGTGGTGGTCGTCGATGTCGGGGTAGAGGACGATGACGATGAGATGGAGGTTGACGAGGATGAGGATGATGGATGTAGCTTATCCTCAATCTCGATATCGGTGACTTCCAAATCTGCAATGGAGACCAATATCAATAGAATAATATTTTCTTTGCAAATAGTTTACAAACTACATCAAAGGGAAGCTCTTCATAATTTCAAAGTACAGTACCATTGAATATTTGAGAAATAAAAATCAATTTCAAGAAGAAATAGGTAACTATGAATATCTTGTGGTTGATTGAATGAATCATGACTGAACTGATTGCAACTTTGATTAATTTAGAGGAATTGTAATTGATTCAGATCAAACACACATTTATAAGACAAGGGTGGTGTTTTCACATAAACTAAGATCGACTTTAAGTCAGACTTAACTATGGCAGGCCGTTCATGCCACTGTTTGCTCTTACCATTTACTGGCATTGGTCTCCTAAGGGAAGTACAAATCATGGTCACAAATCTACAGAATTTACATATTTTTAATAAATCATGATTGAAGGAAAATATATTATCTAAAGATCATAATGGTGAGAGCGAACAGTGGCATGAACGGCCTGACATAGTTAAGTCTAACTTAAAGTCTATCTTAGTCTTTGTGAAACACTACCCAGGCCCATTTCAAATTACAGATGTGACCCTACCTCCAATATTCCTCACTGTTGGAATCCTGCCCTCAATCGTTGTACCAGTCCCCGCAGCAAACCTGACCAGGTTCTGAGGGCGAGAGACAGCCACGGAGCGTGCCGTCACCACCAGTCGCTGGTACGCCTCAGGATCCAGCTCGATGGGTTTGGTATCAGAGCCCGTATCAGTGGAACAGGGCGGGGCTGGGGTAGCCATCATGCTGGTGGAGGGGGTGGTGCTGGAGGATGCAAAGGCAGAGCCTAGACACTGGACCACATGAGAGAGCTGTGCCTGGTCCTGTAGGGAACAGATCGGATAATAACAGAATTTCACATAGAATGAAGGGAAGGAACTACATGTATTTAATTTCTTTTCTTTTCTTTCACCCGAAACAGATGTTTTTATTACAACAATATAATCAAACTCACAGACATTTTTGTTTAACTAAACTACTATAATACTTTACACATACATTTCTATCAATTCAGGTATATTATACATTTTTTGTTTTCCTTTTTTTAACAGAGCTGCGTTGATGTCTAAACGTATCTTTATTTCTTTCAAACTTCTAACTTTTGATATTACAGGTTAAAAATAAGTCAAAAGGCAATCTGAAGATTAAATGAGTGGGTAAAATGGGTATTGACTTCATTAAAAAACTAATCCTCTAGTCATATCACCTCATAAATAGAATTCATGTTAATTGCCATTGATTTATCATTATTGATTTACCAATAGAAGCCATTGGACTATTGATCCTATTTTTTCAAACTTAAAACGAGTAAGCAAAATATATAAACAATACACAAGGTTGAAAAGAAGCTTCAAACAACGACTTCACTGTTTGACATACAGATTAGCTTTTTTTCCTTACTCATCCATAAACAGTGAATTCTGAGTCAATCACTTTTTATAAGTTGCCTATATCGAAAAACAAAGAAGGATCACAATCACAAAGGAATACATAAAGATAGATTTATTGAATTGCTGGATGATGCAGTTGACTAGTGGGGTACGAGATTCAACTCATCAAAGTGCAAAGTAATGAGGGTCTCCAGAAAACGTAATCCCGGGAAGATTAACTACCAGATGAAAGATAGCCCCTTTGAAGAAGTCAAAGAGAACAAGTACCTGGGAGTTATCATCCAAAATAACTTAAAATGGGACAGGCAGTCCAGCAATGCTGCAACCAAAGCAACACAGATGCTCAACTTCCTTAAAAGGAATTTTTCTTCCTGCTCAAGAACTGTGAAAGAAAACCTCTTCAAGACAATAGTCCAACCCCACTTAGAATACGCCAGCTCAGCATGAAACCCCGGAACCGAGAAAAACAGGGATCTGCTGCAAAAAGTGCAGCGAAGGGCAGCAAGGTTTGTGTTGGGCGACTTCACTCCCCGGTCCAGTGTGACCAAAATGCTGACAACACTGAAATGGGACAACGTAGAGAGGAGACGCCTAATCCAAAGGCTAACTACACTCCACAAGATGATTAATGCAGAACTACATGTAGATATCCCACTAGGAGATTATCTCCAGAGGAAAGGATCAAGAAGTAGGTGGACACATGACAAACAGTTGACTACCTTTCAGTGCTCATCAACACCATTTGCAGAATCCTTCTTCCCTGAAGCTGTAAAACTATGGAATGACCTACCTCAACTAAACGTGGACATCAAATCCAGCACAGTCTTCAAATCTGCAACCCCAAAACTAAATCAAATAGCATAACCCCTGAAATACACAAATCTATACTCTCGTCACACCAAGTTATACTTCCAGTTATAGTTCCTAGCGGACCTTTCGGAAGAGACGAACACAAGGTACAAGGTACTACAGAGCTGCTAGGAAAATGCAACAACTGTCAATTTTGAAAGACATAGTCAACAATGCTTTTTCAGCAAGGCATAGAAGGAAGAACACTTTAATCTTTACCTTGTGGTTATGATAGGCTATGTTTGAGGGCTGTACAGTGGCCAGTAGCGTCTTGGTAAACTGCTGGACTGAGGTTGGTGTAGGCTGGATCAAGAGTTGCGTGGCTAGATCTCGAATGGTTTGTTTGGTTGGTTCCTGTTTTGAAGACAAAACTCTCCTGTTAGATGTTACTTTTAACTTAAATTTCATCTTCTTTCACTTTGAAATTATTTCTGTCTAGTCATTTATAATACTGATTTATTTCTATACCATAATTGGTATTTTTTTTAAATTACAATCTTTGAATGGTAATCTGTTTAGAAATTTTTTCTCAAACAGTTTTTCAAGCATGTAATTATATTGCCTTTCTGTTGTACTTGCTCTGTTAAACACAAAGACATACTCTTCAGTTTATATGCCCTTATAGATTCATCTTTATTATTATTTGTTAAGTATAGTCATTGCCAGAGATTATCCTACCCTCTCATCCATCTGTACAAGGGAGACAAATCCATCCAGGACTTCTAGGGACGATGCCACCAGACGATCCAACGATGTGAGTGGGATGGGAGGCGGCACAATGACCTCACTCTCCCCAGCGTGTGAGACGGATATCTGCGAGGCTGTCACAGAGGTTGTACTCCCTCCCCCTGATCCACCAGAGCTGGTACCGTTGGTGACGGCTCCGGAGACTGCACTGCTGCTGCTGTTGGTGCTGCTGGGGACTCCTCCGGCCCCAGAGGTGGCGGTGTTGGTGGTGGAGGTGGTGAAGTCATCGGGGGGATCGTCTGGCCAGCCGAATGCTTCTTTGGTCTTGCCGTAGACCTTGATGGAGTCTACCATAGTCACGCCTGATGGATCCGATGATGGACCAACTGTGACAGGCAGGACAAGGTTGAAGAGGGAGAGGAATACAAGAGTAAATCTCATCATTCCAACAAGATTTACTGTGCTTTATACAACCACAGGTACTTTGCAATGTGTCATTTGCGAGAAATAAAAAGTTATGGTACAAACATTTTGGCCTGAATTCACAAAGGAGGTTTGTCGACAAACCTAGTTTAATGTGCGTCATATGATGCCTTTCGATGTGTTTCAGACCAAGGTACAGTCATATGACGCACATAAACCTAGGTTTGTCTATAATTCTCCTTTGTGAATTTGGGCCTTAGAGTTTGTACAAAGTTTGAGCGTTGCTGCTTCTAAGCTTTCCAGGTTGTGCAGCACATTGCAATTTATACTTTCCCAGGAGAGGAGACTTGGACACCATATAGTTTCTCAGTGATTCTATACTCTCCACATTCATGATAAACCAAGCTCTAGAGAAATTCATATCATATTTTGCAGTGCTACACTACAAAGACAAACAAAACACAATAGCAAACAGACACAATTGAGACAAAACAAAATGAGCAGAACATTTGTTTTTTCATCTTACCGAAGAGGGTGAACTTCTTGTCAGCTGTAAGAGATTCATCCCTGGTGAATGGCATATCAAACCATCTGTTTCTTGTCAAGGTCACCTTTAAAATACAGGGTAAAAAGTTTAGTTGTTAGTTCGTTTTAACCGACTGCTAAGAAAGCATGGGTATGTTTGTAAGTAAGCAACCAGGGTTACTGACAAGGAATATATTAATCAATAGATGTTTAACTTAAATTCTGGATCAAGTTGTAGGCATCTGATACACAGTGTATTTAAACAGTATTGGAAGCTGTGTATGATAAATCCGTATAAACCTATTTCAGATTGCTTATCAAGAGCTTCTGAAAAGGACACATTTTAGAAACAGCCTTGTTTTGGCATTTCTGTCTGGAAATTTGCACTATAATTCATAGAAAATGATGGATAGTTCATCATAATATATGGCTCTTGTTATTTTAGGTACAAATCAAACAATATGAAACCTTACAAAACAAGTTTCATTCTAACTTTCCTACTAAATGTTCGCTTTAAAGCCTGTCTGTACTAGTTTGGCCAGGAGGGATTAGACCACCCAGCGTGGTCACTGGCAGGTGGTTATCTCATCAAATCAGCTCTCAATTATCATTACGATTAAGAAAAAAATTAAGATTAATTAAAATTAAGAAAAAAAAAAGGATCATGGGGGACCAATAGACACGAATTAGGCATTGTTTGCTATATAGAGGGAGCAAGAAGCTGTAATTAGTGCAGTGGGGCTTTAATAACTTTAATTACCTGATTTGTTCTACCAAAGACTTCCAGGTAAGAGGGTGCTTTCTCAATGGCCTGGGTTCCAACATGAACTCTGACCCCTAGCATCACCATGGAGTTATTGTTGTTCGTGACTTCAATGCTGAATCCGCCAAACTGAGAAATACAGAACAAAAGTCAGATTTTCATCTTCATTTATGAAAATAATGCATGAAATATCATAGTTAAAATACCACATAACGCTGCAAAATTGTAGGTCAGATAATGATGAATATACATTAGTATAGTTAAAACTTTAGCCACCTATTTTATGTGCACAGTAAAGACCCATTCAGATACAATGCTGCAAAACCACAGCGTTTTTTTATACAAATGATGACGTAAGTGTAATACACTTCATATTTCTGTATCTTATATAACAGAGCTCAGTGAATATTACACGTTATAAAGACATTCGCCTTTTTTGTGGCGGGTTGCTGCCTCATATCTGAACAAGCCTTAATAGAGAAGTCAAGAAACAGCAATTATAATGTTGCTCCTTAACAATTCGTAACAATTCGACTGCTGTCTCAAATCTCTGTCCAATAGACATCCATTTTTTCCCTAAAAAATGTATGGCCTCTCTATTTCGCACCCTGCTTATTAACATAATATAATCCTAAGCTGCTGGTAAAATCTGGGGGAAAGTTTACTCACATCATCGCTCACCGGTGTGTTGGCTCAGTCAGTAGAGCGTCCGCCTCACAACCGGGAGGTCGTGGGTTCGAACCCCGGCCGCATCATACCAAAAGACGTTAAAAGATGGGAGTTGTTGCTACCTTGTTTGAAGTTCAACAATAAGGGATAGAGCAACGTTGATCTGGCGCTGCTCAGTGGCTGCCAGGCTCACGATCAATTTGGCAAAAAGAATTTCCGTTTCGGTTTAATAAAATTTGGAGTGGACTTTAAAGATTATTATTATTATTATTATTATTACCTTTGTGCTAGCGACGTATGTTCCTGTGGTGTTGAGTCTGTGCTTGATTTGCTGTACGTTGTAGATCTGAAGGAGATCGTTGCCTCCATACTCGACATCATTCATCGCTTGGCAATGCTCAAAGAAGTCTACCGGGAAGCTAACCTGACCAGTTGGTCGCCCTGTGAAATGAAACAAGAAATCAATGGAGTAAGCAATTGTTTGTCAGCCTTGTCATCGCTCTGTAATTATTTTGAAACCAAATTGAACCCTGTAGGATGCGAAAGCTAATGTGCTTAGATTAGCAAGTGTGCGCTTGTAAAAATGACGCCAGGCTGGAATGCTCCCCTGGGAGTGGAGAATGTACATAGACTGTGTGTGGGTAAGCCTGAATCGGATGACCGGGGTAATAATATATATACATCTGTAAAGCGCTTTGAGAGGGCCTTCGGTCCTGAAAAGCGCTATATAAGAACTAGCAATTATTATTATTGAAGTTGGAGGAAAATTTTGAAGCTGAAAACAGTGAACTCCATCATGTGACTGATCGTCAAATTCAATGATCTTTTTATGCACTTGTCATTCGTAAGACGCACCTCTTGACCCCCGGGAATGGTGCGTCATTGTACCGATGTGAGTCGTACATTTTGATACCATGACGCACCTTCCGTCACAGAAAGTGACACACCATTACATTCCATCGACGCACATTTGAGTCAAACATATGACACACCATTTCATGAAAATGACTAGCCAATGACGCACATTTGAGAAACACTTCTGCTTGGAGAAAGTGACGGTCCCATTGACACACCAAATGACGCAACGTGGTAAAGTGACTTACTATGACGCACATATGGGTCAGTATTGTGACGGACATTTTGCGGCCATGACGGTACTGTGCGTCGCGATTTTGGGGAACATGACGCAACCATGACGCACCGTCCCCGGGGGTCAAAAGGTGCGTCTTTCAAATGACACCTGCATTAGTTTGTTAGAGTGATAGTTAAATTACAATAACCAAGTGTTATCAATGAATTCACAAATCTTAGAACGCATTCCATTAAAATATTTTATACCAACGGAATAAGCATGTTGTATCAAAGTTTACAAACTGTTGGTAGTGTCAGAGGAGGACTATATTCATGAAACACACACATGCCTGGATAATGCCTCAGTCATACCTTTGCGTATTTGGCTTGCGTATTGCTGCATATTTATGGCAAGCCGTTTTAACATTTCATATTTTCATATTTCATATTTCTTGATATCAAGAAATCAAATTCTTTATTTCAATAATTACCATTGCTTTACAACAGAAAATCATTTCTTAACATCAAGAAATAGGAATAAATGTTAAAACGGCTTGCCATAAATATACAGCAATACGCAAGCCAAATACGCAAAGGTGTGACTGAGGCATAAGCCATCACGATATTCCCCAGACTGCAAGAGCTAAGAGAATCAGATTGAATAAGGTTGAGGACTTACCAGACTTGGTGGCTTTCTTCTTGCGCACAGGTTTGAGGGTGCTGATGGAGCTGGACGCCTGGAACTGAGGTGACATCCAGAATCCCGTGCTGTCCACGTTAGCCATGTAGATACGCAGACTGCCGTCCTCACACAGCAGGATGAGGGTGGTACGATGCTGGTCAGTCGAAGAGGTGTGGCGGATGGCCACCATGTCTTGGACCTGGGTAAGAGGATAGAAGGACAGATATACAGTCTAGTTTGGTTCAGCAGAAAATGAATATTCAGTTATATCAGTTATATATATTCAGTAATATCAACAACGATGAAGATCATAGTAATAATAATAATACTAATAACAACAATAGTAGGCTCTTATATGGTGCTCATGTCTGTCAGATTGTCACTCCTGGCACTCCACGATTATTACCCCAGTTTTAGCGTTGCTTCAATTATGGTGCCCCAAGCATTTCAAGGAATTAATTCCTACCAGGTACCCATTAGATTGTGGCAAATCTAGAGTAATGTCTGCCAAAGGATATCAGTGCTGTGGCAGGGATTTGAACCCCATACCTTGTGATCAGCAGTCCGGTGACATATCCACTCGACCATGACACCTCTACTGAGTATTGACTTTTCTCTTACCTTAGCCTTGGCAGGTAGCGTCTTGATCTCTTGGACCCTGATGCGATCCGGTTCCACCATCATGACGACCGGGATGCTGTTGGTCTGGGTCAGGCAGCACACCAGGCCTGGGTGCATGGGGACCTCACTCCATTGACACAGGGGAGGAGGGTTGTTGGACTTGCCAGATCCATTGCTGCGAGGGAAGAGCAAGATGAGGTACAAGGTGAGATGGAATAGGAGGAACAATGAGGACGAAAATAGGATTACAAAGGATCACTTAATGAAAGGCAAGCTGAGACAGTTCAAATTTTATCTTATAACATATTCACTTGATTGTTTTTTATTTTTATTTGTACTTATCATTCAAAGATATTTTCCTGCAGCTTTTCTATTTATTTCACTTCTTTCTTAATTCTTTCCTAAGCGCTTTGAGACCTTTTACAAGGGTATAATGCGCTGTATAAGAACTGTTCCATTATTAGTAGTATTAGTATTAAAGGAGGCAAGATGATAAGAAGAATGAAAGAAAGGTAAGGAGAAAAGGCAGACAAAAGAGAAAGAAAAAGATAAATGAGAATGGGAAAGAGAGAGAGATAAACTAAAAGCATGAGTGCATTAGTGGGTGAAGAAAAAAGAGGGGGCGGGGGGGGGGGGGGGGGGGGGGGGGGAAATACATTCAAAAGGACTCAATAATTGGAAGTAAGCTAACAAGTCTATAAAAAAAGCTACTACATGAACTGATAATCATTATTCACTATCCACTCCATATAATTGCACAGAGAGCATTTATATGTAATGGTTTTGGCATCACATAAATGTAGAGTATACTGAGCAATCACAACTTTATTCTTACCTCTTGATAGTGATTGGGAAGAGCTTCTCAATTGATAGGTGCTGGCTCTTGATTGGAGCACAGAAAGATTTCCCTGAAAAAAAATTATTTAAAAAAAAATCAGTAGCTTATTAATACAATTCTAACTCACACCACCAACAATTGAATAATTAGTTCTCTTTAAAACTTTTACTGGAATGGAGAAAGTGATATCAATCTTTATTTTTCTTTACACTTAACGTCCAACCCCACAGCATGGAAATCTGGACCCTCAGCCATATGATGACGTCACTAATGAAATTTATTCATGTGAAGAAAAAAAAATCACTTAGACCAGAATATTAAACGATTACTTTTTCCTACTACAAGGATTTCTAATGCATGTGGATGCAATATCCAAGTAAGAGGACCTACTTTATTGCAGTGGATAATGTAATTTACATTTAAACATTTTTCATCTCATCAAGCAATGAACGAGGATCAAACCATTGCTCCTTCTCTGCTTCTATAAAGCCTTTCAAGGATCATGATGATCTTGTTGTTGGCATAGCAGGCTTACCTTGTGCAAAGCTGAAGAAGAGAAGCTGCAGTGTGTGAGAGTAGTAACAAGACACACCACCTCCTGCAATCTGTCCGCCAGAATCCTGTGAAGATTAGATTATGATTATGATGAGGGCCATAAAGCATGAGAGTAGCCTATGGGTCCCATTTTCATAGCACTATCCAAATATCTACTTACATGTATGATATTTTCATTATGCATGAATTAAAACAACATTTACAATCAGAGTAGGTTTGTTTCTGTGGTTTATATCACAGTTTTTTTTTTAAATAGAAGACATTGTAGTCATTTAAAGGACTGTTGGTCAAAAGACCTAGGTCCATATACACCTTACTAAGCTACTTGTTGACTAATTGACAACTAGGGTTAGTAAAGTTTTATGAATATGGGCTCAGAAATGAACTAAATCATTGGTGTCATAGAACAGTCCATGTCTGGCTTTGGAAAAGCCAATGGGATTGGTGTGACCCTGAACAGCCTATAAAACAAATGATCCAGACATAGAGGTGTCGTGGTATAGTGGTTCATTCACTTGACTCTCAATCCTAGGGTCGAGAATTTGAACCCCAGCCCTGCACTAACATCCTTTGGTAAGACATCAATCAATATTTGATACTCTCCACCCAAATGTAAATGGATACCTGGCAATCGTTGGGGGTAATCATTTACCCCCAAGGCCCTCAGAACAGCATTGATGCTAATGAGGCTTTCCTAGGTAAACAATATTATTATTATTATTATTATTACATCACCCAACCAAATCATTACATACCTTAAGATCATCGTGCTTGACTTCCAGCACGTTGGTGACGTAGAACGGTCCATGTTTGGCCTCGCTGGCTTCCTCCATGGGCTGTGTGTAGAGGTAACCGGCAGAGGACATCAGGACCAGGGTACGAGAGTGCTCCTCGCAGTCAAACACGAAGCAGGCATCCCTGATCTTGCCACTGGGTACCAGGAAGTAGAAGGTCGGGCTCAGGGCATCCTTGGCCAAGTTGTAGATCTACAATGAAACCAAGAAATGCACCACATAGGATTAGTAATGCCTGGAAAACCCCAAACAAATCATTTCATTGCCAAAACATGCTAGTGTTGTACGATAAAATTATATGTACACATAAGAATAGAAAACAGGTGAATGAAAATTGATCTTTCCCATTTTAATAAACTTTCAGACTCTATTTACGCATATATTGTAGTCCAGTACTTTCTCCTACACCATAGCTTCTTACCTTGACAAAGTCGGCGGTGACGATGGCTAGCTGCGTCTGTGACCCTGGCAACCAGACGGCCTTGATGATGAAGTTACCCGCCTCCAGCTGAGGATGGAGGACCAGGTGATCAGCAACCGATCCAGAGCTTGTGAAGGTCAATACATGACAGTCCTAGATAGAGCAATTTCAGACAGATAATTAATACAATGTTATCATGCATATGTTTTACCTGTAAATTTACTTTGTCACTAATAATAATAGTGGGTTTTTGTATAGTGCTCATGTCTGTTATACGTGACACTCCTGGCGCTCCCGATTATTACCCTGGCTTTAGCACGGCTGCCAAAAATAGCACTTCGGCTCTTGGGCCGTGCATTTTTTTTTAATGAATTAAACCATTTAAAATAAATAAATAAATGAATAATGTTCATGAATTCATTAGACAGATATTATTACAAGTACTATGTATAATAAATTTATGATTAGAGGAGAATTCAGCCATTGGGTAGCTAAACAAATTTCTGATAACAAAAAAAATCACCATAGCCATTATTATCATAAATGATTAGAAATAAAAACAAAATCTCCGAAATATAGCTATATAATTTCATACGCTTGTTGGGTTTATTCCATAGAAACAGAATATATACGTAATGGTTAAAAATATAACACATGTACAAAAACAGAGACAGTAGATTGATATTCATTGTTAGGTTACAAAAAAAAAAAATGATTTTAGACCAACCCTTAGAAACATGCAGGTAAATTACAAGAGAGGACATTTTCACAAGAAAATTAAATAAATAAAAAAAAAAGTAACAAAGACTTTAATATGCTGGACTTAAAGAATGCAAGATTTTCTTAATTCTTCTGAGGAGCCAACAAGAAAAGGACGACAGATTGAAAATTCTCTTCAATATACAAAGACGCATTCAAGAAAATAACAATATATCTCACCTTCAATCCACACACAGCTAAGTAATCCTCATTGCAAGGGTTTCCAGTGATGCTCAGTACAGTAAATGGTACTGGGGCTGATGACAATCTCTGTAAAAGATGCAAGTTGAAGGAAAGAATATGAAGTCAAGAGAAACAGATTCCGCAAAGATTCAATGACAATTGTTTATTATCACATAGTAAATGCAGTATGGCCCTTTGGATTGAGCAATGGTTTTGAAAACCAAAGTAACTTAGGGTGAAACCCAAGAAAGTGTACACTAGTAACCCTGTGTTAGGTATTCATTACCAATTGTCAAATCTAATCAAATCAAATCAAATCTACTAATTTTTCTTTATCAAATACAACCTAGTGGAGGACACTCTCATATCATCAACATCTACTGGTTCTGACAATGTTCCGGACAAAAAACTAAGATGCATGAAATATCAAAGTTACTACTTATTGGTAGTCCGAACAGTTCCCTCTTTACTCACAGTAAGTGTCAGCTTCCTCTTGCTGGAGTCGGCCTGTTTGAGCAGAGCCGAGAGCTGGAGCAGTGTGATGCGCCCTTTCTCATGGCACACAGCGAGGTGCTGCCTACGACCCTGGGGGGAGGCCAGGCAGCACATGGCCACTCGGCGTAGCATGTGAGCTCCGAGCAGCTGACGGATGGTCTGGCCCTGGTCGCCGGAGAAGTTGGCTCGGACGTTCTCGAAGGCTCCTTCCTGGGAGCCCAGCGTTGGGACCTGGGGAAAGGTAGGATAAGGGGGTTTGATACTTGCACACAAAAATAATAACAGGATGATGAAAAACAATATGACTCTAATACAATAAAATTATTAAAAAAAAGGATCCTGAATTTTTAAACTTTGGTATTAACTTGTATGCACTAGCTTTTAACCTTATTTCAAATGTCTAACACGTTCAAAGTAAAATATACAAAGAGAGGGAAGGAAGCAAACAGAGAGACAACCCTCTAACATGGAGTTAACCCATTGGCTATTGGATTCTTTCATTCCCATAGGTTTAATACAGGGACCACCCGGTTACCGTGGGCAATGGGTTAAGTTTACAGAAGAAACATTCAAACACATCAACTGCAAGTGAGCTTTGAGTAATGAGTGATATAAAGAATAATAAGGGTCATTTACAAAGCACCACATCCTTAAAGATGCTTGGAAAAAACTAGGGCAGCGTTTCGTGAAACCGTCATAAGTTCAAGTTCACCGACATCCCATTGAAACGCGTGTTAAACGTAATATACGCAGCCCAATGGGATGTCGGTGAACTTGTACTTACATGTATGACGGTTTTGTGAGACGCTGCCCTGAGTCTTGAATACTAAAAACATAAATCCTAAACCAATCATCTAGAGCTCACCATGAGTTGGTCTGTACTCTCTGTATTCTTGTCTCTCGTATGCAGGTCCAGGAGAGCCTTCTGAGCCCTGGCGGTAGCACCGACGGCCGAGGTACGGTTGCAGTGGGCCTCTATGGGATCGCTGAGGGACTGAAGTAGCTCTATCACATGGGTAGCCATCCCATTCTGTTCCTGTGAGGAAAAAAAAAGTCAGATAAAAATGAGAAGCTGTTGGCAAATGTTGGAGTACAGCACGGCTAGAAGAATTTTTCAGTGAACATTTGCCGGTTCCATATTAACAACGTGTTTGAACTTTAATTTGACTATTACAAAAATTGTTTTCAAGAGCTGTTGGCGAATGTTGCAGTACAGCATGGCTGATTGAATTTTCAGCGAACACTTACTAGGAGTTTGAGAATGGAATCTCTATTCTTCTCCAGCTGGCGTCCCAGCATCTGCCTGAACTTGATGAGCTCCTCACTGGGTTTGCCGCTACCACTCTCACTGCTACCGACACCGCTCCCCTGGATGCGGTTGCCAGGCGACGAGAGAACACTCATGGACGAAGGCACAGCGGTGGGCGTACCGCCACTGCCTCCTCCTCCTCCACCCCGGTGGCGGAGGGTGGAACTCCTGGTGCTACCACCCCCGGAGGATGGGGGTTGGTTGGAGGAGGGTTGGGCGTTGGAGGAAGAGAAAGGAGAGGAGACAGATGTATTTGACATGCTGGACTCCAGGTTGCTGCCTGGCGTGCGCTTCACTAGGGTCTGGAGTGGAAAAAGAAGAGGAAAAGATATTTGATAAAAGTTTGACAAGTTGGAGTTCTGGGAAAGTTAAAATAATAATTTGCAAGCTTTATCATTCTTTTCATGTTACTTTGGAAGAGACTCATAAACAAAAAATGTCCCCTGAAAAGGATAGCTCTTCAAATGCCCTCATATTCGAAAGATGACCAGTAACAGCTAAAGGCTGTGGACCACACTTTCATGCCACATGTTTGTGTTGTCCCATATATACATTACTGTGTACAGTGCATATGACCTTTAGCAAAACTGTGCCAAATTTCTTATCAATGTGATGATTTCAAAACCTCACAGTATACAACAATACTTCTGTGCTACATGATCAACTTTTTCTGATCACTTCCACACAGTTTCTCTCACAATGCAATTGCACGACCTGGGGCCTGTTTCATAAAACTGTTTATCTATAACAAATTTGCTCTCAGCCAATCAGATGCCTTGATTTCAGTACCTTATAACAGTAGCTTGTAAATTGTTATTGATATCAAGTTTTATGAAACAGGGTCAAGAACTCAATTTCATCTTTAACCAATGAATCGTCTATCTCACCTGGCATGATCCGTCCTCTTTCGCTCCACAATCGCAGAAGAAGGAGCCATACTTGGCGTAGGAGAGTTCATGACCTTTGTGGCAGACCTTGGCACAGATGGTACAGACACCGACCCCATCTACCATCTTACACGTGTGACAGTGGTACCTGTGAAAAGGTTCAGATGAGAAACAAAACTTTAGGAATCAGTACTTGCATGTATTCACAATTCTTACAATTTAATTTATTCAATGAAAACAAAATTAACATTTACATTTCTAAATGACCAAAAGACCCTTCATAAAACTGAAACTGAATTGTAAAAAAATGAGGGAGATACTGGCTCAGTGCAGCTAATTTCATTTCACAACTCGTTTTTTTTTTAACAGCCTGTTCAAAATGCCAAAATGATATGTGCAGAGCTGCCAACATTTGATTTGGGTAATCAGGGAGATTTCTGAGAGAGCAGCATCGAACGACTTCATTGTTGGCGGGAACCAAGAATGGCCTTTTAGTGCCCCTGGTGGGGGGGGGGGGGGGGCAGGGGGCAGGCCCCCAAAAGCTCTTGGTTTTAAGCCTCTTTGAAACCCTTTTAGAACACATTTTTTCAATGATTTCTCAAAATGGAAGGCTTTGATATGGCACATTTTATTTGCATACAATTGATAACATATGAACTTCACATCATATTTCAGACTATGAACTCCTGTTACCTCTATTGTGAAATGGGGGATGTACTTGTGGAAGGCAAGGACTGGGGTGTGCTTGAGGGTTTTCCTTGAAGTGACTGGTAGGTTGCTTGCTTGAGTTTGCTAAGGAGGTCCTTGCTATACTCCCTTTGGTAGCATGGGACATCTGTGTTGGCAATTTTCTCTGTTAGGAGTGCTTGAAGTGTTTTCAAATTCATTGATCCCCTGAAATCAGTTTTGTTCTTCCTAACAATGCTAAAAACTCTTTCACATGAAGCATTGGAATGTGGTATCACAAGCAAAGATTTCATCACTTTGCTCAGAAGTGTGTATTTCTTTGAGCCATTGCCATCCTCCATCTTTGAAATTGCAGACCATTTCTTGTCTATTCTCAAGTTTTTGTTCAGGATCTCTGGTTCCCCTGAAAAGTCTTCAACCTGGTATTGTGCAAATTCCAGCTCAAGCTTGTCCAGGTCTCCATTCTCTGATTGTCTGTTCAAAATGCAAGGGTACTTTTCAACAAAGTATTGCACAGATGAAAATGACACATCTCTTCTGGAACTGACATCAATCACTTCAGCCTCCTTAAGGAACTTAACATCTAGTGGCCAGGTTTTCAAGGCATAGTCACATGCTGATTCATAATACTTCCTCAGAAGATGCAAGTTATATCGATGCGTTCCCAACGGCAAAGGAGATCAGAAAAAAAAAGTCGGCTTCAAAATCCACTCTGCAGTAACACTGCCATGTTGGTATCAAATGATAATCCACTTAAAAATCACATCGCAAAAGTCCCCAAATCAATCCAAAAACTGATGTTGAAATGTGCAGTTTTTTGGGCCGATCGCAGCAGACAAAGTCTGCTTGTTGTATCAGTGCAACTTCTGGCTGCTCTGACGCGACCGATCGGAAACCGGCACCAACGTACCGGGACGCTACGGGGGCCGGCGAGGAAGCCGCCCGGCAGAGCAAGCAGGCGAATTGCTATCACACAAACACCACTCACATTATCACATGTTCCCAATGGTTTGTTAGATTAGCCCGCCAGTCGTTCGGCGTAACTCTCATTTATTACGCTGTTAAATAAAGTACGATATCACGGTAAATTTATATTCGACGACTGGATAACAGGAAAATTCATATTACAGAATTGCCGTGTGTTTGTATACGTACGTACGAACTCAACATGCTAGTCTTGTGAAACAGTCGTTTATGAAAATAATACAACTTAAAATCTGGAAATCCGGGAGATTTTTGCATGGGGTCGGGAAAACGGGATATTGGGTCAAAATCCGGGAGTCTCCCGCAGGATCCGGGAGACTTGGCAGCTCTGTATGTGATGATGTATCCAAAACTACTAGGACAACGACAGATAAACAACAATATTTTGATATAGTGGCTAAGATTTTTCATTCAAACATAGCAGTATATTGACTACAGCATGCTCATCATACAAATGACTAATTATTAGTCAAATTTTCTATGAATATTTGGCTTTTGATGAATAAAATAAAAATAACATTGGGGACTTACCAATGTTGATTCATAAATTCCTTCTGTGTGATGGTGAACGTACATAGCTTGTTACACAGCGAGTCTTCATCCTGTTCCAAGAATATCAATCAAAAAACAAAATCCACATTAAAAACCTGTCTATCTATGGCTATCTATACTACCCATTCATTCTACATAGAAAACCATCACACCCTGAAAATAGAAAGAAAATGATTTTGTGGTACCAATCTTGATAGTAGTGCCATAAACCATATTCTGAACAAAAAGAATAGTTTTGGACCATAAAGCAATTAAAGATCCCCCCAACAAAAATGGAGTCACATATTTCAGAGACCAGTGAAAGGTATAGATAATTATGTCCAATTTCATGAAAATATTACAAAAGAGGAAAAACTTTCATACATGCTATTGTGTATAGACAGGACAAGCAATAGGGCTTACTGTACTATAGTGATTTCAACATGCGTAATTACTTCATGGAAATATTCTCATGTTGTTAAATTCATTATCAATAAGTGATTCATGAAATTCACGAAAATAAAACCTGCAAAATTAAATGCTTACCGGTATACAATATTAAATCTTTCACTACTAGATAATATATAAATAGATTAAATCAATTTGCTTATACAATATTAAATTTAATAAAATATCAAATTTCATAAAAAACTCACTGAGTCTTCTCCTCCCGAGTCATCTTCTTCCATAGCAATGTCTTCCGCCCAATCAGAATCCACATCTAGCAAGGCAGCATCCATGTCGAAAGAGGGGAGGGCAGACCTATAGGCAGAGGGACAAAAATAATCACATAATCTTGAAATAGTTCCTGAGAACGTGAAGAGACAAAGAAGAAGAGAAAAAAGAAACCTTCGCTTTTATTAGAACGTGAGTTCACTGTAAAGAAAATGTAAAGTGGCAAAAGCTAATTGATTCCTTTTTTTTATGAATACATAGGTCTAAATTTGATTTAGATCAGTCTTTGCAGAGAAGTATGGTTCTTAAAAAAGGAAAATACATATGATGAAAAGAAAGGTCATATACCTTCTGTATTTAAAATACATGAGTGCTTTAACAGACACCCACACATTGAATCAGACTTTGAATCAAATAAGTAAAGTAGAATGTTTTTTTGTTATATTACTACCAACACCTATTGTGCACCAAGCTAAAAACAGGCAACTTAAAGATCACCAAGTAGTTTTCATTTCCTTATTAACCTAAGTGAAAAATATCTTCCAACTGATCATCCAATATAAAAAAAAAATACTTTTTAGCCTTGTGACTAATGAATCCTCTCATTTTCCCTAGGCTTAATAATAGAACAACCTGGTTACCATATACTACAGGTCTTTTTAAATACAGTTAAACCTGTCTTAGTGGCCATATCTTTTGTCTCCCTTGAGAAAGAAATGTGTGTTGTAGACCCTGCCTAGAGAGTCTTCAGTGGTCACTTTTTCTGTCTCCCTCGGGTGGCCCTGATAGACAGATTTGACTGTGCAACTCTCTATAGTGACCATATCTTTCATCTCCCTTGAGAAAGAACATGGGTTGTAGACCCTGTCTAGAAAGGCCACCTGTCTACAGTGGTCACTTTTCTGTTTCCCTTGGGTACAATGTATACACACTGTGTGGTTTAAATGTTGACGGTTATACTTTTTTTTTTTTTTTTTTTTTTGTAAAATGAATTTATTGATAAATATATGCATTTGAACAAAACAAACAATCATACACAATCAATTGAAATAACATCGTAGCATCTTAGCATAGTTCAAATAAAACATGTTTCGTTTTCTTGAATAACAGTGTTTTCAAAAATACATATCTTTTTTGTTTTACAGTTTCTTTCGATCTTTAATCGATTGTGGATTAGTCTTTTGAAAATACAAAGAATAGAGACTTCATGAAACATGAGTTTGCGATTTTCTGCTTGCATAAATGTTAAATAAACTGCGTATTTTGCATATATGATAAGAAAATTTAAACTTTTAAATATTTTGTTTTTCAATTTATAACCTTCAATTAAAACGAACTTGTCAAAAGAAAAATTGACATTGTAAAGTTTTCGAATTATGTCTCCAAATTGACGGTTATACTTACTTGTCTCCCGACTGCTTGAGAGCTCCTAGTACATTGGCTACATAGGAGAGGAGATAGCATGCTGCTTCCATTACTGTGTGGTGCTGTAGATCAGAGTTTGACAGAGAATGAATAAATCAGAAATAATAATAACAATTAAATATATAGCGCATTTTCAATATACATGTTCAAATGAGCTGTGCAATTATGTTATTGAAGGCCGTCTATACTACGTAGTTGGACCAGAAGGGATTAGACCATCCAGCGAGGTCACTGACAGGTGGTTATCTCATCAACTCAGCTCTCAATTAACAAAGAGGATCATGGGGGACCAACAGGCACCGATAGGGGGAAGTTTTCTATATAGAGGGAGCAAGTAGCTACAAGTAGGACAGTGGGGCTTTAACAGAAGAGGTGAATTTTGAGGTATTTTTGGAAGGTATTGAGTGATTGCTGGTTGCGAGGAAATCTGGGTAGGTTATTCCACAGTTTGGGAACAGCTGTTATATCTGCTTTATCACAAAGTGTGGGTTACATACTGAATTGGGATGATCAAATGGGAGAAGGAACAGTTTATTTGTAAAGCGCTTAGAGACATTGTATTAAGCACTACATGTATATAAAAGCGAAATATTATTAGTATTATTATAAAGGAGCCACTTATTGAGTTAGTGAGATTACTGTTTATGACATTGGCTCTTTTCTCAGAACATTTTAAAATCTTAGAGGGCAAGTGCCTTTGCCCCTACCTTTTAAGGAAGAAATAATTTATATAATTTTTGTAAAACAATCATGTTGTATGTAAAATTCGAACACAACCATTATAATACAATTTATAGTTCTGTAGTGCACTTATTTTTGCGCGGGAAACAGTTATATAATTAGGAAGCTTCAGAGAGAGTGTTTATTTGTGTGGCTCATAAAGTGCCTTTCTGGCTCTCAAATCGTGTCTCACCTTTCCTTCGGTCACATCTTCACCGATCTTCTCTGCTACGTCTTTGTGAGACAGGTAAGATTTGCTGCAAGAAAATACAATATTGAATATTATGTCAGCACATGGTGAGAGGAAATGAAGAAATGAAGGAATAAACTGTATTTCTTTCTTGAAATAAGCAGTTTTTGAAGTATTTGAAGAAGAGGAACATCAAGTCTTAGGTTGCAAACAGGTGAATGTCATAAACTTAGGTACCATTCAACTTACATGTACATGGATTTTTTTACATGAAGTTGTTCACTATACATATTTTGAATCATATTAAATATCCATTTTTTGGCCAAAGCAAATCATTCTCACTGTGCCTATCTAAATGAAAGTCCCCCCTCGCAAATCCATGAATCTGTGATTTTGATCTGGCCAGCTTAGCAAACAATCTCATTACTGACATTTAAAAAAATTATATTGCTAAGTGTACTTTGCACTAAAAGAATAGTCACACATCTGCACCTTATCTTATAAAGAGTCTCCAATAAACCCACTAAAATGTGATATCAATTACTTCTGCTCACATAAGAAAAGGTTAATCTAAGTTTTGTGTAAATGGGGAGGGGGGGGGGGGGGGGGAATAGCTTGCAGCAGGGCTCAGGTGTAAGTTCAAGAAAAACACTAAGACAAAAATTGATTGAAAGATACTTCAGATAACACTATGATATGTTAAAGCCTGTCTGCACTATTTTAGCCAGGGGGATTAGACCTCCCTGCAAGGTCACTGACAGGTGGTTATCTCATTAAATCAGCTCGCAATTAACATCAGAAAAAGGGGATCATGGGGGACAAACATGCACCGATTAGGTATTGTTTGCTATATAGAGGGCGCAAGTAGCAGTAAGTAGTGCAGTGGGGCTTTAAACTCCACTCGGTTGTTTAGCCCATACAACTGTACTTACCATGAAGCTAGCCACTCCCCTGCAGCACTGAACAGCTCAATATGACCCATGCCTGACCCAGCACCAGCCAGTGTGATCATGACGGGCATGAGTTCCGCGATGCCGAACGTCTCGCTGCCGATGTTTGAGAGAAGCTGAGTACACATGGGGATGAGTGCCCGCAGCAGTGCAGAGGCCACGCCTTCACCAACGGCACTGCAAAGATGGAAATAAAATGTAGGATTGCATTATACAGTCGAACCTGCTTTAGTGACCACCTGTCTACAAAGACCACCTGTCTACAACAAGCACATTTTTTGTTTCCCTTGAAAATGGTTTCTCATTGAAACATGTACTAAAGGAACCTGTCTACAAAGACCACTTTTTGTGTTTCCCTTGGGCGGTCGGTGTAAACAGGTTTGACTGTATTACAAACATCTCTGCTTACATGATATTGTCAATATGCTCTTAAGAATGATTTTTTAATCCTTGATTTTAATTCCTTATTTTTCCTTCAGTTTTGAACGATTGATTGCATAAATCAATGTAATGTTTTCATGATGTGGCAAAGCATTATACAAGCATAAAATTAAGTTGACCAACAAATGATTAGCACAAATCTCAAAGAGTATGATTTACGATTTACAATCAATCATTCATTAAGCTACAAACGACAACTGATTTTCAGCAAAATAATAATAATGCCTAGTAAAATAAACTTTACCATTTACCAGTGACTAAAACTTGACATACCAATAATACAAATCTGCCATAAGAAAATAAATTAGGAATAAGTTGAACATTTTAAGTTAAGACTGATAGATTAAGACTGTCCCTATGCTCACCTGTTTTCCTTGACAATGTAAGAGGTCAGGCTCTGTAGAAGGACCCTGTTCTCCTGCCCCTTACCACCGGGATCACTGTCTCTGATGATGCGGGAGAGCCAACTCTGAAGAGCCTTGGGGTTGGAGCTACCCTGTCTACCCAGCGTGGAGCAGAGAGTGTCGATGTAGGTATCACTTGGGTGCTCCTCGGCTACAAAGTAAGAAAAATAGTGATTAGAATTAGTAATAGGACTAAAGACTAAAGACTAAAAACTAATAATACTAACAATCATCATCATCATCGACATCATCGTCACAATCATCATTGCTTACAATCATTATCATCATCATCATCATCATTACCATCATCATCATCATCATCACAATCATCACCATCATCATCACAATCGTCATCATCATTGTCAACATCATCATCATCATCATCATCATCACAATCACAACATCATCATGATCATGATCATCATCGTCAACATCATCGTCATCAACATCATCGTCAATATAATCATCATCACTAGTTCATCATCATCAATGGTAAGTGTAATGCAAAGGGATCCTGTTCATTAATGACAGTGATGCTCCATGTTTTTCTCCAACCCAGGTATTGCGTACAACGCTCAAATCAGGGTCATCTTTTCACTGGAATCCCATTTAGGACTTTGCCAATTCAAATACAATCGACTTGTGCTTTCTCTTCAATCTTTAAGAACAACAAAAGACATGATGAGGAGGATGAGAGTATTTGGAAGATTATTGAATATTTGAATAGCTGGAAAAGGCTTTGACACATTGTACTTCAGAGCAATGGGGATACAAGATCACAATCTGATCAAGAATAACTTACCAATTTGCATGAGTTTGTTGAAGAACTTGAGGATCTTTGTTCCATATTCCACCGACAGGTTTTCATTGGCTGCTGAGAGCAGGACATCAATAAGGTCTGAAATCACAATTTTTGAGATTAAGGATTAAGTGTTGCATGAAGTTGAAGATTAGCAATGTCGAATGACAAATCAGTGAGTTGACGAGACAAAAGTATTTAATACACATTATTGATATACAGGTGTATGTCTACCTATGAATTTATGTATATGTAGTACCATCATACCCGTTATGCAACATTTTAATTTATTTGATTATATTTTACTTCATTTCCTCATTTCAAGGAACATAAATGATTATACTGGAGTATAAAACTGGATCCTGTGTATTTCTGTGAGCCTACTTCTTTACAAACGATGCAATTTGATAATTTTCTTTTCCATTACCTGCTCGTTCAGTATAGAGCTTCTCCAAGGCTCGCTTAGCAGCCTCTTTCTCTAGATGGGATTCCATGGCTTGGATACACTCTTGATAGATGCAGTCATCCAGCACACTGTACAATGAATTAATTGGCAGGGTACACATAAATATCATTTACTTTAATTAAAAGGCTGTACAACAAGTCTAAGTTAGTGTGATTCTGATAGATGCAGTCACCCAGCACACTGTACGATGAATTATTTTGAAAGGTGTATGTGAATATTATATACTTTGAATAAAAGGCTGTATAAAAAGTCTAAGTTAGTGTGATTCTGATAGATGCAGTCACCCAGCACAATGTACAACAAACTACAGGGACTAACCCTGGAAAATCACACTCACTTTGAGGAAAAGGCTGTATAAAGAATCTAATTCACGTGAGATTCTAGTAGACGCATACATCTACATGTAATATACACATACTATACAAGAAAGTAATGTACAATACCTCTAAGTCTCATTCATTTGGACTAAAATGTAGTTCAAGGAGTAAAATAAAATGTGATCCAACTCAAAACATTAAACCTTGCAGGAATCAAATAAGTATAGTTTGAACTAGGCCACTCACCTGTCTTGCGCATGCTTGGTGAATATGTCATGGTAAGTTCTGAACACCTGGAAAAAGAATCTAGTCAGGAATTCCTCACCATCTTGTGGGCCCACAATCTGAGAGACTACTGAAGTTGCCTGTTAGACAGACAGAGAGAAAGAGAGAGAGAGCGAGAAAGAGAGAGAGAGAGAGAGAGAGACATGGTAAGATGCGACAAATGTGAAAAACACAGGGTTGAGAGAAAAAAGAATGGTGCGATAAATATTAAGAGAGAATGTTCAGGTCAAAATATAAACATCCTCAAAATACATGATCATGTAATAGCCGGCAAGAGAGAGAGAGAGAGAGAGAGAGAGGGGGGGGGGGAGGAGAGAAAGACCAGCTTAACAAATGAGAATAACTTTTAAAATCTTTTCTCTAAAATTAAATCAATTACTAAAATTTATTACAACTTTGGGTTCATTCTCCTTCAAAATTTAAATCCAGATTTGTTGGAATTTGGAATATGAAAGAGTAAACATACCGATTCTGCAACCGATTCTGTGCTTGCATCCAGGAGCAACGGGAGGAGAACTTCGACCATTCTATCCTTGTTGGCCTTAGACTCTGGACACCAGCTGATAAAGGCAAAATAATATGAATATATTCTATAATGATCTCAACTATCAAATGGGTATATGGTAATTAAACTTAGTTAATAATCACATCATCAAGATTTATATAAGACTATTTGAACAACAACAGCCAAAATGCTGGTATGTGATCGAAAGAACTCTGAACTTTGACCTTTGGACATGAATATGTTCTATGATTTGAAAAAATTGTAACTATCAAATGGGTATATGGTAACTAAACTCAATTCCTAACCAAACTATAACATCAAGATTTATATAAGATTACTTGAACAGCAATAGCTAAAATGGTGGTATGTCATCAAATGAACTCTGAACTTTGACCTTTGCACACAAAAAATGCCATGCTCTTGTCAAAATACAAGCTAAATTTTACAGAAAAAAAAGTGCGAGTTACTCTGAGAGATCTGAAGTGAAGCGGACAAGTGATGCCATGACATGCTGTACAGCTGCTGCGATGTTGAAAGTTGTCTGATCTGATTACATACAAAAAAAATGAAAAAAAGTTAAAAGGAGCGGGAATGTCTTTGTCATTTAGATTTCTTGACTTATCATATTTGATTTCCCCTGAGATCTGCAGTTCATTTGGGTTAATTTGGAGTAGATTTTCAAAGCTTTAAAAAAAAAAATCAAAAAAAAATCTATATTTTTGTTTGAAATGTGATATCATGATTATTCTGGGTAAAAACCCTGACAAACTTGAATGTGGAAAATTAATAAATAAAATGAAATCTAATAATTTTCAAAGCTTATCCCATTGCCACAGGAATCAGATGGCTTCTATATATCAAGCATAGGGGAATACAATGAGAAAAATAAGTAGTCAATAAGTTATTAGCACTAGATGACATGGTATTATATATATTATCAGCTAGTACCCTAAAAATTACCCATCTTTACAGAAGCTGATAACAGTATACATGAACATGGATTGTAACAAGTGTTCGAATCAAAAATAAACATAACATGTGCCAAAAAATACTTACTTGAGTACAATCCAAGATGAGCTGTTCTTAGCAAGTTCAAGTAATTCTCCGACAAGTTGGTCTCCTCTGTAGAATTGTCACCCTGCATGGTAGAAAAAAAAACAATATGCTTTCATCAAAACCACCTTGCACATCTGCGTTAAAATAAAATACAAACAGAGGATTGGAAAATGAAGATGGGGGATGAAATACATGTACAGCTTGATCATCTTGCATTGCCAATCTAGAGAGTGTAATGATTAGTTTTAATTAAATCACTCTTACTCAAGAAGGCCACAACATACTGCATTGCAAATAGACCCTAAAATTTCTGTGACTTTTTTCCTTCTCTTTCTGCTGATGTGAAATATGTAGTTCCTAGCGTTTTGGATCAAAAGATAATGCAAAGACAGGACTAAAATGAGAAACTGTACTGCTATTGATTACAGAATCAAAGTTAATTAGAAGTCATTATAAGATGATGATGTGGATCCTTATCAAATGATTGGTTGGGAGCTTACACGTGACCAGGCATTTATTTGGCCTAACACGCAATTTGGATAGTGACCGGTCATTATCAAATGCTAATGACCGGTCATTCGTAAAATGTTATATAACTAAAATTACCCACACTCGGTACCTTCAAAACAGTCCAAATGCCTGAGGCGAGGTTAGCTTGGTGGGTAATTCTTACTAATGCCCTCACTGCTGTGTATTATTTGTATATTATCCTACCAATGAGGGGATGGATGGGAAGTCTCCCATAGAGATCCCGTTCCATTTCTCCACAGCCTTTTTAACAGGACTGGGCAGGGCCATGAGCATGGTGAGGCCGTGGGCCGAGGCCGGCGAGGCACGGTTGGATGCGATGCGCAGCACGGCTCCGTAGCCAGAGAGGGCTCTGCAAGTCAGCTGCTCCAATTTCATATCTGAGTTCTTGTCCAGCTGGCCGAGCAAGCACGATCTAATGAATGAAAAAAATTAACATGAATACAAAATAGTCTATTTCTATCCAGTATATCAATTAAAAATTTGTAATTACACTGTATTTTCGAAAATTGATATTTAACTTTGATTAATGTAGATGAATTATTGACAACCAATGGCTTTCTGTACCACTAAACTTTGATGATCTTAGTGCTTGCCAGAGCCTTTGATGACAAACATGTTCAGGTAATTTTAATATATTTGCATAAACTTGTGAACAGGGCCCCCGTCTTATAAATAGTTACGATTGATCCAAATCAATCGCAAGTCCTCAAATCAATTGCAAGTTTGCAGTCTGTTATCTCTTAAGTACATAGCTGCAATAAATATCAATGGCAAATAGGTTGCGATTAATCGCAGCTGTTTATAAGAGGGGACCCAGGTCTATCGTTTCTACATTGCAATTTAAGAAACGTTTTGATCCATGTAGATGAGAATTTGGCAAACCAGTTGGTGTGAATCTTGTGTTTACGAACTTCCCAACAATTGATAAATTTCATCTGCACTGTTTGTTTTGAATCCTTAACAACCCACCTGGAATACAGGCCGAACATTTCCACAAGCTGACTGATGATTGGCTGAAGTTCTTGGGCCACTTCCATTCCTGCACGGGGATCGTCTTCATCCTGAGTTGTAAAAAAATCAGCAAAAAAAAAAGAAGAAAAAAGAAAGAAAAAAAAGATAACAAGTGTTGAATATAATGGTCTTGAAACTGCAGGAATTGTATATTTATTTTTAATTTGCCAAAAGTAATCACTATTTAAGTAAATACACGTACATCAATCATTTACAAACATAATTAATCAATTAAATAAAAAAGACAATCATCCTAATACACACAAAACAATACAATAAATTATATCAATTTATTTCCATTTAAATGTTTAACAGTATCTGCGCATTCAGACAAATGGTTTATCATTACACGGGCCTCTTCCAAAATGTTTTACAACCAAAGAATGTGCACTTGTTGGTCTTTGAATTTCATATTGCATACACAATCTTTGTTTTTTATTGTTATTTATTTATTCAATCTTATCAAATCTGTAAATATTCTATATATGCATTGTTTTTATTGATTGTACAGGGCCCTCAGGGATGGCAGTTTCTTAAAGTGACTCAGTAACATTGCCTCAGAGTCTGAAACAAAATCCTGGACTTAGCTCATGCTGCAATCATAATTATAAACCTTTAGGTCAGTCAGGAATCCCATGACATTTATAAGCCGATCGTTTCAATATTACACCCTATCACAGACACTGATAACACATAGGGCCATGCATATCAGATTTAACATTGTTAAACGATGCCTTTAACTTAAAAAAAAAAACCTGCTGAAATAAAACTGTGAATATATAGATAATAATAGAGGAAAAGCGATTTTACATATTTATAAGGAAAAACGTCGGACTGACCATGGCTTTCATGAATCTATCCTGAAGTGAGATCCGCAGCTTTCCGATGACGGAATCTATGGTGTAGAGCAGGTGCAGGCTGGGAAGGGTAGAGGCTGGGAGAACATCGGTCGGTCTTGCGTCCAAGGGCATTTGTGAGAGCTGTCAGAGAGAACAGAGAAATAAGAAACAAATAAAAGTTTTAAAATCAAAAGAGTACTCCAGTAGATATATCTATCGTAAACATCATCTAGCATTAAAGGGTACCAGTCACCTTGAAAAGTAATTTGTGTACAACCAAATCACCTTAAAACAAACTTACACTGTACCTGGCGTTCTATGGACAAACATTTACAGAGTAAAAACAAAAACAAAACAAAACATAAACCCCTTATTTCATAAATCAATTTCAAAATTGAAATTAAAACTTGAAATGATTAGTTTCACTGATAATTTAGGCATAGGATACCATCAATGGATATACAAAAAATGTAGACTTCACAATACTTTAAGATTTTAACCACTTCTTTTTTTAGCAGATGTTTCTGCATTTATTGATAAATCAAATATAAAACATTCAAATAACAATAATAGTATATAATATAATTGATTTACATCAAGAGTGACAACTTAATACACACAAAATAAAATATTTAAAAAAAATACATAATTGAAAGCTTGAAAGTATGGAGGTAAGTAAAAATAATCAAGATAAATGCAGAGGCCAACTATCATAAGCAAAGAAGCTTGAGTCGATAGCAGCCGGGAAGGGGGGGGGGTACATGGCGCTGTTTTAGGAGAATGTAGGGGAATAGAGAGTCACATATAAAGATTTTGTTCAGAAAGTATCTGAATAAAAAGTGGAAAGAAATTAATAAAAGAAAAAAGAAGAAAAATGTGCAAGTGTGTGCAAGTGGGTGTGTGCAGGTGAAGTAAGTGTTCGATTCGTATTGTTAATGAACTGGTCATCTAAAATTAATTAAAATAAACTATCAAAACCTCTGAGACCCTTATGATGTTTTTGAATATGTAGATATTAAATATTTTTTCATCGATGCTTTGAATAAATAAAGAGTTGCAGAGTGTTTAATATTGTCAGGTAAAGCATTCCAAATGTCTGGACCATGATGTCTTATCGATTTATAGGCCATAATAATTTTGGGGTTTGTTAAGTGGAAATCGGATGAGTGTCGTGTGGGATAAGAATGTATATCACTATTGTAAACAAAAATATTTCGAAATGCTGTATTTATCCAACATTTATACATAAAGATTGCAGTTTGAAAACTGTGAATGTCAGCGATTTTTAATGTTTTTAGTTTACAAAATATTGGATCAGTATGGGCTAAATAATGTGAATGTGTACAAAGACGAAGTGCTTTCTTTTGGAGACGATATATTAACATAATTTTCATCTTACTACATGTACTATTGCCCCAAACTATGTTACAATAAGATATGTATGACAAAATGAAGGAATTGTAAAGCATAAATAGTGACTTTTGTGATAGATAATATTTTAATTTATATAAAATGCCTATGCTTCTCGAGACTAGCATGCAAATGTTGTTAATATGACTATTCCAAGTTAGGTTTGTTATTTTCTGGAAGAAAAATGTAGATATTCTTTGTCTACACACATTGTTCAACGCTCAAATTCTTGGCCGGGCTTTGAGAGAAAGGAAGAGGTCAATGTACCTTGACATTGATCTACATTTGCCACATTCCACCCAAGTGAAGTAAATGGGTACCTGGTAGGAATTTATTCCTTGAAATGCTAGAGCGCCGTACTGTAGCCCTGCTAAAGCCAGGGTAATAATCGAGAGTGCCAGGAGGGTCAAATCTGACTGACATGAGCGCTATACAAGAACCCATTATTATTATTATTATTATTATTACCTGTCTGGCGATGGATTCTTGGGCCATCTGAACATCAAACTTGACAGTGTGGCAGTGCTTGATGACTATGTCAAGGAGGCTCTCTGCCTCTGTGTCTGGGAGTCTCTGTTCACAGAGGTGTTCCTGTACACAAATTACAGAGAAGAGAAGAAAATATTTGGTTGGATTATATTTTTCATGTTTTTTTACATTACCACGTTTTTGTTGTTGTGTAAATGAACTTCTTGATCTCGGTTGGCAGACTCTGGGACCTGCTTGTTTTGGGGGGCTCTGCGCGAATGAGACTGTATCGTATCCATGATCGTATCCTTCCATCTTTCATGTTTTGAATTGCGCAGATCCTTGAAACACGTTGGTCTCTTTGCCAATCCGCCGGTATTGAGAGGTCCATCCCCCCTATTGCTTTTTGGGGTCTCAATTTGGATCATGTTTGTTCGTCATGATTGCTATGCCATGTGTTTTTTAATAAACCGAACTGAACTGAATGCTCATAATGATACACAGTACAGGCTCATGGGGGCAGTAGAAAATAATCACTGAAGAGATTGTAAAATTGTGAACCAATACATTAATGACATCACAAGAGTAATATCCGTGCATAAAATTCAATAATAATATTGATATTTAGAATTCGTACATAGAGTAGTAGCCATATTTTAACACAAAAGTTCAAATTCAAATATCTGCAGATAATCTTGCTGTTGAAGGTCAATTTCATATACACTGTACATTCATACATACCAGGATGTGTAGGGCAATTAAACTGGATTATTCAGAGGGGGAAATTAAACTGGATTATTCAGAGGGCGCATTTTACGTTATAAAGCTTAGGGAATAAACAGCCTAATCCAATATTATATTCTTAATAGTAAAGCCGAATTACCAAGAACAGAAGAAAATATTGTCATCGAATTATGAATCATCTCATCAAAATCAAAGGCAAACAGTTAAAGTAACTTACAAATCCCATTCATGAACACATTAAGTACAATTTTGTGTCAGTCTACTATCATTTTACACAAAAAGAGAATCAAACTCAGTTCTCACCTTGATCCAAGTTTTGTACTTAGCGGATGGCATGCGCGGTACCCATCGCAGGGAGTGCAGGACCTCATGTTGGGTCAAAGGTCGCTCGCTATCACAGTGCTGCCCTTCAAGCAGCTTGATGTACGCCACAGATGGCGCCATTTGACCAAGCAGCCTCCAGCAGACGCTGGCCGTGTAGTGGATGGAGCAGCCGTCCATGTGATCGAAGGGCGTGGCATTCTGGGATGCCTGGAGGTGACACTCGCTGCCGACGCCCATGAGTTCGATGACGGCAGAGTAGAGCTCGTTGTAGTCAAAGTTGGGGTCATACAGGACCTCGCATGCCTGAAAACATGATAGACATCAATAGAACAATATGCAACCTTACATTCATCATACATGCCAACATTTGAAAATCAGAAATCTGTACACTATGTGCGCGAAGCGCATATCACGAGCGCGAAGTCCTTTTAGCCGGGGTCCAGGGCCCGCTTTAGGGCCCTGGAAGCTCTGGGTTTCCAGATGCTCTCTGGTGCAATCTGAGCCTATTTTAGGGACCATTTCCCCTAAAATTCAACCCAAGTTTATGGGTAATTTTTGTGTCATACCAAACAAAAAAGTGATTGAAGTGAATTCCACATTTTAATTTATCCTTGGCAGAGGCAGAGCAGATAATAGACATAGATTTAATTAGCCACTCATGCAGAGTGATGCATTTAAGTCTAGTTACTTTTTAAATAATTATACATGACATAGATCTATGCATAAAATGAGACTGGCAATAATGGTATTCAACTTTCCAGACAACAGTCAATAATCCAAAATTATTGTAACTCATTGAGCTACATGTAAATGAGGTTGTCAAAATCAATGTCAGCAGAACAAGACTCCACCACTGATCTTTAGATCTTGCCGACAATAAATGCAGTATACATTATCAGAGATGCCAACCCTATATGATGGCTGTCAGTAACATTTACCATATTTGTCCGTAACAAATGGGGGGTCTTTCCGGAACGCAAGACACCGCAGCATAATTTTCGCGCAAAACGTACACAAACACCCAATCACTCTTACTGCATTTCGAACCTACCATTTTTAAGTCCAAAATAAAGATGTGCATAAAAACGTTTTTAAAAATCTGTTTCCAGTCAAAGGATCTCCTCCTTGGGTACTCGCTCTTTTGAGTGAATCCATGATAATATTCAGGAAGAAAACACCTCGTTCAAGCGTCGAATGGCAAATTCGAATCCACAGTCAAACGGCAGAACTCGTATCCTACACACGCACACGTACACTCACGTTCACCAGTACCACAGACACTCCAGCCCAGGCCGCTAGGCCCGGCGTTCATGAACAACAACACACCGTATATCGCACTTGCAATGTGCCCACTGAATCACCGAAGTCTTCGCTACTATACTTTGAATGGGTATTGCGGGCGCCGCGCGCACGATCATCTACCACCATGCTCCCCCCAAAATGCACGACCGCACACTAGTATCAAAACAGTAATAACGGCGGCCGTGTTGTTTCGGAATTAAACAAGATGGCGGCGGACGGACCATGTGCGTGAAAGTGCCTATCCAGTGTAGTCAATGCTATGTATGGAAAGCCAAATTCCCCAAAATCGGAACGTTCCGTTTTTTAGGGCTATAAAAACTTCAAAAACGGAACAGTTCCGTTAAAATCGGAACGGTTGGCATGTCTGCATTCATTAGCAAGCAAAAGCTTACTATAAAAAATACAACTCACATTTCTTGAGAATATCTCATACAGTATGGAAAATCCTGCATCAAATGATTCTCTCAACCAGTTACACATGATTTGGTTTTCATAAAACAAAACCTTTTCCATAAATTTCAGCCTATGGTTATTCTGGGTACTGCCTTACTGTCTTCAAAATAAATCCATGGCATATAAAAGCTCTCCACATTTGCACTGGGCGTTGCGGCGTGCACCAGTAATCCAGCTAACAATAGAATTTACAAACTGATTCAGCCGAGGAGGCAGTTTTGAAACTGAGTCACGTCTTTTGGATGGTGACGTTTAAAGGTCGGTCCCCAGACGTAAATAATCATATCTGATTGATTCAGGTCTGTAAAAACCCAATACACACACACACTTGTGCGTGCGAACCAGCTGCTCATGCGAGAAAATATTTTCTCACCCCTTTGTCGATGCAGGGTCCGTTCCTATCTGTCTCAGCCGAGATTAGGTTGTAGAAGCTCCGTTTGAAGGTGGATCCGTCCATGACGGCAAAGTGGTTGTCTCCCATGGTGACTTTGCGATAGTTCTCCTCCACCTCCCTGCACGGGGTGTAGAACTTGGTGACGGCGATCCCGCCGCGTTCCTCTTGGTAGAGCATTAGGGCGGGGTCCGATGATTGCACGGTGAAGATGTTCCATTGCACCTGGGGGGGGGGGGTGGGGGTAAGGTGAGGACAGAGGAAGCATTTAGAATAGTTGTTAATGGTGAGTGTGGGAGATTGAAAATTGGAAGTAAAGGGCAAAGTGGGGATGCACATATAAGATGTTCCCCAACCCACAATAGGAAGGAGGGACAAAGACCCCCTCTCCCTCCCTGAAACAAAAGGATGACGTAGAGATCGCCACTAGTGGCTCAGACCCTATAAAAGACGGAACACTGGAGGCAGCATCACCAAAATCAGCGGCGTAACGCTGCTGGATCCAAAGTACCCCACCGGCATACCCCCGGGGGATACAATTAAACAAGTTTCAGCTTATTACTAATCCTGCATTTAAATATTCATAGCCAAGGGATCATTAAATAACACCATCAGATAAAAAGAGACAGAATGCAATGCATCATGTAATACTTTTTTCTTCCAATCTAACCTGTGGAATACAAAAAGCAGGAATGTGGACTTAGATGTCAGGCTTGATGTCGGATGAACGTTGAAAGTGAAAGCTTACGCTTATTTCTCTACTGATTGTCAAGAAAGAAATAATTTCCAATCAGATGAACCTTTTCAGCGAATGAAGGCTTGTTGGTCTAATGGCAATAATCCATCGATAATTTGACCGCTTTCGCCAAAATTACTCACCTGGTCATAAAGCTGGGGAGGAGGTTGTGAGTAGTGATGCAGAAAGTACTCAAAAATGAGGAGGAGACGACACACAGCCAGCGGGTTCTTGGTCTTTGCATCCCTGTCAAACAGAAAACAACACAATATTTAAAGACACGGACATAATAGCTCAAAGTAAAATGTGTGAATGTAATTGGATATTTACAGACCTGTTTCAATCAGAAGTGATCATTTACATCTAGGGACTAACATCTAACGTCACTTTAAGACACGACCCAGCTTTCACATCAGGCTTTTTTAAAGTCCGTTTGTAGGCAAAGACATAGAGCTGACATTATCACAGAATCATCAGGGGGTTGTTTCACAAAGATCCTAAGTTTAAATTAACTCTAAGTTGGACTTAATAATTATGGAAAGCTGTTAGCATCTATGCAAATATTTTGTAAAAAATATTTTGTAAAAGTTATTTTAAAAGGTATAAAATGTTGATTCAAATCATTCATATTTCCTATTATCAAGGAGATTTCATGTTCTTGATGTGGAATTTATGAAAAGTCTAAAATACTTGAACTTTTGCTTTTTAATATATTTAATTTTAAGCCTACAAATGGCTCTCCATAATTGGTAAGTCCAACTTAAAGTTAAGTTTGACTTAGGATCTTTGTGAAACACCCCCTGGAGCATAATGGCGTGCTGCACAAGAAACACTCAAACCATTGTTCATTTTTGTCAGATATCTTTGATTTGACTCACCTAGACTGTGAAGCCTCTACGATGATGTTGGCACACTGGGTGAGGATGATCATCTTGCTACTCCTAGCGAGGCTGTCAAACACAAACAGCAGTAGCTGGATGTGCTCCACATTCACATCTACATGGAGAAATAAAAAGATTCATGACTAGAAATAACTTAACAATTTTATGATTTGTACATTGCCCCGCTTTTCACAAAACTTGTTATCAGTGACAAATGACAGTTTTTGTTATGAGCTACTGAAATCCTTGCTTCTGATTGGTTATCAGCAGATTTGTCACTGATTTTTGTCATTTGTCATTGAAAAAAAGGCATTGTGAAATGAAACCCAGTTCTTCTGTTTTCATTGACAGGATCCTCAATCACTTGTCAAGTCACCTATACCTCAATGCTACTGCTACAAGACTGCTTGATAGAAAGTATTAACAAGAAATTAGCAATATTTGGATACCATAATTTTAAAGTTTAAGTATACAATTTTAAATTGCATATCTTGAATTCAATGTCATTATGATCCTGAACTTACAGGTTTATAAACCAACTTTGAACTGAACCTGTAATTGACAAAATCTTGGCCATGTGCAGTAATGTAATTTTTGTTTGGTCTCTCACTCTCTTGTTATTATACTAATGGCATCTGTGGTATTAGAGTCTGTATTCAAATCATGCTCCATAAATAAACTTCAGCCATACCCAAATGATCATCGTATCTACCCTGAAATTATTTTCCTCGGCTTCACATTCACGTTAGTGTATGTCTTCAGAGCCCTCTCCTTCAACATTCAAACAAAAACTTAATTTTTGCCAAACAAGAATGACCCTAAATACTATCCAAAAGTGAACCTCCTTGGCCTCATCCTCAAGCTAAGAGATTATCGTAAAGGGAAAGTCCACCCCCAAAATAAGTTTGTTTCGATAGAGGCAGAATAATAAGAAAATCAGGTGAGTGAAAGTTTGAGCAAATTCTGAATGAAAATAAGAAAGTTATGAATTATTGAAGTTGTGATCAATCAAATACAAATTGGCAACTCTGTGACTTATTATACGAGCTCTCCTTCATTTGCTTTGTGCATAATATTCCATAAAATCATGTTTTCTTCGTTATTGATGACGGAATATATATTTGTTCCTTGCAGGGGGAGTATAGAAACATATTTGCAATTATTATATTTAGGGTGCATTATGGTTGAAATTTTTCTTGAGGGAAAATGAAAATTTTAGATTTTTTTAGTACTGAGCAAATGGAAGTTGAGCTCGCATGATACGTCATAGAGTTGCCAATTTGTGTTTGATTGATCACAACTTCAAAAATCCTAACTTTCTTATTTTTAATCGGAATTTGCTCAAACTTTCACTGACTTGTTTCTCTCATTTTTCTACTCCTATTAAAACTAACTTAATTTCAGGGTGGACTTCCCCTTTAAGAGCTCTCTTCCCGGCAAACCCCAAGGTCTTCCTTCCTCTTCCTCTTCCTCTTCAATACGTGTCAACAGACTTGTTAGTCCATATAAAGAACTACCCTGCTTAACGGAGTGTTCAGGCGTGCGCCTATATTCCAGCTTACAATGGAAGTTACAAACTGATTTAGCCGAGGACGCAGGTTCGAAGCCGAGTCCCGTTTTTCGGATGGTAACATTAAAAGTCGGTCCCAGACATAAATAATCATATCTGATTGACACATGTCTGTAAAAACCCAATTACACACACACACACACATGATCCAACCCTCTCCTTACCTTCACGCTCTGGTTGCATGTCTGTTTTCAGAGCTCACTCCCTTAACACCGAGAGGAACTTCTGCCAGACCCTGAGGCCGAGATTGTCTGAAGAGCTCATTACCAGCAAACCCTGAGGTCAACCCTGGGGTCAACCCAGGGGTCAACCCTAAGCCAACCCTTTCCTTACCTTCACCCTCTGGTTGCGTGTCTGTTTTCAGAGCCCACTCCCTCAACACCGAGAGGAACTTCTGCCAGACCCTGAGGCCGACCGTCATGCCATGCTCCTTCTCGCTGGTACCCATCCATGTCTGCTGTCGCTTGACCAAGATGTGGGCTAGGACGGCCAGGGTGCGGGGTGGCAGGCTGAGGGGCCAGCTGCTAGAACTGGACGGCTGGACACCAAGATGGCCAAGCAGAACATCCTGCAGGGAGGGGGGGGGGGGGGGGGGAGGGAGAGATATGTTATTCTTAATGAGGTGTCTCATCATGGCATTTTATCAGTTCAAATTCAAAGAGATTTGTTACCACAGAATATTGTCTGTACATGTATATATATGCTTTAATAGCAGAAGGAAATAGCAAGGAAATTTCTGATTCACTTAACTATTAGGAATGCCCCTCCAAACACAATTAACTGAGCATAAGACAGCAACATCTAAAGACATACATTTGAATTTCAAGAGCTGCTTTGAAGCGTATTGCCTGAAGACTTAAAGTCCATTTACAACCAATTTGACCAATTTTAACACACTAAAAGCAATTTTCATAAAATTCAATTCTACCTGATGACCCTCTCCCTTCCACACCCAAGAGACTTGTTAACTAATTTCATGCATAATGTTTTAACAAAATTTCTCTTGACGACAGAAAAGCTTGCCAGAGTCTTGTCAGACATAGCAATAACCAATGAATGCAAAGTGAATCCATCCACAGAATGACTTTTGTCGAGTGACCTTTTGCATAACAGGTGAATCAAATAGTTGGTAACCAAGGTTCAAGGGAGAGAAACATGCACAAACTGAAATACATTTGAGTGTCTAGTAAAGAATCCCTGAAGATATACGTTACCTGGAGCTTGGGCGAGAGAAGGTCTGTAGCTAGGAGTGTGTGGCAGAAGTGCATCACAACACTGGAGAACTCATCAGTCAGGTGACCTGTCACATGACATACATTTTGAAAACTTTTATTACACACATGACATAGAAATATGGATCTCAAAGAGATATCATCAGTCAGTTGACCCATCCCTCATCAGTCAGGTGACCTGACACACATTTATGATTTTTTTTATTTTTTAAACACATGGTATGACTTCAAGGAATCAGAGTAGCACTTGATACAAAACCCCTGAGGTATTAAGGCATGAATCGTTTAGGTAGAAATTATACTTAATTGTTTAAAGCCTATCTGCACTTGTCCAGGAGGGATTAGATCTCCCTGCATGGTCATTGACAGGTGGTTATCTCATCAAATCAGCTCTCAATTAACATTAAAAAAAGGGGACCGTGGGAGACCAACGGTCACCGCTTAGGCATTGTTTGCTATGCAGAGGTTCCAGAAAGTATTCATTTGTCTTGAAATCTATTCCACAACTGATTACTGAGCATGAGTTTGGGATGAAATAATTAAACGTTGACCAAGTCCAAAGCATTAATGTCCGAGAAGCATAAGAGCATGCGATATAATTATTTTTCTTCAATAAAGCGGTGTCTTACTGTTTTCCATCTTGACTATTCCTTTGTCCAGGTCTTTTAGTACATTCGCTAGGCTAGCCGTGTGCTGCTCCTGAAATTCTAGGCTGTGAAATAAAGAGAGATTAAAGGCATTGTTTAACAATGTTTCCAGTTTTACAAATCTGAGATGCATGGCCCTGTGTGTAATCAGTGTCTGTGATATGGTGTAATATTGAATCCAAAAAATATTGTGCTTCAATACTGTTGCGAAAACGGTTTCTGAAATTTCGAATTAAAAAATTAAAGAGTTCAAAAACCTGGGGTGGTATTCTAAAAACAATGTTGTTTTGTATTTTAGTAAAACAAAGTTAATTGCTAAAAGAAATCAAAATTTGGACATGTCATGGGTAAATGTCTGAGCAAAGCTGGATCGGAGTAAGTTTTAAAAGTGTTTGTTCCGTGCAATTTGAGTTTGTTATGACAAGTAACATCGTTTTCCCTGTCATAAAAGATAACGTCTTTTTCAAAATACAGCCCATGGAATTCACGACATTTGGTTCTGATAACTTACCTTGGGAATTGTTGGCATAAGTCTTCAGAGATTTGGAAGAGATGCCCTGTGAGAAACTGCAGTACGTCTCTAGACAGCTTCAGGTACTACAAAGATACAATCAAAATGACCGTCATAATACGTATAGTTGGATTCATACAGCCTCTATCCTAATGATACATGTACAAGGTGCTGAATACTATTTTCACCCCAGCTTAGACTGAGCCTGCGTGATATGGCGCTCAAGAATTCAAGGAATTTGTTACTAAAAATATAAAAATAAAAATAATCATACTCATACATATAGTTGGATTCATACAACGTCTCTCCAAAGGATAAAAGGTGCTGATTACTATTTTTACCCCAGCTTTAACCGAACCTGCATAATATGGCACTCAACAATTCAAGGAAGTTGTTCCTATCAGATATCTATTATTTTCACCTGGGTCGAGAGTGGCAAATGTAAAGTCAAAACCCGTACCATGTGGTAAATGGTCTTGTGACTTATTCTCTAGACCATGACACTTCTAGTGTTCACATTATGACATTGTGTTGTGAACAAGATAAAAAATCAAACATAAAACTCTTGACATGAGAGATACAAGTAATGTAGAACTTTGTTACATGTGGTATCTAAAGATTGACTTAATAGCCAGACTGCAACACCTTGACAACTCTTGTAGTACTTGGTACTTAGTAGGATTACTCCAAAAGACGCTGTGAAGGTGTTTAAACTGGAGGTGTGCCGTCATGTGCGGCCACCAACTTAAAGGGATCTGGTAACTTTGTCTTAGATCCTATAAAAATAATCCTTGATTTAGCTCATGCTGCAATGATAATTATAAACCTTTAGGTCAGTCAGGAACTCCATGACTTTTACAAGCCGATCGTCTGTCTGATTATCAAGATATTAATGATTGGAATTACAAATTTTGAAAACCGTTCACTGAACGGTTTTCATAACACTTTTAATTTTTTTGAGGCACTTCTTGATCATTTTGAAGCACAATTTTTTTTAGGGCTTCAATATTACACCATATCACAGACACTGGTAACATGTAGGACCGTGTATCTCAGATTTAACATTGTTAAACGATCCCTTTAAGGGGCTGGTTTTAGGTTGGTTTTGAGCGCAGATTTAAAAGTATTGAAGGAAGGTTAGGCTACAAATAAGGGAGAAAAACTGTTCCAGTCCTAACTGTCCTTGGGAAGAATGAGTATGCATGTGCATCCATCCTGACTTGGTTAATATAGAATTGTTGGTCATGGCCCTGTCTTGTTTGTTCTCCCTTCGACAAGATGTAATAGTGACACTATTTCAATTAAGCATGGTACCGAATTCACTGCTTACCTCAGTCGCCTCCTCCTTGTCGTTGAGGTCTCCCGTTAGCAGAGCCTTGGTGCTATCCTGCTTCTCACCGTCTTTCTTATCATCTGACGGGGGAGGAGGAGGGGGCGGGGCTGTAGGGGTGGAGTCCTTGGATTCCGGTTCGGAGGTGAGTGATTCCTCAAACCATGGGCCAAGGATGGGCTCGCTGTCATCATCTAAACAACAAATAATAAGTTGAATAGTAAAACTATGATACATGAATATTCCTCTCATAAAACTAGATAATACTACTCTAAACAGAAGAATTTTAACAAATCTTTTCACTATTAACCACTCAAAACAATTACATGTATTTTTGTTTGCATATTGACAAGACTTATCAATAATAATCGTTATCAAAAATTTGTATCCGTCACACCTGTACACCTTACTAGAAATTTAAACTTATGACGCTGCAATTACGGGAGGGTAATTAACAGACCTTCTGATGATTCTTCATAGCTGCCTGTCTCTCCAACAAAGCATTCGTTGAGGGAATGAGAGTCGCTCTCATCATCTGCTGCGTCCTCCATCTCGCTCTTCAGACGGATCAGTGTACAAGCCTGTAAACAGAGAAGCAATAATAGGGAATGTAAAGCATTCCCAGAAAACAATAATCTTAACCCGTTTACTACTGAATTTATTCATTGCCATAGGGTTAATACAGGGGCCACCAGGTTCCAGTAGGCAATGGGTAAAAAGCATAAAAACTAAAACAACAACAAGGAGGCGCCATTGCTCAGTGGTAGAGCAGTCCTATCATAACCGAGAGGTCCTGTGTTGTTGAAACCAAGTCGAAGGTATCACGGCGTTAATCCTCATTACCAAGTCTCTCGGAGAGGACTTAAAGCCGTCGGGACCCCTGGCTGCTTACTTACAAGCATACACATGCTTTCTCAGCAGTCAGGTAAAACAATCAAACACAAGCAAACAAACAAACCTTCTTGTATGATTCTGTCAAGAGGTTGAGTAGAAGACTGGTTTTAACACTCTGTGTGGCGGTGAATGGAGGTAGGATCTCTAGCTTGGCTTGGTGTACTTACCAAGCATACACATCCTCTCTCAGCAGTCAAGTAAAACAAACAAAACAAACAAACAAACAAACAAACCTTCTTGTATGAGCCCGTGAAGAGGTTGAGTAGTAGACTGGTGAGAGGGTACGCTTCTAGAATGGTCTTAACCCTCTGTGTGGCAGTGAATGGAGGTAGGATCTCTAGCTTGGCTTGGTGAACCTTAGCAATGTTGCTGTCCTGTGTATGAAACATACATTCAAGAAAGAGGATTGACTCTTTGAGATTCATAGGAACACCTGAAACTCTGGCCTGGATTTATGATGATAGCTTAACATAGACCACAGTCTATAGTAACGATAATTCCTCAGAACAGTTTGGTGGGGAATATTCCCTGTTATCAAGGAAAATTGCAAAAATTTGTCCCTGTTCCTTTCATTTTTATTCTCCTTATTCTTTACATGAAATCTAACCACAAGTTTTGGTTGCAATAGAGAAATAAATACATTCTGTCCTTGTTATTTACTTTTGATTGATTCAAACATATGACCGAGCAGATACATCATAAGGTGAATTCAGTATTAGATAAAAACCGACATTTGACAAAATTTTCAAACCTACTAATTTCATGAATGACTCAGAAAAATAAAAAAATGTTTTTGGCAATTAAGAAACCGATCAGAGTGTGGAATTGCTCCTTAAACCTTTGGATTTCAAATATGTAGACCACTAGGTCGTATATGCATACCTGTGATAGCCTCTCGATGTGGAGGTCTTCTAGGAGTTGAGTCAAATTTTTCAAGACGAACGATGAAAGGGCCACAGTCAGGCTGCTGAAACCTTGCGACCTGCAGGAATGAAATGGATTAGAAACAATCAAAGGCTTTATTACCATAGTCCAATGTTATAACAGCACATCCAACTGCCAACAATACACAGTCTGTTGAGAGCCAGAAGGGCATTCGTAATCTTTGAAGGCTTCCACTGTGATGATAGATTTGAGTGAGATTTGCGGTTACACCACGTTTTCTTTTGACAGGGTTACTTGTTCCTCAAATAGTTCAGAGCCATCAATATAATGAGAGATATTTTCTTCTACTTGATTTAATCTTACCATTTAGCTGAGGTTGGTCTTGGAGCCGTAGGTGGAACACCGGTGTCCTTGGCGTCACCCTTGGTCGTCTTGGAGGCAGGCGCTGCAGCAGCAGGTGGAACCTTTCCCGGCGGTGTGGGTGTGGCATGGGCGGGGCCAGCTGGTTTCTCCTCCTTGTCCTTGCCCTTCTCTGGGGGTACAGGCATGGCCGAGGATGCAGCCGTCTGAGCCGTGAGGGTTAAGATGTGATCCATCCCTCCTAGGGCACACCATGCGCCCATCAGGTACAGGTTTTGAATATGCTGTGGACAAGGTAACATTTGAAACAATAGTCAACTTTTAAAGGGATTGGGTAACTTTGTCTCGGATTCTGAAACAAAATCTGCGATTTAGCTCTGGAATTGCAATGATAATTGATTATCGAGATATTTATGATTGGAAATTAAAATCAAATTTTGCGTTTTCCTTATGGTTTTCATAACACTACAGTCTATTGGGGGGAAACGAGTATGGTAAAACCGGTCACTCAAAGATTTTTACTTTTTTGAGGCACTTCTTGGTCATTTTGAAGCACAATTTTTTTCGATGGCTTCAATATTACACTGTATCACAGACATTGATAACACATAGGGGTGTGCATCTCAGATTTAACATTGTTAATCGATGTCATTAATCCTAGTTGTGTCACTTCATAATGATACTGTGTAAGCATGATAATTAGAAATCTCTACAAAAAATGGTCATTTATTTCAAAGAGGAACCTACCACTTGAATAACTTAGGCAAATTCCCCTGGTTGTCTACTGGATTAACATTTCCTGAATTCTCCATAAAAATCTTCTCCTGATATTGAATAGCATGTCAAACGTTCCCAAGTTGAATGATATCAAAAATCTTTCAAGAAAGAGAAACATTTGCATGCAGATGCATTGAACACTTACCAGATATGTGCAAAATGTCAAAAATAGTGAACTATCCAGGCATATCCTGTTTCTCATACACTTCCAGCTATTAACTTCAGACAATCAAGTTGACGAAATGCACGCAAATTAAATTTGCATACATGATAGTAATAATTAGATCAATTTATATGGTGCAGGACTACATAAATATACTGTGCTGAAGGTACTTACATGTCCGCTAGCTCTCGTTGATGATTTGATGTTGCTGGTGAGTTTCTCAAAGAGGGAAAGCTGTTGAGGAAAACAAAGGCAGATTTGTAAAAATCATAAAAAGATATAACAGGTAACATGCACGTATATGTATGTAAAGTGACCAGAATGGTTTGGATGTTCCATTCTAAAAACTATTACATTCAAGTGTGATTTTGAAAATATGAATGAATACTATTTTCCCTGATACAGGTAACATTGATTTTATACTTATTCTTCAAATTTGATATTTTAACATTCAATTTCACTCCATAGGCCAACTAGATTTCTGCATATAAAACTTAAATGTACATGCATTTAGATTACCAAAACAGACAAGAGAATACAACAATTTCTCCAGTCGGTTACCATTTGATTTTGGAATAAAACACATTTTTATTTTTCTGAATTGTTTTTGGTTTAGTATTGAACAGGTTTATTAACAAAACTACAAAATTCTCTTTTCAAACAACTAGATGAGTTTACTGATGAAAAATATACAAAGACGGAAGAAAAACTAAGCTCACTCCTTTCAGAACGACAGAATTGCAGATGCTCTCCAGCTCTTCTTCTTTCATTGTCGTGATGCTTCCAACTCGAGACTCCGACCCGGTCCTGACGTGGCTCCCCCCGGCACTCATGATGCTACTGGCTACAGCCGCAGCGATGGCTGCGTACAGGCAGCTCATGATCACCGTGGCAACCTTCTCCAGGTGGGTGGCGGTCATGGGTTCAAGGGTCGGGAGGTCAAGGACGCGGTTGACGATGGTCATGTCGTTGAGAAGAGATGGGAAGCTGTGAGGAGGCAGGGAGATAACATTGTCAACGAGGTTTAGGATTTGAGAAACTACGTTGTCAGAAACATTACATTTTGAATTTATTTTGACATAATCAAAGACCAGCTTTCTCATTAAGAGAGTCTGCTGAAATCCTGACAAGGAATTTATACCCTGAGTCTTAGGATAGGACGGTTTGGCAATCCCTTGTACATCTGTGAATACACAACTTTATTTTTCCTCATCAGTATTCATACAGACTGCTCTCCCAAGGGTCCTGCAATCATATTATTACCCTTAGGCTGGCTTTAGCTGAGCTACCATGATAGGGTGCTCTCCCTACTGGGAACCCATTCATAACACCTAGGTGGAGAGTTGCAAGCGTAGATTAATATCTCACTAAAGAACGATTAGTGCCGCAGCGGGACTCGGCAATGTATTCACTGGACCATGACACCACAATGTAACCAATCAACTCACTTCGCTTTGATACTGTTCGCATCATTGAACGTGTTTGGCAGGACGAATCCCTGGCCTGTAGTAGCTTCCTTGTAGTTGTTGATGTATCGTTGAAGGAAAGGCAGATTAAGGCAGACATCTAGGAGAATGTCTGCCCCTCGCAGGGAATGGAGGTTGTCAATGTTCCTGGAGGCAAAGTAGGAACGGCTGCCATCTTTCTCGATGGATTTCTGTACAAAACCAAAGAAGAAGAAGAAGAAAAGAAGAATTCAAATTATTTATGCTATAGACACATAAGACAATTCAGTCTGTACATCATCAAATTTTGTTATTAGTGATAGGTTACAACTTTTCGGTATATTTTCTTCACTCTTTTATTACACATTCATTTCTATTAAAAGTAACACATTTTATAAATATAAGAATAATAATAAAAATATTGGATATTTCTATAATGCACATATCCACCACAGCTCAAGGCCCTCCCATATTCGCAGGCTCTGCCAGGCTACTAATTTTGGTGCTCACAGCATTCATGGAATTCCTTTCTACCAGTACCCATCTTACACCTGGATGGAGAGTTGCAAATGTAGATTAAGACTCGAATTGCGAACCATGTCAACCACAGTTCTAGGAGACGAATCCCCTAGACCACGACACCTCTACAATGTGTGTCTGTGTCTGTGCAATGCTCTTCTGGTAGGCACCTGGAAACATGCATGGGACTTGAAATTGATGAAATTTGATGACTTACCAAAGTCTCTGGTTCATTGTTCACACTGGTCTTTAGCATGCTAGAGGATCCAGAGGCTGCTGTGCCGGTGTCTTTGAAAGCTGACATCAGCTGCTTCACAAAGTCTGTTCTCGATATACGCTGAGCCTCCTTCACTTGGATCAGTGTGGTCTCTTCTAATTTCAGCAACAAGAATAAAATATGAAATTGGGGAAATAAGATGAGAAATTACAATAATTGTATAAACTGTAAAACCAGGGAGTTTCAAGGTAATAAGAAGGACTAGGAGGAGGAGGAGGAGGAGCAGGAGAAGAAGGATAGAAATGAAAGAGGAGGAGGAAGGGGAGAAGGATAGAAAAGGAAAGAGGAGCAGGAGGGGTAGAAGGAGAAGGAGGAGGAGCAGAAGAAGGAGAAGTAGGGGGAGCAGAAGAAGGAGAAGAGGGAGCACGAGGAAGGAGGAGGGGTAGAAGGAGAAGAAGAGGGAGCAAGAGGAAGAAGGAGCAGTAGGAGAAGGAGTAGAAGAAGGAGCAAGATGAAGGAGGAGGAGGGGTAGGAGAAGAAGAGGGAGCAGGAAGAAAAGGAGGAGCAGGTGGAGGAGGATAAGATGGAGAAGGAGAAGAAGTTGACATACAACATATTGCATTGTGGTATGAATTGTTTGTTAACCTGGACCACTTCCTAAGGTCCAAAGGTTTCATGCACATGATAATGGTATTACAGCAAATATTTTCATCTATTGCTCATTCCAGCAGCAATCTATTTATTTCCCACAATTTGTTACTTCAATGGAGATAAGAAAAGTGGTCATTAAAGGCTGGTGGTGTTTATGTACAAGTTCCTTTAGAACAGGATTCAATGAGACCAATTTCTAAGGGAAATGAGACCAATTTCTAAGGGAAATGAGAAGTATAGTCTTTTACAGGTAGTCGTTAAAGCAGGTATTACTGTATTTAGCAATCAATTGGCACATTCCTATTCATATACTATCATCTTTTCATTCACAAGAATTTACCTGCAACCTGTTTTGTTGATACAGGCATCTTTGCTGTCTTCAGCATGGCTGTCAAGGTCACGACATTTGACCTCTGAAGTTGACCTACGCCAGTACAGAGACCCTCGATAAGAGACATCAGGTTTCTCTGCAAATAGAAAGAAAAGAGATACATATATGTGTCAAGTAACTACAGAACATCCTCCATAATAATTTTAACAATGATAATAATAATAATAATAATAATAATAAAAATAAGAACAATACTACTACTACTACTACATGTACTACTACTAATAATAACAACAATAATGATAATTATAATAATATATATAGAAAAAATATAACAACAGCAGTACTAATAATACTTACTTATTGAGCACAAAATAACTCAGATAGATTTCTATGTGCTTACAATTTTTTTCCAATAAAATATAACAAAAGATTAACTAATATCATTCATACTTCAAAAGAATAAACTGACATAAAGCGTTATAGAAATATATCATTGGCTATTTGAATGGCACCCATATCCACCTATCAAGCTAAAGAGTTACTTCATTATTACCCTTAGCTTTAGCTAGACCACTATTGCAGTGCTCTAGCATTATAGGAAAATCTTCCAACCCAGCATCCAATTACTACTTCTAGGGTCAAGAGTCATAAGTCTACCTTGGTGCGTCCTGTCAAAGACAACGGCTTTGATCCGGGGCATGAACCCATGACCCTCACTTCAAGTGTTCAAACCACTCAACCAAAATCTCTATACATTAAAAAAAAAAAAAAAAAAAAAAAAAAATCTATTACATACCTGTGAGACAGAGCATGCCTCCTATCAAAGGACAATAGTTACGACCCGGGGCATGAACCCATGACCCTCACATCAAGTGTTCAAAAAAACTAAACCACTAAACCACAACACCTCTATACATTGTTTTTCAAAATAATTTAAATCTATTACATACCTGTGAGACAGAGCATGCCTCCTTGAACTTAAGCATACGCTGAAGGCAGAAGTCCATCAGGACATGACATGCTGACACCACGCTGCCGACCATAGACTTGGACACTGTACATTGATTAGAAGAAAAAGCTTTACTGCATATGCTTTCTGCTTTGTGATCTATGAAACAAAAGCTAGTACAGTGAAACCTGTACATTAGATAAAGGCTACTCAAGGGAGATAAGAAAAGTGGTCTTTTCAGACATTTAAATGCTAACTTTATTTGAGGAGCTTGAGCCTACATGTATGAATGTTTTTTAAACAGATATATGGCGCCATACAAATGCTGTGAATCATCATCATCGTCTTTATCAGAAGGTGTCTTTATGTACAGGTTCCTTTAGCGTAGGATTAAATGAGAAACACTTTTCAAGGAAAATGAGAAATATAGTCTTTATAGACAGGTGGTATTTCTATACAGATGGTCATTAAAACAGGTGTCACTGTTTGTGCACGAATAGAACACCAAGCAATCATGAGAGTGAACAATAGCCCATCAATGATCATTGCCATAGGGCTACGGCTTGCTTTATTTGGTCATATAAAGGCTTGAATACATCTACTTTTTTAAATAATGATCTACAAGTATCCAAGAACTTCACTTTACTTTTTAAAGCATTTATGAAAAGAAACAAAGAATCATGAATTCCCATGGAATGATTTATTTTTCAATGTACACGTTAACAACACTGCATTGTACCATAAACTGCAAATACTAAAATAAATAATTGCATTGTCATTCAAACAACATCTTTATATAGTAAAAAAAACAACAACATCTTTTGGGGGCATATATATGTCTGTAAATGAACTGTCATACACCACAAATATACTTGAATGATTTATAATGTATGTTTGGAAACGCAACCAAAATACTACCTTGTTTTACCTAAACTAGTATTTTACCAAATTAAAGACCGTCAACACTACTGGGCCAGAAGGGATAAGACCACATAGCAAGGTCACTGACAGGTGGCTATCTCATTAACTCAGCTCTCAACTAACATAAGAAAAAGAGGATCATGGGGGACCAACAGGCACCGATTGTGGAAGTTTTCTATACAGAGGGAGCAAGTAGCTACAAGTAGGACAGTGGGGCTTTAAACTGAAGAAGAAATAAACATGCATATGCATAGGCTGTAGCAAAATTATGTCAGGCTTAGGATTACACTACCTGTATGTGTGTATTGGTAAAAGCCCAATAACATTGCAACATACTTGTGGGTTTGAAAGGTCCAAAGTGGCATGTATGTTGCAATACCATCTACATGTAGGAATGCAGAAACTTCCTGTTTAGCCCACACACAATACATGATCGTCCTGCAATCCGATTTTCAAAGAGATAGGAATTATACTCCAGGTATTATGTCACTAGGATGTGGAGTGAATTTAGCTTGAAATCCATTGAGATTGAAATGTTATTAATCATATGACTATTAAAATCATTGATCATTAAGATGGTAGATGTTTGAATGATTAAATCGAATGCTTTTACAAATTCTTTAAAAATTAGAAGTAGTCTAATTGTATAGTGTGCAGTGGATGCTAAACATCTATAGATGGTTACAAAATTATTTTTTTAAAGCTATAAAATGGAGAGACACAGAGGGAGTGACATACCAACAAAATAGAGAAAGAGAAAGGGTTGAGGGAGAGAGAGAAAGAGAACAAGAAAGAAGAAGAGAGAGAGAAAGGATGAGAAAGAGAGAAAGATGGAAAGAGAGAGGGAGAAAGAGAGAAAGAGAAAGAGGGAAAAAGAGAAAGAGGGAAGAAAAGAAAAGAGAGAGAGAGAGAGACAGAGACAGAGAATTTGTCTTTTATCATACTTACATAGCGATGAATGGTCTGCAATATAGTGGGCTGACAGAGCCACAAAGCAGGAGTAGAAATTCTCATATTTGTCATCATGCTTCAAGATTTCTGATTTGCTGTAATGGATATGATAATGAAAAAAGAAAAAATTGATGAAATCATTGTGGCAGATAAACAGCTATCATTTTCCTTACACATAAGATTATTTAAAATTTTGACAAAAGTATGAGCATGTAAAAAATAAATCAACTGACAAACTTGTACATTTTTTTTCAGCTTTAACTTACATGTACATGTAAGCCAGTTACAACGCTTCAGATAAAAGATGAAGTTGAGTTCTGGTCATGCGATTGCATTGTGAAAGAAACGGTGTGGAACCGACCAGAAAAGGTTGATCCTCTAGCATATAAGAATTTGTGTGTATTGCAAGGTACTGGAATCATCAAAATGATAAGAAATTTGGCCAAGTCTTGGTAAAGTTACAAACACTTGCACAGAAAGATGTATATGGGACTACACGAACACGTGGCATAAAAAGCTGGCCCCCCGATTTTTACGATCTTACATGCATTTAGAATATGAAGGCATTTGAAGAGCCACGCTTTTCAGGGAACATGTCCTAACTGATGTTCTTCCACACTCGCATAATAAGAATGAGTAATGCTCACAAATTATTTTTCACCTCTTCCTAGAACTCAACCTTCTCTTTAAAGTGTTAATGTCATGTAATTTTAAACATGCAATTCACACCAGAGTCAGATATTGTACTCGCTAACAAACCCAAAGACAAAAGTTACATCCAGAGGAGCAGAGACCATGGGGTCGTTTTATGAAACCATCTCCATTACAGTCATATCTCTGTCCACGACCTACAGAGATGTTAGGAAGCGGACAAGCCATTTATGAAATCCATGATCAGCGACAAATGCATCACTATCGGCTATAAAATTTAGTCTCCATCAGATTTCATCCTGAATTACCAAAAGAGATTATGGGGCTTAATTTCAATCAAACTGATTGAAAAAGTAATAATCTTTTGCATGAAAACATGTGTTACTAATGACATCTAAGAATTTATAGAAATTGATGAAACTCGAGGTTGCTTTGGCGACAAGCGAATCAAAATCTGCAGGTAAGATATAACTCATATCTGATCGGAAAAAGACCCTGATTACATGTATGTTTCTAGTTTTAAAAGACACCAAAGTGTTGGCTCAGTCAGTAGAGCGTCCGCCTCACAACCGGGAGGTCATGGGTTCAAACCCCGGCCGCGTCATACCAAAAGACGTTAAAAGATGGGAGTTTTTGCTACCTTGTTTGGCGTTCAACAATAAGGGAAAGAGCAACGTTAATCTGGTGCTGCTCAGTGGCTGCCGGGCTCACAATCAATTGGGCAAAAAGAATTTCTGTTTCGGTTTAATAAAATTTGGAGTGGACTATTAGGCTATTATTATTATTATTATTTCATGACTCACAGTTGACATTTTTAACATTTATTTATCAAATCCATAGACCTATATCATATCATTTTTATGAAGGTTATGCTTGAAAGAAGAAAATATCTAGAGAAATACCTACCGTACACAAAAATTGTTGTCATTCTCATGGGTCTGCCATTACAGACTGTTTCCTTTGTTAGACCGATGTATGTACAAATAATATTTATTGTGTTTAGACCTACTTTTTATATTAAAACCTGATAAAAACAGTTGTGTATCATGATAATAATAATAATAATAATAATAATCTTTTAGTCCACTCCAAATTTTATTAAACCAAAACGGAAATTCTTTTTGCCCTTTTGGTATGGTGCGGCCGGGGTTCGAACCCACGACCTCCCGGTTGTGAGGCGGACGCTCTACTGTTTGAGCCAACACTTGTATTAACATCAGTAAGGACTGATCAGTGAAATAAGAGCTTAAACTAAGTTTTAAAATAAATGTTTAGTATTCATTTTTCACTGCCCATAGACTAACTTGAAGTTGCCTTGAGATGGTGTTTTAAAAAGATGCAACAGGTTTGGAGTCGCTTCAAGGATAAAGTTCAAGGAATGCAACAAGGAAGTTGTCGCTTTCTTGGCAAAGACAGTTTTTGTGAAACACTTGGCTTAGCGGACAAGCTGAGCTACAGCATCGAGATGTCATTGATCTTGCAGTTATGACGATTTTTAATTTGAGAAACGACCCCAAGTCCACCGGAGTCCAGAGACAGACGGATAACACACAATCATTCAATTTCACGGACAGGATTTTCATTTGAAAAAAAAGAAAGAAGAGATCATCCTTCTCAACTGCTCAAACTCACAATCATTCACAGACCAATATGTCTAAACAAGTAGACTATGTAAATGTATATGCATCATCATCATAACTTCTGTGAGCCGATACCAATAACGTTATTGTTAATACATCAACATGATCAATGAACAATCACTAGTGAACTGAAAACGGGATATATGTTGACGATCATCAATTACATGACGGTTCTTGCAATCAATCATATTCATGAGCATTGGCATTGCATTGCCGATGTTTTAACAATAACATTATATAAAACAAGCATATCATATATTGTAGGGATAAGTGTGATTACCTCTCGTGTATGGCATCTACAAGACGTGGAACATCCGAGCTTTTAAAGGTGGTGTTTGAGGCTGTAATCAGTATTTTTTGGACCGTGCCCCAGTGGACTCCACCTCCAGATGTTGCGGCCATGATTGAGCTTTTCCGTGTTATGAAAATCAGGCAGACCATAAATTAACCGGTAAAAATCATCGTTACGGTATCTCCAAACAAACTGATTTGTTAATGAAAAAAAAATAACGCGTTGCTTGACTTGTCCCTGAAGAAGGGAAATCGGGCATAAATAATAAATCACTATTCTTATATTCATGTCAATGTTTAATATTTTATGGCAATTTTATAATCGATTTTTTTTTTGTTCTTCTTCTTCTTCATATGAGACTTTGAGAGCTAAAATGGAACGTAGTGCAGAAATCATTATTGAAAATCTCCCTATACAGTTGACTATGATGTTATGCATGCCTTGTGTGCTATGTATTGAATAATAATTATATAGGCCTTATTAATATAGGTCATTAAATCACTCAAGTGTAAAGACACTGAAAGCAAACGCTATTTTCTGAGAATAGAATTTATTTATACATTTTTAATCAAATTTGAATTAGGAATTAGCCTATTCGTAATCATGGATTTTTAAAAATAATAATTGTTCTATCACAGAACTTTTGTAGGCTATGAAGTAACGAAACCCCACATGAGAACAAAATAAATACGTCTACATACATACACTTTCTTAGTCAAAGAGAGCGAAAGAGAGAATGACAGAAAGAGAAAGAGAAAGAGAGAGAGAGAGAGAGAAGGAGAGAGAGAAGGAGAGAGAGAGAGGGAGAGAGGGAGAAGGAGAGAGAGAGAGAGAGGGAGCAAGAAAACTTGAGCAGATTATTAATGATACAAAGAAGAAGAAGAAGAAGAAGAAGAAGAAGAAGAAGAAGAAGAAGGAGGAGGAGGAGGAGGAGGTGAAGAAGAAGAAGAAGAAAAAGAAAAATATGAGGAGGAAGAAGAAAAGGAAAAAAGAAAAGAATAAATAAAAGGGTAATGAGGCAATGTATAGGGGAAAAAAGTGCTTATTCACCGGCTGACTCGCGGCTGAAATATTTCCCTCATATTCGGCCCCAACCATCCCCCCCCCCAAAAAAAGTGCTCTAACCCCCCCCCCCCCCCCCCGCTTAATCACCGGCTGGCCGATTCGCCGCTAAATATTTTCTCACGAATCGGCCCCCCCCCCCCCCAATTGGGTGCCGCCGGCTGGATCCGCCACTGCCCATATGAGCATTCGGACTGAAAAAAGTATTAAATGAAATTATGTATGATGGATACAACAATATGCTGTCTTTCGTTTACTTAATTTGTATTTATAATTTAAAACAATACTCATGGCATTAAGCTGTATACATTTTGTGATATAAAAGGGGTTTAAGGGGTTGAACATCAGTCTATTTTCGCGAGATAACTAGCAGGCAAAAAAAGAAGGAAAAAAACAAGAAAAGCAAAACGCAGTCGCTGTACAGTATAGGCATCGAAATACCTTCCAATCATGAGGCAATCGCCTGTCCACTAGATAGTACACGGTCTCAATGCTAATCTCTGTTTATTTTTTCTTCATAACAAACTTTCTGATGTCGAACGAGTCTGAACGATGTTGATTTCGTAATGAAAAAAAAAATCAGGCGTATGATATTCTTCCTAATTCAAAGAGTGCATTTGTTGAATAAAGAGAGATTATAGAATCTTTCTCTCCATCTTTCTTTATCTCTCTCTCTCTCTCTCTCTCTCTCTCTCTCTCTCTCTCTCTCTCTCTCTCTCTCTCTCTTTGTCCCCGAGTTTTAAAAATAGATTTGGCAAGTCAATATTATGGTCTAAACAAAACAAAAATGATGAGCCGGGAATCGAACCCATTGTCTTTGCATTCTGAAGCCGTGATCTAGTTCGCTCGTATTTGTTAACACTTTCTGATGTCAATGACTTAAAGGCAGGCTTTACTACCTCAACTAGAAGGGATTAGACCACCCAGCGAGCCAGCGAGGTCACTGTGACAGGTGGCTATCTCATTGACTCAGCTCTCATTTAACTTAAGAAAAAGAGGATCATGGGGGACCAACAGGCACCGATCGGGTAAGTTTTCTATATAGAGGGAGCAAGTAGCTACAAGTAGGACAGTGTGCCTTTAAAAGAAAAATGCAGAATTACTGATTTACTGAACAAGTAACTCCACATCGGGATGGGATATGTGAGGAGGGGGGGGGGGGGTCCCTCCCAACATGATGATATATTTTGAAAGAAAAAAAATGAAAGTTCACAGCCATTCAAACTTTCTACATTATATAAACAGCTCTTCAAAATAAATGTTACGTCTACCATATACTTATCTATCATTTCAAAGCCCGATTCAAAGATTAGGGTCTTTTAAATTAAAATTCTGCCGACAAAGGAGAACAAATAAGACAAAAACTAAATTGGATAGGGGCACTCCCCCCCCCTCCCGACACACTTTTTCCAACACCCGTGGTCACTTTTAGTCAAGACCCACTCCAAAGCTTTAAAAAAACGTTACCCGATTCACAATCAACCTGCCTGTCTCGGTATTTGACCTGGACGCAGCCGTTTTTTCCTTCCCCCAGTGGCGGATCCAGGGGGGGGGGCGCCCCCCTCCTTGAGAACAAAATTATGTTAAAACACGTGATTTTTACCTTGTTGGGGGGGGGGGTTGAGCCCCCCCCCCCTGACGCTCAAGGGGGGGGGGGGGGTGCAAATTTGTAAATTTTCGAGGACCAAAAAAAATGTGCTCACTAAACCCCCGCCCATCTCAAATTTGAATATGATATCGCCACTGAAACGGATAAGAATAAAACAAAGATCAGAAACTTGGGTGACTAAAGATATTCTTTCCCTAATTCAAGAGAGAAATATAGTATACAAAAAATGGAGGAAAAGAGCAAAAGATGAGAAGCTCTATAAAAGATACAGAGTATTAAGAAATATGGTCCAAAGAGAGGTGAAAAAGGCTAAACTCGTTTACTTACAAAACAAGATAGAAGAAAATAAACAAGATTCGAAAAAACTTTGGCAGAATCTAAAAAGCTTAGGATTGAAAAATAAGAAGCGAAAAGAACAAGAATCTGTCATTAAAATTGATGGGGAATTATGTCATGATAAGATGGCCATCGCTGATGAATTCAATTCTCATTTCACAAATGTGGCTGCCAAATTAGTAGACAAACTCCCCCCTTCCAAAGACTTTTTCAGCGCAGACAATGATTGTATTCGTGACTTTTACGAAAGAAAAGGTGTACGTGAAAACAGCTTCGAGTTATTACCAATCAGTGAACAATTTGTTTTCAAAGAGTTACGTAAGTTGAATGTATCAAAAAGTATCGGGTTAGACTTGATTCCAGCTAAATTTCTAAAAGATGGTGCGAAGGTTTTATTTAAGCCTCTAAGTTACTTAATGAACCTATCTATCTTGACGAGTACTTTTCCAGAGGATATGAAAATAGCAAAAGTGACTCCACTTTATAAAAAGAAAGATAAAACTGATGTTAGCAACTATAGACCTATTAGTGTTTTAAGCGTAGCATCAAAGATTCTAGAAAAATCGGTCTGTGTTCAAATTGAAAGATACTTCAAAGAAAATGATATAATTTATGAATTTCAATCTGGTTTTCGACATGATTATTCGACTGAAACATGTCTAATTCATTTGACTGATTATTTGAGGAGAGAAACTTCCCAAGGGCGCTTTGTTGGTATGCTGCTCCTTGATCTGCAAAAAGCTTTTGATACAGTTAATCATTGCGTCTTATTGAAGAAGTTACAACTAATGGGTTTTGATAAGGCAAGTTTAGATTGGTTTAGATCCTACTTATCTAATCGGCACCAAGTAGTGGCCATTCATGATATTCGTTCCAAACTAATGCCTATAACTTGCGGTGTTCCTCAGGGAAGCATTTTAGGCCCAATTCTATTTTCAAGTTATATAAATGATATGTGTATTTGTATAAAAGACTTCAAACTATTATTGTACGCAGATGACAGCGTACTACTCTATTCAAATCCTGATCCTAAATATATTGAGGAAAAGCTCAGTGAACAGCTGTCTACGTGTGTCGATTGGATGACTGATAATAAGCTTTCTTTACACTTGGGAAAACAGAAAGCATTTTATTTTGTTCTAAAAGTAGTTCTAAAAAGTCATTTGAATTCAAAGTGACACACAATAATCAAGCAATCAAGAGAAAAGAGTCTGTGAAGTATTTAGGCATTGAGTTGGCTAGCGCAATTTCATTTTCATCTTTAGTAGAATCAGTTGTAAAAAAAGCAAATTCTCGTCTGAAATTTTTGTACAGATATCAAAGTTGTATGGATTTAAAAGCAAGACGTACACTCTGTTTTGCTCTTATTCAATGTTTATTTGACTATGCTAACCCTGCATGGTATAGTAACATAAACAAGTCAGATCAAAAGAAGTTGAAGATTATACAGAACAAAATGGTGAGATTTATCAACTGTTCTGGTCCAAGAACTCATGTTGGCTACAGCGAACTTTCTAAAGCTGGTTTTCTTGAAGTCGACCAAAGATCAAAACAACTCGTATTGCATCATGTGCATAAAATATATCATACTAGGTCGAATCATTATATTCGATCCAACTTCGATCTTGTTACTGACGTACATGATTATAATACAAGAAATATACGATTCAACTTTAACTTACCTGAAAGAGTAGGTAGTATTGGAAATTCGTTTTATTACAATGCCATAAAACATTGGAATTCCCTTCCCAATGGTGTAAAAGAAATAGGAAACTATGATCATTTTAAGAGGAAATTAAAGGAATACCTAATACTTGACAGTCAGAGAAGAGAAGTGAATGACATGTTATATGATTGAAATTTTTATTCTTCTGTCGGTTCATACTTTTTCATGTTGTAAATACTTATGTTTTCGTACGTTATAGAAATTCTACAAATTCATCATTATTTTCCTCTTCTTCCTTCTCCTCTTTTTCTTCTTCTTCTCCTTCTTCTTTTTCTTCTTGTACTTAATATCATTTCTATCATCAGTTTAATGTTGTTATTATTATTATCTTTAATAAGTAGTTCTTTTAATTTTCTTATCTGTCTGTAAATATTACTATTTTAACTTATTAATTTTATACATGTCTGTAAGGGACCCCACTGGAAATAAGCTCTCGAGCTTTCGTGGGTTATCCTGTTCAAGCTGACTTTTTTTGATCTGTTATTATTGTATATTGTTGTATGTTGGAAGCTTGTCGAATAAAAATCAATCAATCAATCAATCAAATGTACCTTGAAGACTTCTGAATGCAAAGGCTCATAACATTTGAAATGAGTTCAGTTTGTTTGAGGATACCATACAGTAGCTGGAAATGTGGAAATGTCCGCTTATGTCAGAGAGAAATCAGTGAAGCGGTACAAACCTCAACAACATTGGATTTGCAAGGAGCAGAGCGAAACGGCTGGTCAAACACTGACTGTTTTCACCTATCCTGGGTCTTCTCTTTGCTCTTGGACTTTTGGATATTGAAAAAGTGGAAGTTGTGCCAAAGTTTGAATGTCAGACATCCAATATGGGGAAAGGATCGAGTAAACTGAGTGCAGAAGAAATAAAAGACCTTCAAAAGGCAACCTATTGTGAGTACACTTTCAGTCCCGCGCATCCAGATGTGTGTTTTCTTCCTGCCTTCCTGGTGTCATGATTTTTATATTTTTAGGTCCCTGGATAACCCGTCCAACTACTCTGGACAGCTCGACCTAGTCGAGTTACCCAGGGAAGGATGTTATCTCAGAAAAGTCAACCAGTTTTGTTTTCTCATAATTTTATAAACTAAACTCACATTTCATGTTGTCTTTAGAACAGGTCTGTTCTCGTGAATTATCATTCATCAGAATCATGACACAACCGACAAAACAAAGTAGGGGCGCAGGTCCGAGAATGAGGATCGTCTGCATAAATGTGGATGTCCTTGTAAACGCGGACATATGACGTTCTCCAAAATAAGGATTTTTTTTTCTTCGGCGCTCTGCGGGTGTAGGATTCCCGATCCGCGTGCTGGCATTGCAAAAAACGGATTCCGCGTAATAAAATACCCCCATTTCATCGTCTACTTTTACGGGTTGTTCGTTTTTCTGAGGATTTATTGTTAATAACGTGAAAATCTCTGTGCAAAGTAAGTGTGAATTTTGAAATGCATCAAGGAGCATCATCGCAGAATCCGTTTTTCGCATCGCCATGCAACGCACTGATCGGAAATCAGATTTGTCTGCGAAAATGCAGACAGACCTTATTTTTTCGGACGCGTCTGTCCACAATTACAAAGATGATCCTCGGGTAACGGGATGATCCTTATTCTCGGACCAGCGTCCCTATTGTAACAAGGGGCCTGTTTCTGGAAACCAACCACAAGACAGTAGCTTTGTATGCAAACTTAAATCTTCCTGAACCGTTTCATGAAGAGCTTATGCAGCTGTCATATGTAAGACGCATCTCTTGACCCCCAGGAAATCTGTTCCACTGGCTGTCTGCCCTAACAACAAAGAAGACGAAAGAGTTCATGCATGGCTGATCATCAACGAAACAGAGTTTGTTGTTTGTTGCTATGGCAGGCAGCCAGTAAAAACGATTTTGTTTAATGAAATTATGGAAATGCAAGCATTACTTTAAAGTTTAAACAAACAGAACTTTGTTATTCCTGACTCATTTTTCCTGATTTAGGTGTCATACAGTGTATATGAAAGGGCAGTAAATGAACTTTCTGGAAATGTGGTTTTTTCTTTTCTCTCGTTTTCTTTTTGGTACCCTTTCTTCAAATTGTTTGTAATCACTCATGCGTGAAATATGCATCACATGAGTTGCATCAAATAAAAAAGGACGATCTAAGCTTTACAAATTTGTGTAATTTATTATAAAACATCAATAATTCTCGGTTTCATGTTTTCTGGGACGCACTGTACAGCACTTACATGTAATGTAACAGTTTACCATCAGAAGTCAGAGACTTTAAGATGATCTAAAACCTAGACCTACTAACAGCTACCCGGTATGCCATCAATTATTTTTCAAAATTATCATGACTTAATGAGCTTTTACATAATTGCTTTGAGTTCCTTTGCCCTAATGACCTAAATTAAAATTTTCAAAATGTATTCTTAAAAAACAAGACAATCTGAAAATAAACGTGAAGAATCATTTTAGTTTGGTGGAAAAAGCCTCGCATATAAACATGACCCATTTGTATACAAAGTTCATTTATAAAGAAGGCTAAATCTCTGTTAAAGAGAATATGTAGAAAGATCATAGCTGGAGGATTTCTAAAAGCAGGGGTGGTATTCTGAACATTGTTGTAAGTTTTGTGTTATCTTTTGTTGTATCTTCCAGAGATAACACAGTGCTAATATTGTTGTAAGTTGGTATTCTGAACATCATTTTATCCCTGTGTTATCTCTTGAAGGACCACCTCTATTTTATCTTTGACCACTGTTGACACGCCCATTTGTATGGACCCTACCAATCAAATCTGTTTTATAGAAGCATGATAAGTAGGTCAATAGGAATACCAATAGGAATACTTTATGCCATATCTGAAGATGCACCTAGCGCATACTAATCTTGGGCGTAATTAGGTATTTGAGCGCTTATTACGTGCGTCATCATTATGCGCTGTTGATTGTAGATCTGAAGACAAATCACACTTTCACTATATTGGTTAAGATGAGAGCTTTAAAATCGTCATATCCTAGCATGTAATTTCTTAGCAAGTTCTCATCTGTGGTGTTTCCGGTCAACACACAATCTTCGTCTAACTCGTCTATTAACACCAAGTTGGTTCTGGGCAAGAAATATTGCCGTCATTTATGTCACAACGAAAGATACAACAACCCCCTACCTGTTGTAAATATTGTTGTAAATACCATGCAAGATAAGATAAGATAAAAGATACAACAATTTTCAGAATACCAATTATCTTGTCATATTATCTCTCGTGCGCATATGCAAATGAGGATTAAGCGCCATTTTATTACTAATAAGCACAATTACAAGCGCACCAAAGTTTGAACGCAGGTGCGACCAAACAGATGAGAGAAAAGATACAACAAAAGATACAACAAAAGTTACAACAATGTTCAGAATACCAACTTCATCTTATCTCCAAAGATACAACAATATTAGAGATAACACAGGGTTCAGAATACCGCCCCAGGTATTGTCCTTTATTGCCAGTCATAGTAATTAACAAGTAAGTAAATTCATGTCAGTAAATGCTTCTACATTATATTCTTGATGACAGTTTTGGACTTTAATAGTTTTTTTTTTTAGCACAAAAAATGATGGAACTGACATACATGTACAGTACATGGAATTTGTCTGCACGACTCTGAGCTACATGTACATACATGGCATGTAAAAACCTAAGTAAACAATTATGCAAAATGTTTAGTTTAATTGTATGGTGATTTTGGTGAGAATTGTGAGATAGAAAACTTTCATATTATGATTACTCAATTACATGTATCCCGATAATATTATTGTTATGCCCTGAGCAATATTATATAGGTCCTGGTTTAAAGAGGAAATACTGGTACAGGTAGTTGGTTTACCAATAATTTAAAATATTTCATAATTTAGTGCACCCAGATGGAGTAGTCAGTAGAGAATAAGGGTTTTAATTTGTCAGAAGTAAGAATCATTAGAGTTCAGAATAGACAAACAGGAAGCTACATGTAATACAGTGTGACTAGACTGAGTTTCTAATTACAGTACATGTACAACTTCCAACAAATCCTGAGTTTTTGGAACATGATCAAGTTTGTCAATTTAGATTTGCAATATAAACTGCAAGATAAACTGCATGTAAAAAAAAGAAAAAAAAAAGAAGACATTTCAAAGCAACCCCAAATGAGACAAAGGATTTTGAAATTTGTTCTAACAAAGACAGAAGATCTTTTCTTTTTATTTTCTTTGGTTCTGTTTCCTTGGTGAAAAATAGAAAATGATGGCATTTAGCTTCCCTGTCATATTACAACCGGATATTTACTCATTTTCTATCTGGAGCCTTTTATACATACGTTTTAAAAGCTGACATTTAAAAAAATTAATCAATAAAATTGATAAAATTGTGCTAAATGCCATCAAATTTATCTTTTTCTCAAAGAATAAAGTTTTAACTGTGCAGTGGAAGTAAAATCAATTTTAATATGTCATGAAGATTTTTCAATTTTCAATTGATCCTATATGATCTGCATACATGTGCAAAAAGAACAAAAAAGTATGATGGAGATTGGTACCCCTTCTCATAAAAAAAAAGTCCAGATGGAAAATGAGGATTCAATCGCACTTGACCTTAAATGAATGTTGTCAAATCAATATCACTTTCCTTGATTGTTTCCAATTACATGTATTTTTTTTTTATAAAATGTAAATTTTAGGCAATTATATTTTCCCTTGAAAATGTAAATTCCCTTTGATACTTAGTTATTTTTTAAATATAGATCTCCTTTCGGAGCTTGAATTCAGTACAGTCAAACCTGTCTACAGCGACCGCCCAAGGGAAACACAAAACGTGGCCTTTGTACACAGGTGGTCTTTGTAGACAGGTTCCCTTAGTACATGTTCCAATGAGAAACCATTTTCAAGGGAAACAAAAAATGTGCTTGTTGTAGACAGGTGGTCACTAAAGCAGGTTTGACTGTATTTTATTTTTGAAACGTACCTTTAATTTGCGAGGGGAAGAAGATGGATAGTGTTTTAAGCAATCAGCTGTATGATTCATGTGGGCGGACAGTAGGACGATAGACAAAAAGTGAGGTTCACACGATAGTCGTTCAGTTTAGGTAATTTTGTTAATACTATGAAGTTATGTTGAAGTGGGGGACCGTGTGGATGCACTCATGGTTACAAAACTATAAATAAACAGAATGTTACAAACCTCGACAGATCTTAAAGCCTATTTGCACTAGTTTGGCCAGGAGGGATTAGACCTCCCTGCATGGTCACTGGTAGGCCTTTATCTCATCAAATCAGCTCTCAATTAAATTTAGAAAAAGGGGATAATGGGGGACCAATGAGTACCGCTTAGGCTTTGTTGGATATATATAGAGGGCACAAGTAGATACAAGTAGTGCAGTCCCGCTTTAAGGTTAGAGTGATAACCATGAGCAGCGGCCTCGCTCAAAGTTATGTGCCGTGCGAATGACTTGGAGAGGTTTATGCGAACTTGTATTTGAATACTCACTTTGGCCCTGTGTGGACCCTCATCATTTAATAGTGGATTGTTGTTAACAACTCTGAGGTTTGGCAAACTTTCAGGTTAAAACTACAATGGTCCTGTGTTAACATTACTAATATGATGTGTTGAGGGAGGTTAATCTTTGATAGAATCAACGGGGAATAGATGAGAGAAATCAGGGGAGTGTTTCACAAAGACTAAGATCGACTTTAAGTTAGACTTAACTATGGCAGGCCGCTCATGCCGCTGTTTTCTTTCACCATTTACTGGCATTGGTCTCTCAAGGGACGTACAAATCATGATCACAAATCTATAGAATTTACATTTTTTAAATATTCATCATTGAAGAAAATCTAAAGATCGTAATGGTGAGAGCAATCAGTGGCATGAATGGCCTGCCATAGTTAAGTCCGTCTTAAAGTCGGTCTTATTCTTTGTGAAACACTCCCCAGCACTTCCTTTGCCGTGTCTAGTCCATTATCATTACTCATTTTTGTCAGGTAGCATTACTTTCTTTTACCGTGTAGTTATGTATGCATTTAGAAATTTTGAAGCAGACATTGAAGTATTAATTTCCCCCTTTTACAGAATACATGTAAGGGCATTATGAAGAGGTACATGTACATCTAGATAATAATATTCCCAGAAGAAATAACAAACTACTGGAGTGTTTGGAATACAGGCACTTCTATTGATATAGGGGGAGGGGGGGGGGGGCATTGATTTTCATTAAATTTCAAGCATCCCTCTTACATTAATCATGTTACTACATGTTACTAATAAAAAAGAAAAGCAATTGTTAATGGTATGCAATATGTAAAAGCAAAGTAGTAGAAAGGATATGAAAGACTCAAAAGTAGTGTAGGCCTAATTAATAATATTACTCTAAACAAATATTAACAACACTCACATTTATCTTGTATATGATATTAATCTGAATGCTACTCAAGATGCTTATTTTGAAAAATCATTGAATTATCAAATTGAATATTAGACTGAGGTGTGAGTGACTTTGACATTTCATGCAATACTATTGTATTTCTAGGCAGCAGTGTACATATACAAATATACTGTAGGTTATACACAAATTCAAATTATCTTTGTTCTTGAAATCTACCACACTTTTCACAGGCTGATTAAGATCTTAAGTAATACCCTCCCCCTCCCCTCGAAATTGTTTTTCTTCTCTGATTTCTCTCATGAAAAGAAAATAAGAAACATAATCACCATTATTTTCTAAAAACCAACTCAAGGACAATTCCAATACCCTATTGTATGTTGCATAGAAATCATGTTCAATCATTAATTACGTCATTGTCATGTTCAATTATTAATTACCATCATTGTCATGTTCGATTATTAATTACATAATTGTCATGTTCGATTATTAATACATCATTGTCATGTTCGCAAATTTCAATAGATGACGCACAATACTATTGAAACTGCTTTAGGTTTTTTTAAATTCTTTTTAAAGTAGTTGGTATTGTAGAAATCAGTTAACATAGAAATCATTTTTGGATTATTTATTACTTCGTTGTCATGTTTGCACCTGTCAATAGATGACGCACAATACTACTGAAATTGCTTTAGGTTGATTTATTTCAAAGTAGTTAGTATTGTGTACAGAATATGTCTTTGTCCCACTGGAAAATTCTTGAATCAGAAAACCCGCTGAGACTTTCAGGAGGTAATTTTGTAAAAGTTTCACTTTCTATACCTCATACCTACATGTAGATGCTATTTCTATTATACTATCTTATTAGTCTAGTGTACAAACTTATGAATGATGTATTTGTATGTATGGAAGAAGATATTGATGTGTATTTAATATGTACATGTTATTCTGCAGTTCTCTTTAATATCCCAAATGATACTCTTTTATTCAAGACTTTAATACCAAGATGATCTTTGAATAGGCCTAACATTGAGTCTATAGATTCATGAAAACTTCATTACAAAAAGGTCTTAAGATGAAATACATACATGTAAAAGAATACCATGTTTGAAGAAGATGTACATCTGGTCTAAAAAAAATCAATTGAAGCCCGATGTTAGTTATTTGGACACGTTTATTGATAAAAAGAAAAAACCTATGATAAGGTGATTTTCCAATGCAAATGATACATCTGCTCCAAATAGATGATATTAAATTTTGAAAATATGCTTCATTATATTATATGAATATTGTACTTTAGATTTTGTAGTGCAAGCTTGCTATCCATTTCAGGTCAAGGGTTTTTAAGGTTAAATAGGTCAGATAATGTCCTTCAAATTGTCAACAATAGTATTTTCTTTCAATGTTACATTGTTCCAAAAAAGTACATTGTCTCTGAAAATAATATACCCATGTACAATCTTTGTTGAAGGGTTTTACAAAACACAATCATGATTGAAAGAATGATTTTGAACACCTTAATCAATTAACTTCAGGATTTTTAAAGCTTATTTTCTTTAAAAAAAATCCTAGCATCAAAGGAAATGTAATCATGCAACAAAAATGGATCACAAATTTGAGAAAAAATTGTCCTTTCTTGTCATATATCTGCCAATCTAGTTACACTGTATAATTCCTAGAGCTCTGCATCAAAAGTCAGTGAGTAATACTAAACCACACAATGCAGATGCTTGTCCCGATAGGGCTATCTAGATGATGATACTGAAAATACCACTTTTTCCCCTTTAACTCTTATGTTGCCAAGGAAATTGGTGGCCTATGGGCATTGTGTGTATTAATTGGTGCATATTTGCACCTCTGGCACTGCAAGAGTTAAAAGAATAATGAGCATGCAAAGGTCAGATCCATGCCTAGGGAAGCGTTTGCAGTTTGTGTGAGAATAGCAAATGAGATGGCTTTGAGAGCGTGTAAAGTTGATTCCCCATCGCTGATTTATTTGATGTTGAAACGATAGAATGGTACGATGCATTATTGAGAGATTTGTAATACAAGACCTGAACTCTACTCACAGATTCATCACTTCATGTTGACTTTAACAGGGAAAAAAATATTTAAAATTTTTTGGGGGCTACTTTTCAAGTTTGCTTGCATGAAGATAACACTCTTCGATTTGTTTCGCATTGAACTCTATGCCAATTTTTTTTGGGGGGGCTCTTTTGTGAATTACGGGGGCTCTTTTTGGCATTTCGGGAGCTAATTCGCCCCGGGCCCCAGAGTAATTTTTTTTTCCCTGTTGACTTATTTGATGGTATTGTAGAGATATGAAAGGCCAGAAATATATACAGTATAGATATTTGTTTAGCATTTTAAGAAGTCGGTATCATACCAGGGCTCGACACCAACAGGTGCCCGGGAAACATTTAAGTTTGGACCCCCCCTCCCCAATTTTGAAGCTTGTACAGTCAAACCTGCTTTAGTGACCACTTGTTTACAAAGACCACCTGTCTACATTGTGCAACAAGCACATTTTCTTCCCCCTTGAAAATGGTTTCTCATTGAAACATGTACTAAAGGAACCTGTCTACAAAGACCACCTGTCAACAACAAGCACATTTTTCCTTTCCCCTGGGGAGTCGCTGTAGACAGGTTTGACTGTACATGCAGACTGTGAAAAGTTAAATCCGGATCCCCCTTACAAAAGAGTGAGTGTGGAGCCCTGCTGATACATGAACCCATAATTTGTTAGGAAGACACAATTCTACCTGTACATACAGTACATGTATAGATATAGTTTCATTATGCATGATTTATGGTTGTATGTTTTAGTCACTCATATTTTGATCGTTTGTTGCGTTGTACATTGACTTTGTAAATTGAGCAATTTTAGCTCTCCAGCTGCATGTTCTTTTATTACAATAAACCGAATCAATTCAATGTAGAGTTTAATACAAAGTTGCCTAAATATTCAAAATTGTATAGAACTAAACAACAAGAACAAAAATAAAATGAATCAATGTATACCTAAACCTTGTTTTAAATTAACGGTTGCAACTACTTTTGAAAAGAATCAACCGAAGGCACTTCCAGTGGCCAGGTTCTTCACCTTTTAATATGTGCAAACATGGCATAAGGGGCGTTGACATCTACAGAAAAAAAGTGAGATTCAAAAATCGATATCGCATCGCAATCCAATTCGCAGTTAGTCTTGCTATTTTTCAGAAGAATCGCGATAGTTTGCCGGCTGCTGTGTGTGTGAATGCATGGTATTGAGAATCAAAAATTGTTTTATTTAATCCCAGGATTCCAAATGCGCATACAGTCTACATCCTCAAATTCATGCATGTGCAGTATGGATGTTCTTGCCGTCGAGTGCATATTCTCCCTGTGTGTGAATGGTCGCCCCCCTAAAATCAATCTTTGCATCGCGATCCAAATCGCACTAATTGTCATGTGTGAACGGGCCTAGTGACACATTTTGTAATTCAAACATGATTTCTATAGGTCATGCAAAAGGGTATCGAAATTGACCTTGAGTTGATTCCTCCTGAGTCTTTGCGATTGTATTTCTATGTATAATGTGTGCTAATTCGAATAACAATCTATTCTTGTTGTTTTTTGTCTTATTTTCTGCAGTTGACAAGAAAGAGATACAGCAATGGTGAGTAAAACATTACAAATTCTGATTTGATCTGCAATAAAGATCATTTTCGTAATGTAATCAAGTATAATTCATAAATGTTTATTAAGTGTCATGTTTAAACTATTTCATTCACCTGTTATGAATAATTGTAATTCAATAGTCAGAATGCGAATTTCACATTAGTTGTTTGCTAGGTACATGTAGGACAAAAATGGCTTGTTCTACCTAACAACATGCATAGAATCCTGTATTTCCATTGAAATTACACAAATATAAGCATATCAATTTCCTTTTTTTTTAAGAAATCATTTTTCTTTTATCTGACTTAGATATGTATAGAGTATTGAACACAAAAAAATCAAATAAGGATCACTTGAAGAAAATCAATTTAAGTTTTTTTTTGTAGAGTACAACAATACAAAGATCATTTTGTTGTGCAACCCATGGCCAGTGTTTTAACCATTATCGACTGCTGTACCTACTTGAACATCTACGTCTATACAAAAATGAACAAAAAGAAAGGCACAAGAAGAAAAAAGGAGGTCAGATAAAATAAGATCGGTCCATCAATCTTGCAGGCGCTTGAACCACATCACAATACCACATCCAAACCGTGAACAAATTCATGCATTATTCCAAATCATACGCATCCAAGTGAAAGGAGGAGCAGCAAACTTGGTTAACAAATCATTCTCTAGTGATTTAATCTCTTCCGCAGAGATGCACCCGATGCCTCATGGTGTGTAGCGCACTCTTGTTGAAATGATGGCAGATTTATTGAGTGATGGAGGAAATTTTTTTTAACCTGTTGGTTAGATAAATCACTTTTTCATCCTCAAATTGGCATCAATTATGTCTAAAATTGTTATAACTTTAGATTTGTTGATTGAGTGATGGAGGAAATATATTACTTTACCCAAAGCCACCAGAGTTTTATTTAGGCCTAGATGAACCCCTTTGTCTTTGTCAAATTGGCATCAATTATTGTTATTTTCCACTCTGACATACTCCAAAAAAATATGAAATGTATATGAAATGAACCCATATTATATGAATGAAAGAAAATATTAATAACTAGATTGAGCAACAAATTTCTGATTTGTACGTGAAAATATTGATTATAAATTTCATACTATGCAGCCATTTAAAAGAATTTAATAATCATGTACAATTAATCATTGTTATTATTCATGAAACAGCTGCACGTAGCTGCACAGAACCTATCGTGTAGAACATAATTTATTGTCATTTTTTCGAGGGGCAAATAATAATTTTTTTATTCTACGCTCACTTTCAGTGTTTCAAGGTATGATGTCCAATGTATGAATAACACAATGTGTTGCACTAGAAATGGACTCAAATTTTATTTGATTTTTGCTCTTTCTGTTCCTGTGTATTCCTAACGTTCTGGATCATAAGATAATAAAAAAAAATCTCTGAAGGCCCATCTTCACCAAACTGATACACTCATCACAAACTTGCTTGGACAGGCGCAAATTAGCTTGCTATTTCCCAAATAATGGGATATTTTGGAAACAAGACCAAATTTCTCAGGATATTTTTTGACCAAATATCCCTCTAATTGCAACTGCGGGCTGATGAAGACGCAATTAACCGGCTAATTTGTGATAGGGATAGTTAAAATAGAGGGTTATTTGTCAAACTCAAGCTGATGAAGACAGGCCTTTAGAAGAAGACACTGAACTGGTATGGATGAAAATTCATAGCGAAGACCCGTGGTATCATCGTCCTATGAGATCAAAGAATAGCTCTTTTAGGGCATGATCAATATTAATAAGTGGTTTGTGTCCTGCCATGGCACTAATGTCCTTTGGCATGACATTAATCTATATTTGCCACATTCCTTGAATGCTGCGATCACTGAAATTGGTAGCCTAGAGCAGAGCCAGGGTAATATCTGAGCGCCTTGAGCACCTTGCATGGTGGATATGCCTGCTATATAAATATCCAATATCAACATAACATAACTAGTAAAACAAATCACACTTCATTTATGAGAATATGAGCAAACACCATTGCATAATTTAAGTGCTTTGTGCCATAATTGTTAATTAAGAAAGTAAGCATGAAATATGTGCAAGTGTACATAATAAGTACATTGTTTGTATCAAGTAAAATAAGTAACAATTGGAAAATCTTGTTCGTTGTACATGTACATGTAGTGTGCAAATTATGTTCTTTTTTTCTTCATACAGTGTTGATTAGTATGTCTAATATTTAGTTGTAAGTGTAAAATTGAAAGAGAAACTTCATTGTTGCTGAATTGATGAGACATTTAGCCTTTTATTGCATTATAGAATACTTCTGTCTTTGTTTTTTCTGTAATGCATTATGCATGGCTATCAGATGAAGATGTAGAAGTAGTAGGAAGGCAAGGCATCAAAGTCAGTACAAGACTTTTTAAATTTGTATATTTAGATATCTTTTTGGAAGAATACTTAGAAAACATAAAAGTAAAAGCATTAACAACAAATATGTCTACTTTAACATCTTTGATATTAACATTAATTTGACTTTATAACACATGGGTGCATACATGTAGATGTACATTGGGCATTTTGATCCTTTTAAAAAAAATCACAATAGCAATTTTGTTCTTTTATTCCTGTGAATTTGTTGTTATTCATTGCTTTAATTTTCCTGCGCATTCTTGCAGTTTGACACTTGTATCCTTTCCTGAGGCTATTTAAACGCTCTTCATTATTTGTAAGGAGATCATTCATGCTAAATAGCCAATACTATTAAATCTTTAATAGAAAGTAAGCAGGAAGTATGAAATATGCACAAGTGTATGTAATAAGCAGAAAAGTACACTCAGTAACAATTCACACTCATTATTATCTGAGGGGTCCACACTTTACAAGCTCTGCTTTTCAGTGGACCTCTCCATTTCCTCAAAATATAAATGCAGTTAATTTAAAAAAAAAAAAAAAAAAAAAAAAAAAAAAAAAAAAAAAAAATCAATTTTTGTCTTCATCAAATATATAAATTATTATTAAGATTTGTTTATTACAAATGTAACTATGTTTTTTAAACATTTTACATTGTATTCGTTATTATGTATTGTATTTTGTAGGAAATAAAAATGAAAAATTATGAAATGAATTTTGTTAAAATCATGCATGATAGCCACTACATCCGTGTAGATCTCAAAATGTTCTGTGACGTAGAGCCTAATGCTTGCAGATAAGCACATGTATCCTTCCTGAGGCTATTTAAATCCTCTTCATTAAATGTACGGAGATCATGAGTCTATTTCATGCTAAGTAGTGAATACTATCAAATACAAGGTGAGCAGAAAGCTCTTCCATCACTCTAGAGTGCTTTTTTGTCAGCTTGGACACAGAAACAGGTGCATCTTAAAGCCAGGGATACACACGTGCCTAGGAGAGCGCTAAAGCCATGTTGAGACGTGGCTTCCTAGTTGGCGTTAGTCTTCCCCTGCAGCAATAAATATTCCATAAATATTTGACTTCTACCATTAGTTGTCCATAATACTGATAATGATACATGAGATTTATATAGCGCCATTATCCATTTTAATTATATGCTCAAGGTGTTATTCAGCCTAACTTGCCACAATTAAGTTAACACGACCTTTCACAGACCCAATCTCACTCAGCGTAACTTCATGAAGTGGTGGCGCCCGCACTAGTCAACCTCAACCCGGCATCGATCTAAACCGCGTAAAATCTAATTTTCATTTTCGATTGTAAACAAACATTTTCCTAAGCCATGAAAATCACTCTAAAGGCATCGAAAAAATGTGCATGTGGTAAAAACTGAAGGTTTGACCCAGGGAGTTCTAAATGTTAGGTCATAGAACCATTGTGAAAGGTCTCAGATACTCTGAGTGCCAAGTAAGAGCATCCACAATTCCACATGGTCAACTTACGGTACCCTATAGTCGTGTTAGCGCATTACTTCTGGAAAATCCAGGAGTAAATCAGTTGCCGTAGGTAACACAACTATTGTTCAGACGGTCACTACGCCAACCTTTACGCTGACCTAATTACCATAAAATACGCCAACTAGCTCTAAACATGACCTTTATGCCGACCAAAATTGCCATCGTGTGCATTTGAGTGGAGTTCAGATTACCGGAATAGACTGGTTTGTTCTTTGAAGGTTTGGGTTGTACATTTCAAAGCATTATTATTGGAGGGTGACACTTTATAGTTATACCATTACCAAGCAGTAGAAATGAAGAGGCTTGAGATTTTTTTCCTTCACAGATCTGTTTTGTATTCACATGCAATGGTGGTGGTGATAGCACTGTAGAGGACCCTTTAATACGCACCACGGCATTGTTTCACTAAACTGTTGTTAGTATGAGTTCACCGACACCCCATTGACGTGTGTGTTCATTTTAAGTTTCAGTTTCAGTGGGGTCTCGGTACGCATTTACTTATGACAGTTTTGTGAAATAAAGCCCTGAAGAAATACATACTCCTGTAGGCATGGCTCGACATTAATAGGGGGGCCAATACCAATCAAGTATTTTGTGAAAATGTAATTTATTTTTTATTGTACATAATTTTTATGTTTATATTGTACTTGCCACACTCGACCCAGGTATACCAAGTAGGTACATGTACATGATATGCGCCTGGTAGGGTTAATTCCTTGAATGCACCAAGCCCTATTGTTGCTAGAGGTATAGCTGTGGTAATGATATGATACCTAAAGTCCTTTGGAAGTGTATAGAGACGTTATATCTTTATGTCATATGCGCTATATAAACAAGAACGGAATATATATGTTTTCACTCGACTGCTCTAGTAGATTTATGTTAATGTTGAGTTATGCAATTAATCCTATTATATGTATTCCTACTTCACAAGTGATATGCACAGTACTTTGTTTATAACATACACACACAAATAGTATGTTTCAACAAACATGACTTCATTCATGAGCAATAAATCAATCATATATATTCAACTCTCTGCATGCAGACGGAGCTTGTTGTGGCAGTTTGAAAGCACCCAAGCTCC